ACCTTGTGTGAAAGTTTCACGATCAAGCTTGCCAATCCCAGATTTCGCAATGTCGCCACCAGCCAAACTGGATCCAGGGGTCGACCTCTTCGACGACGACGACCAAAAAATATTTTTTGGGCTGTTTGCGACATTGAACGCGAAACTTTCACACAAGGTGCTGTTGGCCAAGCCGAGCCCATTGCTCTATTCAAAACCCCGCGTTTCATTGTAAAGTTTGGAGATACAGGCACGCTTATGTTTTACCTATGCTGTAAGCGTGATGGAGTTGCTTTTTCCTAGTGGATGGTGTCGGCTGCATTAACGGAAAGATGAAGAGCTGAGTGAATCCGCACGTGGTGGTTACACAGACACGTCCTTGACAGGTTGCTACACAAATGGATGATGATGATGATGATGATGATGATGATGATTGCCTTTTGTGAAGGTACGTAAGTAAACAGCATCCAATAATGAAGGTGTGTCAAGGTATGCATCACATTTGCATGTAGAAGAAAGTCGAGCTGCATAAACCAATTTGTATATGTAAAAAGATACATATACATATTGAATGAGTCACTCATCCTGAAACTCAATGGAGAGATCTCTTCACTTTTTCTCTTCTCAAGCTCATCCCACTTCCCACTCCTCCTTATTGTATCACAAAAGACATGTACTCCTTGCATGACCGATAACCGGACCACCTTTATTATTCCACCTTCGAAGCAATAGTATGTAATCCACAAGCTAGCAACCGCCAACAAGCGTGTAATAAATAAACGATGCTTTATTTCATCTAGCTACCTTGCTATGTACTGTACATTGCCACCACCATCGTCGTAGTCGTCCTCCGTCATCATTCGTACTCGTACTCGTCACCAGTCGTCAATCTCATCCATCACCAACATCCAAAAATACACAAGTCGAAAAGAATGGGATCTTGCAGGCTTCCTTTTGAATCTCGTTGTCGTCATCATTGTCATTGTTGTAGATGGGGTGATCATCGTAATCGTCATTGTTGTGAATGTTGTAATCAACGTAATCGTCGTCTCTACAAATAAGAAAGCGGGTGAGTTAGACCATCTGGTACCGGAATGATGACGATTTGGTATACCGTTAGGTGATCCTCTCCAAGGAAGAAAGCAAATCAGAAGGAATTCACAAACCAAATCACCACCATACGAGAAACGTTGGACGATCCCTTGTTCTTGAGAAGGCACTGCACGAATCACGCAAGGCCAGTTCGATCCATGGCAAGGAAGGACATCACTTACGTAGAGTCCAGGCTCATAGTTGTCCTCATTCATCCTCTCCAAAGAAAGAATGATCCCCAATCCTTCCAATCATTTCCCGCCTCATGAAAAGAAATCCTCAAGGGAAAGAACGAGCCTATCACGAGAAGAGCGTATTGGTTCAACACATTCACAAGCTGTTGCAAATCCCCTTTTACCTCAACACGGTGACCATGCTCTTCCAAAAATCCATCGTCATCGACCACTTGATACAGGCTGGGAGTCGAACCCAAAGAGATGATGATGCCCAAGTTGCATTGCCTGACCAAAGAAACCTATTCAATTCATTATTAGCGCACACACAATAAACCCCTTTGCATTGTTTGTTTCATTGTACTTGCCTTTTCCATATACACAAAGACCCATTGTTGTTGGTTACTGGAAACCGAAAACCATGGTGTAGTGTTGTTGAGCTGAAACAAAAAGCCAAACCAGCCAACGTCTTGAGACCAAACTTGCCCCCTATATAAGCTAACACGTCAATGGAACCAGTTCGGCTGCAACATTGGACTCTGAATGTACCTGTTGACACCAAGCGTAGAGCGGGAATAGCAACGAGCAAAAGGAAGCAACAATATCGCCATGACAACGACCAACCACCAACCACGCTCGTTCCTCAGCACTTGGACACACTCACTCTCCCTGACAATGCATGTTCAGAACTACATTAATACGTCACAACCAACAAGAGCACTCTTTTATAATACATTACCTTGATCGGGATGTGGTGTTTGGAATAAAAGTAGACAAGGGAGAAAGAGAAGAGAAGCATTGTGCTGCCGTCCCCAAATTTAATTTCCCAAGTAGTGAGGCTGTCTAAAAACAAGTGAAATTTCCACACTGGGCGCCAAGCTAAACCCCACCCACTAACCCCCGCACACACACACACCATCATCTTGCCTCATTCATGTAATCTTAAACGCACATTAAATTATACCCGGTATCTTTATAAAGATCTTTTAGCTATGATATGCGTTTCAGTCGCCAAAAATCCCACGTAACAATCGATGTATATGGGTGTCGCTATTGTACATTGCATGGTAGTATCAGCCGATTTGTAGCATTGCATATCGATAAGGATGTGCGTGTAATAGGATTACGATTGATAAGGCAAGAGCCTTCCCAGGATGGTTCCAGATTGGTCGTACGCGCTGCTGTGATGATCGTCAAACCATCAACAACAATGGCCAAGTTATATTATCCTTACTACCATATCCGTATCGAATTCCCATGTTGGTAAGCACATTTCTCCCCAATTTTATCGCATTGAACACGTCGCATATGCGGGAAGGAAAAGTTGCGTCTGCATATTGTGGCGCCCGTAACAGGGAGTTTTCTCCATACAAATTGGTTTCAGTAGCACAGATGATGTGGCGAAGGTGAGCATCAATCAAGCGGATCATCTTTAAAAGTGATTGCCTACAAATTTGTTGGGTCGGTCGTGTTAATTAGTGATGGTCTCAGATCAGATGACGTTGTAGGCTTCATGTTAATGAGGTAATCGACTTTAGATCAATGCATTTGACGCAGTAAAATGTCCGTCTCAATTCCCGCTCGAAGAATCTTCATGTGCAACCATCATCAAAGCCGAGGCAATAAAAAGAGATAGTCGAAATGATGATCCTTAACAACGCGGAGATGTATAAAAGTCATTGGCGTACATGAAATGTATGATGATGCATTTCTTGCATGGAAGGGGGTGAATGTGTGTGTGAGTGTGAGGATACAAATATTACCAGCAGCAGACAGAGACAAAGCTTTCTATTCATGGCCTTTAACCGAATATTTGGTGACACACCTGACACATGCATGTTCATGGCTTCCACCTCCTATTTCTTCTTTCATCTGATGCATAACAATGACAACCACCAAAAAGAATGTGATGATATGGTAAATAGGAAGGGCTATTTACGATCACGAGGAAACAAGAAAAAGGAATACCAACGTTACCAGAGACGGGTCGTTTTTCCCCGGCTTGTGTACCACCAGATTGTTCCTTAAAGGCAAGCTTGAGTAACTGAACTCTGTATTGCTTACACAACAAGATACAGTAAGGCTGAGTTTCCCTTTCACATTTCCTTGCGACCCTTTTCTTTCGTTCGTCTCTTCCCCCTTTCTTCTTCTCTTGGTTTTCTTCCCTTTTTTACTCCTCCGCATACATCTCAACAACAAAGGCTTACGTTTGGTGTATACAACCCACCCTCCTCATTTCATGTTTTCACCGCCATTGCTCACGATCAGTCGCAGCAGCAACGCCAAAGACGTTGAAGAGCCACCACCTTTTCAAAGGCGTCCACGGCACAATAAAAACGGTGCGGCAATGGCTGTATTTCGTCATTCAATGGCATCGCAATATTCAAGCACCAGTGGATCCAGCCATAGCCATCGATACAGTGTTGCCAGCACGGATAGTTATACTGATACCACAACGCGACGATGGTCAGGTGAGACGAGCCATTCCGTTGCTGTAGACCACGTGCCATCACAACGTAAGCCAATATCATGCAATGTATATGTGTGTATAATTACTCAATAACAACATGACTTTTATAGCATCCTCACCCACATCATATACATCTTTACCTCCATCTTCGCGTTTCTTGCTATCTGGTGCAACGAGTTCCGAGGATTTCCGTGAGCAAGAGTTGAGCCGCTTTTATCCGTCATCGATGGCATCCATGGTTGCCAGCACGACCACGGCTTCCTTGGCAACCATGGCCGATGATGTTCAATGCACATCGTTACGTACAGCACTTGAGAATGCAAGTTGTCACGGGTGGCTGTGTAAACGCGAGACGCCGTCATTTGCATTTGCACGGTCATGGAAAAAACGCTATATCACGCTCACCGATCGGATTCTATATGTCTTCAAATCGGACAAAGTCACCGCTCCTGCACGAGAACACTTTTTACTTACCGATGATACGCTCGTCTTTGTGTCCGAAGAGTTTAAAAGAAGTCATTTTGTCCTCGAGATCAGAAAACCCTTATGCAAATGGTGTTTGAGGTTTGACTCGGCCAATGAGCTGAAGAAATGGCTTGAGGCAATGAAAATTGTCATTGCGACGTCATCTAACCACACAACAATGAACCACGTCGGCTCACAACAAGAGCATCATGATACTACGACTCGTGCAAAGAAGCATCGATCAGCTATTGTGGAAACATTGCTTCCTCGACCACCTCCTTGGTGGAGACATTATGAAGACAATCGACGTTCCAGTTCTCCTCCTGTACCAACCTCTATCACCAGCATGACAAACCATGACACGTGCCCTCCTACCACTACTACTACTACCGATACTACACCAACAAATACTATTACTACTACTACTATTACTACATCATCGTCTTCATCATCAACTTCAACCACTCCACCAACAATCAAACGCCAATCTCTTGCACAAATTCCTGATTGGGAAAAGACTTTACCTCCACCCATGCCACCTCCTCAATCCTCACCACCGCCTGCACCTATTAACAACAACAACAACACCGCATCCCTCACACCTGTATCTGAAGATCATTGATCATTCAAACCTTGTTATCCTGTACATCTTCTTTTTTTCTTTTCGTGTGTATTTTTGTCTCTCATCATTCCTGTAAAATATCAAATCACGCTCCTTTCTTTCTACATAAACAATGGATATAAACCACATCTTGTCTCTGTTAAAGGTATTCTTTATTGTTCATAATAATACAAAAGCTAAACACTAAAACTATCCCTTAGCAAGGAGCTGACCAACATGATGAGCCATCTTCAACCCATGCACCACCACCGCCACCATCTTCCACTCCTTCACTCAATCTCCCATCATCGGTTGACTTGGCGGCCATCGATCCCGACGTTATTCAACAAGTACGGCAAGAGTATTGGGCTACTCAACAACAGCAGCAGCAACCACAACAGCCGCATAATGATGATTCATTGGATGCCCTATTGGATTCTATTCAAGGAGCCACGCGTATCAACTCCAAAGTATTGGTGGCATTGGGTCGACTCACCAAAGAGACGAATGTGATATCGGTGTTGCAAGGATGCAAAGAATCCCAGGTATCAATTCCTTGTTTTCGATGACACAAAGGTTGGGGGATATGCTATGGGTTCACATGATTGATATAATATGTATCTTGCCATGTGCAAGTAGCACCGGAAAGAGAATGAGCTATATCAACAACGGCAAGAGCTTGTACAACAACACCAAAAACAACGGGACGCACTGTTTGCAAAGTTAGTATTCTATCATTGTGATTTTCACGCGGAATCATTTTCGGATCCAACTGACAACTTTTATTTAGAGAGCTAGTGGGCGCATCTGTTGATTGGGAATCATTGGAGAAGAAATCCGAAAAGGAGCTCAAGCAAATGGACACGCATATTGTACACCAAATGGATAGGGAAATACGATCACAACAAGCCAAGCTGGCCAAGGTATGTATGCATGTGTATAGGTGTATATGTTTATAGGGGTGGATGACTGATAGAAGATACATTTCCTATTATTCCCAGTTACGTGTACCATTCTTCAAAGTGACATCAAGCATGGATGATATAAAAATGCAACACAAAGTACTATCTATTCTTCAAGATATGATCGACGACGAAGAGGATGAAAAACAATGATGGGAGGATGAATTAAATGTGAAGGGAGAGAGATAGAGATAAAAAAACGATATTAGTCGTCCTTGCTTGTTGCCACCTTTTCAGCACTTGGAGCCGTATCAGTAGCGGTAGTAGTAGCGGTAGTGGTAGTAGTAGTATCGGCGGCGGGTTGTTCAGTGGTAGCGACAGCAGGCTTCTTAGACTTTGGTTCATCCCATCCCCAGAGTGGAATAAAGCTTTCAACGACACCAACGTCTTCAAAAAGATTGGGAAAGATCCAAATACCACGAGGCAGGACAATGATTGAGATAATGTACAAAATAAGACGGATGATGGCGATACCAAAAAAGACGCCCAATAAACCAAGCACACCGACTGAGAGATACCATACACCCAAACGTAATGTCTCTGGCCATAGAGGGAAAAGCACAGCCGCCAAGACCACAGCAACAAGCATAGCAGCACCAGCATATAACTTGATTTGAGATCCTTCGTAAATCCACATGTAATATCCATCCTCTTGCATTTCTTGAGCTGAGTTGGGTTGCAATACTCTTGGAGATCCTTTACCACCCAATGCATCGCCTCGATTGACACGTAAGATAAATCCATGCTTGCCTAGATCATTCATCACCTTGATCGCATCCTCACGGTTCGATAGCGCATCTTGCTTGCTCTTGGACAACATTTTAGCATAGCCTTCCTTCAAAAGTGCGCTAACAGCACTTTTACCTAGTCGACCCCATCAGCCTCTTTTTCCTATCCTTCCACTTGTTGCTGCTCCCTTACCCTTGAAATAATCCACGCGCTTGCCATTGAACACGCCTTGTCGCAACTTGAGTCCTGATTTCTTGCCATCCATAAGGTACTCGGCAGTCGATTTCATAAAGGGTGGTGCCTTCTTCCAATCTGCAATTTGAATAGTTTGCATCTGGCCGTGGCTATGTGCGTGACTCATAATATATAGACGATTGGAAAGGGTGGAGAGAGACGTCAAAAAATAAAGAAGAAAGAAAGAGGACAGGCTGTGTAATGATTTGCCAAATTGAGATCACCCACTCCTTTCTCCCCGTGTATTTCAAACTAGCCAATAAAATCCAGCCACTTTTTATTCTGGCGTTATGCATGTGATGGTGATGGGTTGCCACTGCTTGACAATGAAGGGGATCCTCGTGGTGTTTGTGATTTACTTCTACCTCCAGGCGCTATCATAGGTCTAAAAGCAAACTTGGTTCTACATCCATGCATAAGTACAAAGGGCACTCAACCATCCATTCCACTATTCCCCATGCAATCCATTTACTTACTTGCAAGTGGTACAAACAGGTATCCAGGAACAGAAAACTACGCGATTCATACCAATCAGTAAAACGCCATGACTTATTCCCAATCATACTCACTGGAAAGGCAAACAGAGCACACGTAACCGATATCAACAATTTTTTTATGACAGAAACAAGCTGCTCGGAAATCCACTTGGTCTTGATTGGGTAGGTTCAAAAAGTTGCGTGCATAGCGCTCGGGAAGAAAGGCAAACTATCAAGTCCATCACAATGAATGAATGAATGAATGAATGAACCATATTGGATAACCACATGCCACCCACTCACCATTAGGTATTGTAATAGTGCTTGAGCATTGTTGACTTTGATGTAAATGCCACCAGTAATATTGGCTGCTTGTTGCAGGAACGCCGTCTCTTGACCATAGATTTTACATACATCGACCGGGATACCCTACACCAATACTCCAATCAATACCATTACCTATTACCTTAGTTTCAATCACAATCCATACCGCCTTTTGTGCTGAAAAGATACAATTCATCAAGGGGATATATTGATACGCCGAGTCCGGGGATAGAGTGAGGATGAGGATGCGAGGTTTGATATGTCCAAGTTGATCAAGTTTGGTTATCCGGTTGATATCTAGAGGATGAATGGTTAGCTAAAGATACTACTTGTCACAATCAACCAACTTACAACAAAGAGCCATTGAAAAGGCACCCGTAATCATAGATGATACGCCCGTGTCTTTTTCAAGGAAGGATACATCCGTATCTCTGAATAAATCTTGTAGGCTGTGTACGATTTGATCCGTTACAAACTGAAAGTTGGGATACATGTTGGCGTTGCGTTTGTTGTTTTCTTTGCTGATAGCAGTCGCTGTTGCTTCCTCGCCACCAGCAAGGGGGTATAAGAACTTGCTATTGTACGTGGATACACACATGGTAAGATATCCCGCAGCAATAACCCCCCACCCTCAATCCATACCTATGGCCAACATGGCTCGCAATAGCTGCCACTTTATTGTTGTGTTTCAAAGCAAGGTGCGCATTGATAAAGATCAGGATCTGTCGTAAGGCATCGTCAAGCGAAAACGGTGGATCGGCTTTGGCTGATTCCGCCCACATGAACGGATTGGTGTCGATAATAAGCAAGAGCAAGTTAGAGTCATCTATAGAAGCAAGTCATTCAATAAATGGGTGGTGCTATATGCTCGATCGTCGTCGTTGAATGCTTCACCTTCACTGGTCGAGACGGCCTTCATAGTCGTGGATTGAAAGAACCAAGTGTGGTCAAACCCAACTCCAATCTATATTTAATGCAGCCACCTGTATCGTGACACCTTAGCTATCCTTCTATCCAAACCAACAAAAGTTGTCTTTTGACTTCCCCACATGTATCGACATCCTTGATGTATATACCAATATCCGTTACCTCTTTGGAGCTGACAATGAATACACATGGTCATCTCCTTGGTTCATTCATACAATTGGTTGCCTGATACATCTTGTAGCTAGTATATCTCGACGAATTGGTTGATCAATCAACCCTGAAATCTCCTCTGTAGGCATATGAATGAATAGCTATTTATAAAAAAATCAAGGCAATGCGCATTCTTTGGCATCAGAAGTTTCACGGCAATTCAAAGAGATCCATATTCACTAGTTTTATGCAGCCTCGATCCTCTACATCCTAATGTAAGTATATCACGTACCTTGATAGGTCTCCATTACTGGATGTTGTTTACTTGCATATCTTCATCATCATCCATTTGTGCAGCAACCTGTCAAGGACATGCGTGTGTAACTACTACGTGCCATTTCACTCAGCTCGCCATCTTTCCGTTCATGTAATTGACATCATCCATTAGGAGAAAGCAACTCTATCACGCTTACGGCATATGTAAAACATAAAGGTGCCTGTATCTCAAAACTTTACAATCAAACGTGGGGTCTTTAATAGAACAACATTGCTCGGCGGGGTCAAAGGAATCTTGTGTGCCAGTTTCACGATCGAGGTAGGCAACCCCAGATTTCGCATATGTCTTCACCAGCCAAACTGGATCGGGAGGTCGGCCTCTTGGAATCTTTCCAACGACGACTCCAAAATATTTTTTGGCAGGTAGCGACATTGGGTGAATGTAATGTAAAATGACATCCCTTTGCTATAAGTAACGATGATTCAATTACTTACATTACATGTAGTATCATCTATCGCGAGTAGATGGTGTGTATGCGTGTGAATGTATATGCTCAGTGTAGTCCTAGTGGGGGATTTAACTTGACGTCCAGTTAGACAGCTCACTAGGAAAATTAAATTGCGGGGACCATCTGCTTCACGACTTGAAACAACGCTTCTCTTCTCTTTCTCCCTCCTTTCCTTTTATCCCCATTCATGGCATTCCCATCAAGGTAAAGCTCTTGTTGATTGTGAGGTATTAATATTGTGCTGAATATCCATACGTAGATAGGGAGTGTACAGTGTAGTGGTTGTTGTAGCCATGGTGATATCGTCGCCCTTGTTCGTTGCTATGCCGCTCCCGACCTGGTGCAACAGGTACATTCCAAGTCCCAATGTACCAGCAGAACTTGCTGCATTGACATTGAACTGCCTCATGTAGCTTATGTTGACTTCAAGACACGCGTGTACAAGTTGGCTCATTTAGCTTTGAATCGGCTTCCCATGGTTCGGTTTTCAGCAGTCAAGTGTAATCTTATCATGCTCAGGTGCACCAGGGAATTGATAGTACATGGAAAGGCAAGTGCAACTGAAACAATGAAAAGACCATCTATTGTGCTAATAACAACGTTATTGAAATGAAGCTAGCAGGCAATGATTGCTATACACTGCCATTAGCTATACATGTAGTTACCCACCCAATAGAAAAGTAGAAACCACATGTCTTTGAAAGCATCTAATAAAAGTAGTATCATGTCAACAATTGGATGATGAATCAAGCTTGACAGCTCTTCCATGTGCATATAATCTAATAACTGCTGGTGCTCAACAACCATCTTTCTTTGGTGAAAAAGTGCATGATGCAGCAATATGAGACAACACATGGCTTTCGATTGCCAATCTCTATGCTCAAGGTATTCAATGTTTGATACAAGCTGTGTGGACAAAGAAAAACTCTTTTGAATGGTGGGATGGAGCTTTTTACGGTGAAGAGTCAAGCGGATTGAAGAAACGATCACGTGACCAGAAGAAAATAAAATCGAAAGCAGCAAAATGGTTCAACCCGGGTTCGAACCGGGGACCGCCTGCGTGTGAGGCAGGCGTGATAACCAACTACACCATTGAACCGCTGAAATCGAATTTGTTTGGTGAATAACAGGGGACAAAATTTCCAAAACGGGACGAGCCAATCACAATGCAGGAAAAGGCGTTGAGTTTGAACATGGCGTCGACGGATCATGCAGCATTAATTCATTGTTGGACGCTTTTCATCATTACTTTCACCATGAAAATAAACAACGATCTACACATGCAATGACTACTTGCGTGTATTATCATTCATCCTGTCTTTTTATATGTAAATGTTAGGTTGTTGCGCATCTTTACAGCAGCAGTATTGGAAAAGAAAACAAGTTCATAGTCACTGTATTTTAGGTTGTTTACAACAAGAAAACCAATAAAGCTACCATGTAATAAAAGGTTGATTATGTTTTCAATGGAGTGAGCATAGCAACAAGTGGTGGCTTTATTATGGTGTGAATATGTAATATATGCTATTGCAACATGTTCACTATGGATTCCAGCTATAGTTATCATTATGGATGAAGCAAAACCTATCATGTGAGGTGATCAATGCATTGTGCATGTTGTGTCCACTATGCAATAAAAATGGTAAGTTGGGTTGGGAGAGTGGAAGCGCTCGGTCTTATGCTTGTTCAAGATCCTTGTCGACATGGACTCATCGCCACCACCCCACTCGATTCAAGCGCTCGACCAAGTTACGGTTCGCAATCTCCACTCGGGTCAAGCCATTGTCGACATTGAAACGATCGTCAAAGAATTGGTCGAGTATGCGTTGGGCTTTGCTGTACTCTTGTCATGGAACGGAACGTAAGCTGACAAGCTATTGGAATCAGAAACTCTCTCGACGCGAATGCAAGCAGTATCGACATCAAGTTGGTGAACAAAGGACTGACGCTGATCCAGGCAAGTCAATGGAAGACGAGTCATAAGCAAAGAAAGGGGGGGTTCCAACTGATCGATATTGCCACAGGTCAAAGATAACGGCGTTGGTATCAGTGAAGGTGATCGTGCTTGCATGGCTGTACGTTATTGCACGTCAAAGATATCCTCATTCCAAGATATTGAAAGGCTTACTACCTTTGGATTTAGAGGTATTTTGGTTTACATGGCTATACGATGTGATGTTTGTTAACTACCAACCAATACATCCTAGGCGAGGCACTCAATTCCATCAATGACATCGCTGAGAGCATGCAGATCACCACCAAAACGATTCATGATACCATTGCAAAGGAATATCAACTTGACGAACGTGGATACGTGCAAAGGTAATCTTTGGATAGGCAGCGGGAAGCAATAGTATGCATAAAAGCTAACTTCTCATTCTACCAGTGAAAAGCCTTCTGCTGCAATATCGAAATCGGGCACAATGGTGGCAGTGCATAATCCCTTTTCCAGTTTGCCAGTTAGGCGACAGGTGAGGACGTGTGATTTATTTTTTATTCATGCATGGCAATTGATTCATTCTCAATTTGCATTGACAGGTTGCACAAAAGGGGTCCATTGCATTTGCAAAGAAGGTGCAAGAATTGGCAATCAAATACAGTATCGCATATCCCAATGTACGCTTTGCTTTGGTTCAAGTATCGGATTCGGTGTCTCACAAGAAAGAGCCTGCCTGGATCAAGCCCATGACATCGTCTTTGCTAGAGGCTATTGCGTATATCTTTGGCACTCGACTTGCTTCCATGTTGGAATATTGTACTCGTGCGGATGATACAGTGACGCTGGAATGCTTATTCCCAAAAGCAAAATCAGGTATGGGAGGGGATGTGTATTATTACAACACACGCATCAATAGGTGGTTACTAAGATCATCATGCCAGATCCATCTATCGTGAACAAAGGCGATCGCATCTATGTGTTTGTGAACAAGCGACCCATCAATTATACGCGATCTGAACTCAAGGAGATGGTCTCTATAATAAGGAAGCGATATCAACAAGCAGCTGCGTTGAGTGATGGTATGTATCTTTGTGGATAAGGATCAGGGTTTAATAGACAGATACTCATCATCGATTTTATGATTAGGAGCATCATCGTCTTCATGCAATCCATTCATGTATATTGACATTCAATTGAATGCCGATCAATATGATGGTAAGTCGAAGGATGAGGATGGCATTGTACATTTGCCTAATGGTGAAACGTATGATAGTCAATGTGGAACCCGGCAAGACTGCAGTCATGCTACATCACAAAGAGAGTATCCTGAATCTTGTTACGGAGTTGATGGATCAACTATACGGTGCACCTATCGATAAGCTCTTGGATCGTGCGTCGAACCAACCATCATCCAGCAACATGGATTTGCTGTAAGTATTGATTTCACGAGAGAAGGCATGTATGTACCACATTTTCTCATCGTAGTTCACAGAGAACAAAGCAAAGGTGTCGAGTCTTCGAATCAGCCAATCAGCCCTGATGTTTGGTAAGCAACGACAAAAACAAGGGCAGGCATCTTTTTACTTATGGTATATTATAGCGAACTCGATGAGCTTATTGAATCGCCTGATATCGACGAGAGTGCTTCAAATTATGCAAGTGATCCCATTCGAGCAATCCCAAGCCCGTGTGTTGAAGAAAAGAACAACAATGATGGTGACCCGTTGGTTGACAGTGATGAGGATGATACTCTGAAGCCTTCAGGTAATTGGAAATACAGCATGTTTAGCCAAGATAGCAACAACGATGATGATGGAGAGGATCAACTGCTACCTGAGGATGGGGAAGAAACAACCGAAGAGCCACGCAGAGTACCTACACTTTCAGAATGGCTTGAATCAGCAAGGTATCAAAATACAGCACCAGCATCATCCATGGTTGCCAAGGAAACGGATACGGCAATGCAACAATCACCTGCTATAAATCAACATGTACAAACGCCCGCCAGATTACGAGCATCATCTGTGGAATCACACCCAGCTCAATCTTATGATCAGCCTATGCAATCTGAAGGTCAACAAAGAGGACGATCAGTACCACCTTTTGTATCCAATGATATGGATTGGCAGTTGGAACCATCTTATTCAAGGAATGCTATACCAACAACGATATCATCTCAGCCCCATCACTGGGTATCACCTAATGTCCTTACTTCGCCTTCACTCGAGCGACCATCAACTTCCACCACTGCAAAAAAGCGACCACTTGGAACACAACAGCCGACTTTATATGACATGTTTCGATCACAACCTCCTTCAACTCAAAAGCGGATCCATTCGACCTTACCACACACGCACCGATCCTCTTCCTCCTCCTCCAATATCACATCACCAAGAAGCATACCAAAGACATCATCAATACCTGATCCAACAATTATTACATCATCATCATCATCATCATCATCCAATTCACCAAAAGCATCGCATCAGCATACCCAAGCTACAACTACTTCCAATATTGAACAACTACCATGTACCTCGATCACTTCTCATCCATCATCTCAACCATCAACGATTGTATCAAACATGTCGAATTCCATTACAGCATCACGGGGCTCTCCTCCTCCATCCGATATGATGCGAAAGCGACAACGATTGATCAACTTTGAGGAACAACAACAAAAACATGACCAGCAGAAGCTTTCAGATACGCTCAATCTTGAATCGAATGTGGATTACAACAAAGAAAAGGTCCAGAAGACTTATCACCTACGTTTTGCAGGTTTATCTGGTCTCGATCACAGATCATTTAGTGACCCGCCTCTTTTCTCATCACGGCCATCGGATCATGACACTGATTGGCACACTCATCGCTTGGATCAAGGATTTCTATTGTATACCCGTAATGCCAAACACCAGGACGCCCTCGGAGATGTTGCATACGAGATAGGCATCGTTGATCTAGCAAGGTATACAAAGAAGAGGATGGATGGACGCATTAAAGCAACAGGGATTATTAATCCATGCATGTATGTATAGGGCAAGCATGTTGTATGCATTTGATTGCTTGATGAGGAACAAAAAGTTGATCGCAAAGAAAGGATTGGAAAAGAGCATTCAAGTGACTATTAGGTATGTTACTACTAGGAGTGGATTGTGACATGGATGGCATTATCTAATATGGGACTCCAAGTCAAGAAGATCCTGTGTATTCTATTATACCCGAATTGAAAAGCTATGACAAGCATGGAGTGGATGAGGATGGACAACCACGATTATACCACAAAGTTACCGATGATCGTATCATCGCCAATGGCTTCCAGGTACAATGGCGACGAGAACAAGGGACAGCTGAGATTATCCTGCAAATCATCTGCATATATGATCTTGGATCAACGCTCAAGTACGATGTCAGCGATTTACGTGAATTATTGCTTGTCATCCAACAACATCATCATCACATACCAGCTTACAATGAGGAGCAACAAGATCTTAGTATGATACGGCCCAAGAAGGTGATTACATATCTACATCGAGTTGCAGCGCTTCCTCAAGCACCTGAACGACAAGCAAGTGACCTTGAAGTTGTCAAGCATCTTTTCAGCAATACACATGGACGTTTGATTTGGAGGAAGGAGAAGGATGCCAACTGTGAATATCAAGTTGTGTACGAACGTATCGAGGATGATCAAGCTGTAGATGATGCCGAGGAAAAGCCATCAGCACCAATTGCATACATAGCTTATCACATGTTTCCATCCGATTGAATAGTCCACTCAATAAAAAGTGCTTATATTCTGCCTTTGGTATGCTCTTTGTTAAGCTTAGATGGTAATTGGTAGCTCTCATGTATGTTAAAGGTGCATGTGTTTAATTATAGTAATGCAACATCCCATCATGTACGGAGGAAGGGGACAAAGAATATTATACTTTGGGTAAGTTTGTAAACTATAGCCGGGATTATCGTACATATTTGACGTGGCCTTTGTTTGCTCTCTTTTCCAATTTGGCTTGACGCTTAGATTTTCCAGCAGACGATTCAGCTTCCGTTGATGGTGATGAGCTTCCTTTCAAGTAGTTCAAGAGCATGGGGCCAAGTTTGTATGCAGCGTATCCAGGGATCTATTTCATCCATTCAATCCACTATTCTCTATGCCCATCACATCATCCACAACAAGCTTACCACAAGGAAAGTGTACCAAAACTTGCTCGACACAAATGCCACCATCACTTGAGTGAACCATGTTACGTAAATGATATCAAACATGTACCTATAACACGAGATCAGACACAGTGTGCGATAGCGACATGACCCCAGTCCTCGTCCAACTTACGCTGTCAATCCTTCAGCATTCATATCTTCGCCCGGAGAAATCAATGTACCAGTAGCATCATACCTTGGGCGACCTGTCGATTCGAGTGTGCTGTACATGAACATGGAAACGCCTGAAGTGAGAACATAGAGCACCAGTTGACTTGTATGGAATGTATTCCAATGATACACAACACGCCAGAGAATAAAGCAAAGCTACAATAACAGCAAAGAGTTCAATGATCAAGCCAAGTTCTCGTCAATGGCATGATCGCTTACATGGACCACCATGAATCCCTTGCGTAGATTGTCCAAGGTGCGCGTGTTAGCAATAGCTTGCTTTTTAGCAGAAGAGTTGGCCTAATAACACTATGAGTCAATACCCAAGAATAGTACAAAGGAGACAAGTGCTTACCATTGTGTGTGTGAGTGAAAAGTAGAATGCAATGGAAGACCAAGATGCTTTCTCGTTTGTCTTTTTATCTGTGAGGAAGAGCTGTGTGATATAAAGAACCTCTCCGCTGGCTCTTGCATTGACCAATCCAAGGTCCTTTCCCAGGTACAAAACATCCATCCATGTGGCACAATGATAAGTGGATACGAAAAGTGGATCGCACAGTAATCATTTACACTTTCCATGGATACGGGATGAAGGTAATCACCGTGGTATCTGGAAATAGTAGACATGTTAGATCCACCGATGGATGATGAAAACGGAATTGGTTGCCCTTATCTTGGTAGTTGCCATGGCAATCATCCATGATCGTTGCCATGGCACCAAGCTGACTATTATCTAATGGTGCAGGTGATATTCTTTAACAATGGATGTACGTGATAAGATATCCAAGCCAACACGTACTTGTGGCAGCCACCGATTAAGCAGATAACCGCATTCATCATAGGAGCATTTATTTGCTTATATATCATTTGGTCAATACCATACTTTGGGAATAGTTGCAGGTTCAGCATCTCACCAAGGCATTCGAGCTGCGCATACGGTAGATGAGCTAGATTTTCATACAATCAATTGCTAGCTAATACAGACGAACATCTTTTAAATGAATGAGGCAATGGTTCAAATATAGGGTACTTTTTAATGTGTATGTATGGGTATGTGATATAGTAACTTGGTAACTTAGAGTAAAGGGGGAAGAAACAATGTTGTCAAATCCATGCAGCTGCACCTCAAACAGACCTGAAACTACGTTTCCGAAAAATATTTTTGCTCTTCCCTCAATGCACACCTACTTGATCCAGTTTGCCCAGGTAATGTTGTACTTTAGCCGCATCCACGCTACAATCAACAGCGATCTAACAAGCAACGTATTTAGTTCCACGAGGAGTTTCGACTACCCGAACTCAAATCGCTTGCTCGACTTGAACGAGTGACCTTGGAATGCAATGACAGCGAATACAAACTCGATGTAAGATCTTCAAAACTCACCTTTGAGTCATATGACTCACATGTATGTATAGAACCCTTTCTTCAAGATCCAACTTGAAAGCGACGAGGATGCTCGAAAACTAGTGAAGCGGGCGATTTTGATCAAGTAAATGGGATACATCCGATATACCAATGTGTATATAGCTAATCATCATGTAGGAACATTTATGAATTGTGGGGTGAAGGCGAGACTTATGAGCAAGTCCATGAGCAAGTCAAGTCATATCCTGAGCGCTGGCCGCAGTATCAAGATGTATCGTTCAAGTTTGTTGTTTCAGCATTCAATTCGACGATCAGCAAAGAAGATCAATTATCCATCATCAACTCTTTCAGCTATCTCGGCTTTGAAGGACCTATTGATATGAAGAACGCCTCAGTCCAATTCGCTGTGCATGAAGATTATGGATCAACACAATACGTGCCTGGTATGACCCCTATTCGCGAACACATTTATATGGGTCGTCTTGTCGCACCTGGCAGCCGTGATCTTGTCAACACTTACAATCTCAAGAAACGCAAATACCTTGGTACAACCTCCATGGATGCAGAGTTGTCCCTTGTGATGGCCAATCAAGCTCTTGCGGCTTCAGGCAAATTGGTCTATGATCCATTCGTTGGCACAGGTAGCTTTTTATTCACATGCGCTCATTTTGGTGCCTATACTTTGGGATCGGATATCGATGGTCGACAAATTCGTGGTAAAGGCGAAGGAAAGAGTGTCAAGGCCAATGTGGAACAGTATCAACTTCAAGGTCGTGTGCTTGATTCCTTGGTGTTTGATGTATGCCACCATCCATGGCGTACCGATGCTTGGTTGGATGCTATTGTAACAGGTAAGAGAGTCGACATTGGATGAAGTAGCCAACCCTGACTAATGGTTGATCGTATTTATAGATCGTAAGTTATTTGATGCGAGGAGCTAGCGAGGAGGAAAAGGTAACTAATGATGTGGGATCCTAGCACCTTATGGAGTACGTGCTGGTGCCAAGACATTGGGCAGAAAAGAAAACTCCAAATTACCATTGGCATTGCGAACATATGAAGGCCAACCGATGCACACGCAAGTATTGATTTATATATATGCATTTCAATGAAGCTAATGTTTTTCTATAGCCGAGAAGATTATTATCCTCCTACCAAGCCATATGAAATGTCTGAAGTTGTCAGCGATCTACTCAACTTCGCAGCAAAGCATTTGAGGATAGGCGGTCGTCTTGTCTATTGGTTGCCTACCGTGGTGGATGAGTAAGTGGTGTGGTGCATGTATTCCAAGTCGTCGTCATCAAGTCTAACATTTCTTTATTAGATATGCAAGCACAGATATCCCCAAGCATCCAAGCATGGTCATGATCTCCAACAGCGAACAAAACTTTGGCCAATGGGCTCGACGACTTATCACTATGGAAAAGACGTGTGAGTATACTTCGGAGGTGCATCTCGAACAAGTGGAAGATGAAAAGCGACCAGGCCATTATCTTTTCCGTGAAAAGGTAAACAAGAGGAATGAAATGCTTTTTATGTGATGAGAAAAAAAATGAATCTAATATGCAAAAATAGTATTTCAGCTTTGGACGGGAAGAGGGGGAAGGGAATGGTGATGAGTCCACTGCTTAGATAAAGAACTTGTCCAACGACTCGCCAAGATGGACCTCGATTTGGGCATTGACTTGTTGCACCAATTTCTCCACACGAGGATCGTCGTCTAGAATAGAATTGCATTAATATTCCATTTGTATAAAAAAACACTCTATTTTGCCATTTACCTTCCATGAGTTCGGCCAAGAATGAAATGCTTTCGGCAAGGAACAAAAGCCATTCTTCACCAAGACGAACATAAAACTCTTCGAGACATTTGAGTGCTGCCAAACGAATTTCGGGAGAATCTTCGCGTGTCTTCATAAGCACCTTGTGGTTCATGGGCTTCCAAAGAGTATCATTCGATACTGTTACGGCCATTTGACCCAAGCATGGTACCAAATAAGTGGTCATACGTGTCATGAACTGATCGGGTGTCTCATTACTGCCCATCACAGACATTTGGTTGATAACAGGATCCAAAATCTTGTCAAACTTGCTGGCGTTCCAAAGGTTGTCATTGTCGTACAAGAAAGACTTGGACAAGGATGACATGATATGGTTCCAAAGCACGCAAGGCTCCTCGGTAGCTTGAAGGCGTGTGATCACATCATCAATGACATAGTTGTAATAAGGAGCAAAGATCGACTTGAGACGTCCCAACAAGGAATCCACAAGCTTGTAGAAGAAAATAACACGCTGCTCATAGCCTTCTTCCGCCTTGGCTTCAGCAAGTTCCATGAGTGCCCAATCGACCACCTTAAGGAATAAGGGCTTGAACAAGGTTTCATTCAGCTTCATGACAAGATCCAAGAACACCGAAATGGTTGCATCCTCCAATTCATCCGTCACATCATCATCAAAGTGGTTTTGACGACGAATATCAAATGCCAACAAGAAGAACTTGAACAATTGCTTGTAATGGGATGTCATAACTTCACGTGTGGTGTTGCGGATGATGTCGGCAATCAATGAGAGTAATGCAAGAATAGACTATAAACAGCTAGTGTTAGGAAGATCATATACGTGTGGATAATAAATGATGCTTACCTTGCGACCATACTTGACCACAGTCTCATAGCATGCAAAGACGGGAGTCAACAACACACGAGGAGGAATGGAAGCGGCCATGGTAGTCAAGACTTCAGTTGCCTTTTGCTCAGCAAGTGTTCGCTGCATATCATTTTCATCGTGTTCGTGAATGGAAGGTGATAACAATGAATCAAGTAGCTTGGGCAAATAGGGGCTCATGAAATGGGGCAATTGAGCAACGATTGTTCCAATGCTACCAATCACAGCAAGACGCAACATTTGACTGGGCTTTTCAGCTTGCACATTCTTCACCAAGATATCAAGTACAACTGGCATAAACTTGGGCAAATGAGGCACCGAACGTGGACCCGTCTCTTGACTAGAATGAGAAAATAAGGTTAATTGACAGGTATAAACAAACAAACCAAGGATAGAAATACATACATGATGACAGCTAAGCATGACAAGCTGGTGATCTTGACTTGAGTGTTGGCCAATTGCAAGCATTGAGCACCCAAAATGGTAGGCAATGCGTCGACGAATGCAGCGGGATGAACGTTGCCCAAGATACTGGTTAATGACGAGATGCACATGAGGGCCGATTGCTTATTGATGGCACTATCCTCTTCGCTGCTCATGTTGGATTCGTTTTCAATCACTGCAGTGAATTCCTTGACCATGTTGACGAGCAATTGCTCCTCATCCTCATCAGCCACCTCAAACATGTTGATGCGTTCATTAAAGAGATTCATGGCCTTGCGACGAATAGCTGTTTCTTGATGCTTGATGAGATGAGTGACCACCTTGACGAATGCATCCAAAGGCAACAAGCCATTGACCTTATCCAGCACATCGAAAACGACCTTGAGGATGTTACGCCAAAACTTGGTGATGCTGATCTTGGCACCTTCAGAGACACCGTACTCGTCACGGAAGGATGCAAAGTACGACACCAACTTGAGCAAGATTTCCACTGTTTCAAGGTACAAGTCAAAGTTGATATTCTCTTGTTCATCCATGATCTTGGTCAAGAATCCACGGGAGCCGAGCAACAAGTCGACATAGCTCATCACCAGCAACTTGTATCGACGCAATTCCTTGGCATTGTGTTCGTTGAGATCAAAGATGGTTTGTTCAGCTTGCATGTCCACATCACCATCTTCAACCTTGTCGTTGGGCAGAGCGAGTAAACCAAGCAACAAAGAGTTGACAGCCTTGATCTGAGTGGTGGTGCTGAATTGCTGACTGAGCATTTGGCTAAACACAGCAACCGATTCATCATCCTCCTTATCAACACGATTGGCGTATTTCTCAAGCAACAATGAAATGATGGCATAAAGGAATTCATCTTCGCCCATGGTGCGTACAAGAACAGTAAACAATGGCAAGCGGCGATGCTTGGGAATATGGAACAAGGCACCCACAAACACCTTGATGATAGGCTTGACTTGCAATGCCATGGCTGTATTATCGGGATTCTTACGACGGCTTGATTCAACCATAGGTGGAATGATCTTTTCAAGTGTTTGTTGAATAACCTGGAAGCTGTAATTGTCATCCTGGCGAAGCACATTGGCGCCCATGAATGTAAATACGGCCATGATGTTGTTCAAAACGCTCTCTGGATACAAGGATGCAATGGTGGCCATGAGCAACAAGGCTTGGTTGTGCGTTTGTGGATTGCCAGTAGTGCGGATGCATTGCACAACCACATCGACACGAAGGATGGATTCTTGGACTTGAAGGTTTTGGTCCTTGACGGAGCGGATGATACGGGTCAAGGATGACATGATCAATTGGCTGATGTATTCGAGGGAAACAGGGGCATCACGTAAATCGGCATTGATCATGGCGGCAAGCACATCAAACAATGGCTTGATCAATGCGGCATTGTTGTTGATGGTGATTGATTCGATAAGCTCAAGCAAAGTAACCAATTCGTACAAGTCAACGGAAGGCGAAGGCGTTTTAGCAGCATCCCTAAAATTATATAGATATTAGTATCATTACTCAATGTTGATGTTGAATAAAGCTACTTACTTTGTCTTACGAGCACGTTTGACGCTCTCCATCTCTGCACCCGAGTCCGACAACGAGCGTGAAAATGCAACAAGACGTTCCTCAATAAGCTTGACAGGGATATCAATGTCGGCCAAAATCTTTTTGGTCACACGCACATCATTCTGCTCGCCATTGGTTGCAATATCAATCAAAGAATTGAACAAGCTGCGTTGAGGAACCACCTTGGCTGTGGCAAAGAACTTTGGTGTGATCTGCTTGAGTGCGAAACGACGTGTGGATGCTTGCCAGCCATCTTCATCTTCACCTTCCAAGGTATCCGAGTTGGAAAGAAGACGCAAAAAGATATCCAAAGTCTTGTCAGCCTTGGCACCAAAGTGAGAAGCATTGCTTGGCACGAAGCATCGAACAAGAAGTTCCACCAATTGAGTCGATTCCTTGGTGCGAGGGCTGTCCAAGGTCGATGAGAGAATAGGTGACAAGTTCTCCAATTTGCGAGACGTCTCAACCTTATCCAACAATTGCAACAAAGGAATACGGATATTGTCGCTGCTGACAACCTTGATATGGTGAAGAATAAGATCCAAAATGTGCTTGGAACGTGCTGTGATTTGACGGTCCTTGGAGGTTTCAGACAAGCGAATAAAGTCTTGAATAAGGATGAAGATGTAGTTGGGATCCTCCTTCATCTCACGAGCATGACCAGCAATAAACTCAACAAAGTGGGCTGCATCATTGGATTTGATATCGGCAATCTTGATGGCATCCGCTGCGTAGACGGTGTTGGCACTGATGATAGCACATTTCTTGGCAGCACCAGAGTCAGAGGTCTTTTGTGATTCACGAAGACGTTCGCCTGTAGGTAATCCAGCATGTGCATAAGCAGCACGCACCACAAGCAATGTCTGAATGGCTTCTACACGCACAAGTGTTGATTCATCGTACAAGGCAGGTAAAAGACCAGGCAAAATGTGTTGGAAATCCATGGCAGGTGCATTCTTGGTAGCATAAGATGCAATATACAACTTGGCAATTTGCAATGCGCGAGCTCGTACCAATTCGCTTTCATCTAGAATATGTAGCATATAAGTATATGGGGAACTACCAATACCATGTGATGTTGTACTTACCAGGTGAGCTCCACACACTAATCAAAAAGGAAACCAAATCATCCTTGAGATGTTGCGAGATCAATACAGGAACCACACTTTCGAAACAACCGAGAGATGATCCACCGGTGAAGATGCGGAAGAGGTGGGTGAGGGCTGATGCATATGCATTGGTGGATGATTTCTTATCAAGAAGGAACCAATCGATAGCAGCTGCAGGTCGTTTCAAGGATGATGCTGTTGTAATGAAGATGTGCTGTACAAGGTTGATGAACATCTTATCCTTGACGCTTGTAACTTGGCGAAGATTGATAAGGGCATTATCGGAAAGGGACTTGTCTTCAGCTGCAAAGTTGTCAGCATAATCCACGTTGTAAATAGGTGCCAACTCTTGTTTGGAAAGGGAAGCAAGCACTGTCTCCAAAGCACGGTTGATGAACGTCGAAGCTTCAGGGTGAAGCGTGATGGCTTGGGTGAGCACAAGCATAGCAACCACCTTGTCCATGATTTCCTTGCTGCTAGCGAGTTCGGTCCAGAAAGCAATGGATAATTCATTGTCAGGGATCTTGTTGGCTTCGAGTTGAATGAATGTCTTGGCCACTGGAGTCTCCTTATCCTTTGCTGGCATTTTCAAAGCTTCCTTCAAATGTTGCACCTTGTCATTCAAGACTTGACTCGAGAAGATCACCGTATCATCAATGCTCTTGAACAATCTCTTGACCAACTTTGCAGGGGCAGTGATAGCAAAGAGAGCCAACAAGCGTGCTACATCGGTACACACCACTGCATATCGCTTGGCCAAATCACACAAAAGGAACTTGAGAACGACAACAGCTTCCGATCGTTTCATGGCATTGCTCTCATGCAACAAGGTGGACAACTTGGAAATGATGGTCTCGGCGGGAACATAATCCATAAGCTGATCGGGGATTTCGGCGACAGCATATAACAAGAGATCATTGAAATCCGTAAGACTTTCAGCCAAAGCAGATTCAATCACATCCGATGACTATATAGACATACATACAAAGGGTTAACATGTATAAACTTTGTTTGTGTATGTATGATATGGTATCTTACCTTTGCCAAGGGGCTGTTGGTATCGTTCATAATGCTGATCAACTTTTGCACGGCCAAAAGACGAGCTGATGGTGAAGGGCTGTGAAGGCAAAGATACAAGGTGGTGTTGGCTTCTTGTACCACTTCATGAGATGTACCCTTGAAACCGACAGAGGCAAACTCATAGAGTGCACCCTTTCCATCTGAGTCCTTCAACTTGGTTTCCAATACGGTGTCGAGATCTTCCATGTAGCGTTGAGAGACATTGACCAACAAAGGACGAAGTTGTTGAATGTACTGGTTCTTCTTTTCATCTTCTTCCAATGACATGTAAACATCGATCGTCGACTCGACAAACAAGCGGACATTGTCTCCCGATAAGATGCCATCGAGAATCAATTGATTGATCAAAGCAGCCTTATCCTCGGTGAATGCATCGACCTTGCAAAGTGCAGGCAACAAGGTAGCCATGAAACGATCGGTCTTGTACTTGACAGCGATATCTTGAAGTGTCTTTACAAATTCAGGATGAGCGAGGAGGCGCTTATAGGATGAGCCGCTGAGACGTCCAAAGGTTTCTTGGGATTGAGCAAGGTGGACAATGGTAAGCAAAGCATAAGCAAAGCATGCCTCATTGTGATGCTTCAAGATGGATTTGGTGATGGTAACCAAGGACGAGCTGCTAAAGGCGGTCCGTGCGGCAAGTTGAGAGATGATCATATAGCTGGCGATTTGGAATTCTGGAATGTCGTGTGCACGGAAACCATCAAAGATATGAGGAAGAAGGGCTGTCACGATGTTCTCGCCAACACGATACGTGGTGTTGATGTATTCAGTAATTGTAGCTGCATAAAACGAGTAAAGCGTCTTGAAAGGCACCGTTGTCTTGGATACGGTGTTGCATACAAAGTCCAAAACCAAGCGATTCTTGTCAACGCGCTTCACCAACAAGGAACGTTCCAAAGGAGTGCCACTTTTCTTGATAGGTAACAAGAATGCCCACGACGTGTTTTCCCTGTTTCATACATGAATGTATTAATGATCCTTGTTTCCTTCCATCGCATACAATGAAGGTGGTAACTTACTTGATATCCAACAAGGACACCATTTGAGCAAAGAGCTTGGTCTCGTGATATGGAAGAATGCATGCAAGGACAGCTTCAACGTTGAAATCTTGAACACGGAAGCGACGAATCAACCATTCCATGGCTTTGGCTGCTGGCTTTAACAAGAAATAGGGTGACAATTGTTGCAAAAAGGCTGCAATGCTGGCATCCAATTTGGCATTTTCTTCGGCCGTCTAGAAAGGAAGCAGTGAATATCCATGATCACCCTCTATTGTCATGACAATTTTTACCTGAAGGACGCGATCGACACTCTTCATGCTTTCTGAAAAGAGCGTTTTCTCAAATGGACCAAACTTTTCGTCGAGAATGGTCAACTCCATAATACCATTGTGAGCGATGGAATAGATCGTCTCCAGATCGTAATCGGCAGCTTCCCGAGAGTTGAACAACAACGAGGGCTTGTGTCGTCGAGAGATCTCGGTCACATTGCGTAGATCGGCGGTACCAAGGCGCTTGAGTTGATCCTGCAACAACGACATTGGGTGATCGAGAAAAGGCGGGAACAAACAGCAAAGAGGGGAAATGGGCGAGTGCTGGGTCAAGAAAAAAAGTTTCGTTCTCAGTGCGGAGCTTCCCATTTCGGGTGCCACTTTCTGCATTGCTTTCACTCAACACTGGTTATGTACATGGTAGTGATCAATAAACTCTTTAACCTCATCATAAAAATGGAGACTATGGTATTCATGATATGAAGGGTTGATATGAGATCGATTATTGTATGTACAAGGTGCATATGGAAAACTTCTTAGACATGATATCAGAGGAGGTGGAGAGGATTTCAAGGAATAGAGAAGCTGGCAGAGAAGGCGTATCATGTGAGCCGTTTTAGCACCACGCAGCTCGAGTAGAATATGCCACCTAATACAACTTTGCAGATGCATTACGAGGAGATAGCTACATCAAAGGAGGAATGAGAGCTTTGTGCTTCATCAAACGAGATGATTAGACTTTTACCTTATTAAAAGAAACAAACATCACAATGACGACAATGACAAACAAAGTGGGGTGATGACAATGAAACGCTGAAGAGCATGTATCTATTACAATATGGATTCACGCGCATCAAACTTGAGCTTTGAAGGTGATGCGTATGGTGGAATGTGGGACGATGGGCGACAACATTCATCCTTGTTTATATGGACATGGTGAGCGTGGGTATTTCAGTGACCACAAAGGGTGATGTCAATGTTGATAAGTAATCTGGCCTTTAACAAAGAGCTTTGTTGGTGTACTTGCTATTATTGCCAATCACTTGCTGTGCTTAGGTTCACCATAAAAAGATGTTGTTTTGTGTTTAATAAAGGAAAGTGTAGGGCACCTTCATCATTATGGATCACGTTGAATATAAAGTTCATTGTGAGTGAATGATTTTTCATTCATGCAGCAGCAAGGCGCAGTTTAGAATGATCGTGTCAATCAATCAAATTGACATTCACGGGCGCGCGTGTTTTCATTCTTCTTGACTCTCCACTCCTCCTCCACCCTCACATCCACCACCAATGTCGCTATCCTCATTAGAGTCACTCCTACGCGAATTGGCTACGCATGTACCGAGGAGCCTGAGAATGGATGACAGCGGCGCCATTCCAGTCGCCATGGACGCAAAGCCGCTCGTCACCGATATCGCTGGCGTATGCACATCGCTGGAACAAACCGATCTCGGTAAAGTCTTTATATTCAATGCGTGAATGGTGGTTTAGAATCTGTCATTGGAGTCATTAACACAAGGAGATATGCGTAGAATACGCTGCCAGCCTCTTGTTCAAATCTGAATGCTCGCTTATTATCTTTTTACGACACAACCTCAACACCAAGGAAGCAAGCATTCAGTCTGCGCAGACAGAGGCCCTCCGGTTCCTTGCCGATTTCATCTCAAAGCAGCAGAAGGTTTTACAGCCGTATTGCTACACGATTGGGGTAAGTTAAAGTCAACATAAAGTGATGGATGTATGATGCATTGACATAGCTTCTACTACTGCTAGCAATGCTGCTTCGCACTTGGATACCATGGTTCGGGTCGTGTCAAGTCTGCGGCTATCGAGACTTTAATTGTGTTGATGGATCAAAGCAAGAGCCAGCTTGATGTGGGTGATCTGAATGTGTCAGAGTTTTTTGCAAAGTATGTATATCGTCCTTTGCATGATAACGTATCTCACACTTTGTCATACCTTCCTTAGGTTCTCGCATGCATATACTCTCAATGTGACAAAGACATCCAATTCTACCAAGGCTTCCATTCTTGATCTCTTGGGCACCATCATGTTGCATCATCCTACCAAGGTCTCAGAACCCCAAGTAGCACAGACATTTCGGTGGTGTCTTGGAACATTGCAACATCAGCTATTCACCAGCAAGGAAGCTGAAAACAACCTTGTCACAGGCGCTCTTCGTGGCTTGAGCAAAATGGTTGAATCATCACACAACACAATCGAAAGGGGTAAGCTGGCATGCCATCAATGGTGGATAGTATAGCTCATGGCCCCATACATAGGATCCGAAGACGCACAGCAGTTGTATAAATGCATACGCCGCTTGTTTGACGTACCAGAACACTTATCACGCTATGATGCACCCATTGGTATGTGTGTGGATTGGTTAATGGATATGGATTGATGGCTGACATTGGACTTTCAAAGCTGCCTTACTCTTCCTCGAGAAACACGCATCTTTATTTGGACAATGGCTTGTGGATGATTGCAAGTGGTTGTACGAACACTTGAGAGTGTTCATTGAACATCAAAATCGGGACATATCAAAGGCTGGTTACAGTGCCATCAATGAATTCATGCGACAGGTATATGTGTGAGAGCAGGAGAAGAAATCATGGACAGCCTAATTAATCAAGGATGGTGATGATAATGATAGGTTTCTTATGCGTTGGCAAAGCAAGCGGAAGGACCTAGTGAACGAGCTGCATTTCAGGTAAAATGAATAGGAATCAAAGGCTTATCGAACGAGTCATTGACAAGGTGTTATTCATAGTATCTTCTTGGGCAATTTGATGAGACTACTCGCACCGATCCTAGTCAATTATCTCTTCGAGATCTATCAATCGCTATCCGTGGCATTGGCTACCTGTCAACTGCATTCTCAAAGCACTTGAGCGTAGACGAAGTGGAAATTCTCAAAGATCGTCTAGTCAGCATGAGCTCGTGGTTCTATTCAGAGTAAGCTTTTATTATTTAAACCAACCATGTGGATGTAAGCTCACTGTGTATATAGCTACAATGCCAACAGGGAGAATTTCCAAGGACAAATACCAGCATTTATTCAGGCGTATACTTCCTTTGCCAGCAATATCGAGACACTTTCAGCCTCTCTCATGTCCACAATCGTAAAGATGGTTGAGTCTTTCATGTACAACTATGCACGATTGAGCAGCATCACACGTCCATCCGGCATTTATGCCATACAACGTTTATTACGAGTACTTTATGACAAGGGCGAAGGAACATTACGAGGATTTTTATCAGATTTCTGTAAGTGTATAAAGGGACAACAACAACAAGCGACATTCATGTTCTAATTCATCATCGAGTAGTTTACAAAGCCCTGACTTATACATGCAGCGACGTCACCAATGATCAAAGTGCACCAGTGTACATGGATTTCATCTACTTTTGGGAATCAGTACTTTGCGACAAATACGACAAGAACATGAAGAAGAAGGATGATGACCAAGCAGCAGAGATTCAAAAGCAACGACAAAGGATATACTTTGATGAGTTCCTATCATCCTTCCTCAAGATCATCGATGCATTTGACTTGGAATACAAAGATGTCACGGACAAGGAACAGCGTGGTGGAGAGTCCGCCGACCAGCGTGAGACATACATTGCAACTAGCTTTGGAGATTTAAAAGCAACCAACACCAAGGATTTCATGCTCTTCCACAACATGGTCCAGTTTTGGTGCATTCTTTTACCCCGTTTACCAAGTCAGCGTTTGAAAGATTGGTTCCATATATCAGCTAGCGCCATCATTTCACACAGCATCAAACGACAACTCGTGAGTGGATTCTACAAAATGTTGGCAACCATGTTGTCGGTCGCAGATCAGCATGGATTCTTTCAGGGATACAAGGAGCTTTATACCAAAGAGCAGCAGCAGCAAGGTGACCACCCCGATGATATATTCAAACTTCTTCCAAAGACGAAGGTACGTATGTATAGATAATGCATGTTTCAAGGCCACTCCATTAATTGAGAATCATAGACGGATCTTTATTCTGCATTTCTCATTATTCGGGATTTCTTGAAAGAAGTATGGCAACGGCAACAATTATTCAAAGACGAGCTATTGGCGGCATGTTTGCAACTCATGCTTTCATACCCTCTTGCCTTTTTCGATGTACGTGAGCTGGTGACACTTATTCAATCAGCATTGAAGATGGGTGTTACCTTTTATCCCATGGCCACAATTGCTTTGGATGCCCTGGATAAAATTGTGGATCCTCCTGGAGAGACATCAACCACCCAAGACTTATCATTTCTCGTCGACGTCCTGCCACTCTTGAATGAATACCTGCTGATGGATTTGCGCGTCAAGGCCAACACATACAAGGAACCTAAGAAAAAGGCAAGAGTTTTGACTACTGCGGAGCGTAAACGACATGAGATCCATTTCCGAGCAACCTCTGAAATTCTTGGTGCGACGACGATAGAGGATGTCAGCTTGGGAGATATCCAACTTCGTGTGATGCGGTTCCTTGGCAAGATTGGAGGAATCAACAAGCTTATGATAAAGGCACAAATGGATGCAGCAAGTGGAGCAACGGCTGGAAGTGTGGGACAACAACTGGTTGCATGGGATCCTAAAAGAAGACTTCATATTGGTGTACCTTTCCCCAAAGCCAAAATCTCCCTCTCATTCGGTAAAGCATATCTTGGGATAGGTATGAAGATGGGATAACTAACATGTTATAATAGACAACCTCCTCCCGCGCATCTGTGAACTTGCTGAATTGTCGCCGGATCGACAAGTCAAGGTGGCAGCATGCGAGCTATTACATGCACTCGTCATTTTCATGATTGGTGACACAGCTTTTCGACCTCCAAGAATTACCAGGAACAAGGATGAAGAACCTGAAGCACCTTATATTCGATTGTATCGACGCATCTTTCCCATCTTGTTACGGCTTGCTGTGGATATCGACTTGGTCCCACGCAAGATGTTTAGCGATCTCAACGCCCAAGTGATCCATTGGTTCACCAACAATACCCAATATGAAAATCAGGAAACGGTGACACTCTTATCCGCATGTCTTGATGCAGCTTGCTCTGAAGATTCTGGTTTACGATCGTATGGAGCTGAATGCGTGAATGAATTCGTAAAGTGGACCATAAAGCAGCAAAGTGTGCGACAAGAAAGTCCTTTGAACATCCGATCCCTTCTCAAGCGATTATACAACATGACATCTCATCCAAGTGCCATGCAACGTCTTGGAGCATGTATGGTGTTCAACAAAATCTATCGCATCTTCCGTGAGGAGCCTCAGCTTGTCAGCGAGTATACTCTGGAGCTATTATACCACTTGTTCTTTTGTCTCAAGTTGGCTGAAGATGATCTTCCGTATATTGGTAAGTAGTCGTATGAGGGATCTACATGGACATGTAGTAATGATTGGATGATGACTATAGGTACTCGAGAACAAGCCAAACAAGGCATTCGCCATATTCACCGTATCTTGGAACGAAAGGCCACAGTATTCCTTGAGCAGGATGAGACGCGAAGAAGGGTGCCTGGTATTAAACAAGCTGATTTGCAATCAATGGTCGCATGGGCATTTGGACAAAGTGGCGAGCTGCAACGTGAATACGCAAGAGAATGCATGCATTTCTTTACCGAGTTTGTGAAAAAGCTGCCAAGTAAGTTCCAAGGTTCGTCTAAATGAAAAATGATGATAACTTACCATCAATCAATAGATATCAAAGATGGACGTCAATGGTTGGAAAAGGCATTGAGCAAGGATAATGATCTCGTGATCCGTATTTTCGAGCCGCAACGTCTTCGACAATCCGAATTTACAAAGGCTGGTTCAACCCTATTATGGCTGCGACAGGTTACTTGTTCGCTTGACGGTTACATTTGGATCATTGAAAACGACATGATGGATGCCAACATTATCTTTGAGCAACAAGACTCGGTTCTCTTGGAAAAATGTGTTTACTTTTTGGAGCACAAGCCGTCTGATTTGCTCAAGATTCAAGGCAGTGATAGCGCCATTGAACGGACACGTGCTCAATCACTTTACGCTTATGGATCATACCAGATTGTACGCATGCTCACTTTGGCGGCAAGATCAAAAAAGAGTGGACCCATCTTGGATAATTCCGGCCTTTTATTACACCCCGAGCTTATCGAGGCCATTGCACAGATGCTGATGCTTCCTGAACAATATGTCCAAGCCGCGCAAGCTGAAAAGAGCACCATATCCACGTTGATTTCGACCGAAAAGGTGCGCCGTGCTGCTAAGGAGAACATTCAAATCATGGCAACAATCAGCCCCTCTGAATTTCTACCACGTATTGCCAAGGCATGTGCTTCCATTCAATACTCGCATCGTACCAATTTAGCCGCCTTGCAATTGGATCAATGTAAGTGTGATGATGATGGATGGTGCATAGAATGACCCATTAATCTCGTATGGATAGGTAATATGAGCGACATGATGCAAATCGTAGAAGGTGTCAAGATCCTCCAAGAGCTAAACTTGCTTGAAAACGTGTGCAATGTAGCACCAAGATCATCTGGAAATCACCCTACAGCCATCGGCTTTTGCACTGATCTCTTTGGCAAGTTCCGACAACTTCATTGGACTGAGGATCCTGCTTCAATTCAACTACTTGGGAACATGCTCAAGATCGCATTCCATGAGGAAACGGTGGCATCACAACATGCAAAAGAGCTTCTCTTCGACATTGGCGAAAACGATACCGAACGTCTTGCAGTGTATCAAAAGTTTGGCCCCTATGTAAGAGATTTGGATGGGATGGGTGATCATTACGAGAATGGAATGGTTTATTGACATGTGATGGTGCTATAGATGAACGATTGCTTTGCTATCGATTTCAAGATATTTGCTCCCTTAATGATTGACAACATTTCGGACAGCTTCATCCACACCACGATGCTCGGCTTGGCCAAACATTTACAAAGAAATCAGAAAACACGGCGAAAAGAGGTTGTTGCATTCATGAATGAGGTAAGCTGATCATAATGGGAATGAGACTTAGTACTTACTTGGGGCTTGGTAGCTTGTACGCGAGCCTGGAATCCTTCAAAAGCTGTAAGTATACTCCATGATAGGGGATGTTGCATTTGAGGACTAACAAGGCCTTGTAAATAGGTTGGATGAATGGAAGGATCTAGTGAATCTCCCCGATTTGATTGCACTGTTCAAGTCCATCCTAGGAGCCGACGTTGGTCTTTTATCAAGAAACAAGAAGGAGCCCGTATTCTCTGTCTTTTGCCAAGGGCTGCTTACATTTCTCAGAAACGATGTGCCGTTGGCTATCAAGATGGAAGCGTTCGATCTGTTACCTGCATACATTTGTATCGAAAGCGATTATCTTGAACAGGTGAGTCGTCTTTTCATATACTTGTCGTTGTAGCCAATTCTAATCACGTGTCATTTTAGATCAAGCAAGCATTGAAGGAGACGGTGAATCGTCAATTCCCACCTTCATCAAAGGATTTGGATCCAAGTTCCGAAATGTAAGAGAATTAATACCTTACTTTATCGTGTAATGATTGCTGATGTTTATTTTGTAGGTACAATACTTATATCACTGCACTGGACAAGCTATTGGCATTGATGAACGAAGTCTATTCCGAGATCATCTTTGAGACGCTTTTGCCAATCTTTATTCAAGAAGAGGATCATGTGCATGCGAAAGCCATCAAGGAGGCTATTTCCAACTTTGCAAAAAATCTCGGCCGAATCCGCTTCGAGACTGTTACGGAGCGCTGCTTTGGGTAAGCTCTACATCATCTATGTCATTGCAGGTTGATTAATATTGGATTAATGTAGCTACTTTATGGATCGCGAGCTTGACATGTTATGGCGACGTAATGCGGTGGAATTGTTGATATCCTTATTGCAAAAGGTGCCTCAAGATTACATGTTTTCCTTTTACAAGCGTCATGTTTCCGACATTATGGGCATTCTGAATCAAGAGGAGCTACGACGTGGCACTGACAAGGAGATTTGCGTTGACCTGGATGAAAGATATTGCGGCTTTCGTTTGATGGGGATATCCTTTTTCTGATGCAATAGTGGGATGGGATGGGATGGGATGGGATGGGAATGGTATCAATGCAAATGATCATCCTTAACGAATTATAGCACACCCTTTATTCTCGAGCAGATTATGGTCAGCAAATCCATGGCACTACAAGTGAACTTGCAATGCATTACGAGAAAGATGGTCCTTCAGCGAATGGCACAAAGTTGACAAACGACCTTCTCAATGATTACATCCGCTCAAAGACACCCAAGGTATAATTGTGGATATACAAGAGTTGAACCGGTAGCTTATTAGCATTGTGACAGGATCCTCGTGAAACACCAGTGGTCTTGGAATCGCGTCGACGATATCAGCAAGCGGCGTACAATGCTATCGCCAAAGCCATTGATCGCACCCAGTCAAAGCCAAAGATCTTTGCAAAGGCCCTTTTTGCTGATCCCAAGCAGCAACCTCTATGGCAGAATATTGTGGATGTCGATGGGAAGCTCGACCTCAAGGATCAGTTTACAGAAAGGATGTCCAAGAAAAACATTGAAGATTTTCGTGCCAGGTCCGGCTTCCGTGCGTCTGCAAGCAACATGACAAATGATCAATACATGAAGTCCATGCAGCTGAGTAAAAGCAGGTAAGATGCGTCTCCATTGAAAAAGGGGAACAAGATGCTGATTACTATCCTTAGTCTCGCCGAACCATCATTCTCTCAGGTAAGGATGCTATTGAGAATGGGTGAAACTTGTGCCTTGTTACTTACTTTTTCAATATAGATGGTCCTGGAAGCCACTGGGCAGCAAATTCCTGGCAAGGAAACCGAATCTCTACCGGACGATCCTATGGAGATTGATTCTGAAGTGCAAGAGGAAGTTCAAATGGATGAAGACGCCACACCGTAAGTTGTCATTTTGGGGGAGGGCTTGTTTATGAGGATTCAATAAGTTGACCACGTGTCCTACAGCGAAGATGAATATGAATTGGATGAGATCAACAAGAACCCATGCATGGAAACCATGGTCACAATCATCAAGCGCTTGCATAACGTCATTGCCAAACCCGAGATGTATACATCCGGCATGCCAGAATGGATGACAGCTCTATCAAAAGTTTTCAACGCAGCGGGTAAGGATTTGAATGTGATGCTCTTGTACGTGTAATGGATCGCTTACTGGTTATATATATAGATACACCTTTGAATGTGCAAGTGTACATTGCCCGCTTGATCTGCAACTGCAAGTATGCGTTTGCACCTTATGCCGCTTACTGGATTCGACCTATCATGAAGCTAGCTTTGAAAGGCAACACATTTGGTGCACCCATCAACTACCTTGTGCAAGATCTAGTGGTTTTGGTGATTGTTTGGGGAGAGCAAGTTACCTTTAAGGATGACTATGACGATCGTTTATTGATTTCAGACTTTGTGGTAAGGCACAATCATATAGCGCACGCATGTGTTATAGAGTATTAATGAAATGAGTAGCATTATTTGATCAAGAACACCCTCATCAAGGAGAACAGTGGGGTGCAGGAGCTGCGTGTTATCAAGTTTCGAGTGTATTTGGTCAAGAAGCTATTTGACTTGTGGGGCAAACTTGTTATTGTTCCAACGGTAAGCTAATAACCTTCGTTGGGCTCGCTTTCTTTGTTATTAATAATCCTGCTGCTGTTAGGATATCATTCTTGACTTAGCGACAAGGAACCAAAAGTCGAGAGAAAATCTTGCCGGCTTACAATTTGGAGGCATGTTTCTTGCACATGATTGTGAACTTTACTATGATGGCCCAGAGGCGAACCTTCGAGGATTGACCGAAGAAGCATTCTACAACAAACTTGCAATCAATTTCCATCACAAGTATCGTGACGTTGTTGGCGATGCAGCTGAGGTAAATGCTACAAATGGCACAGGGTATTGAGCGGGTTAGTAACTCATTCATCATAAAGGTGTTTGCATGGTCCATTGAATTGAAAAGGAAGAAAGGGCAGCCGACTGATTATCTCGAGAAGCTGTTGAAATCAAAGTTGACATCATTGGATCCCCAAGTCGGTCAGGGAGGCGACGACGCACGTTTCTTAGCTTGTCTTACGCGTATCCAGATCCATTGTCGTGATATTACCGAGCAATACATGAACAAGGTCCTTCGTTTGTTACCGCACGTCTATGGCAATGCCCAGGTGATGGCACTTCAAGTCATTGGATTTGCAATCGATAAGGTGGAGGAACCATTCGTTGATCTCATGAAAAACAAGGCTTTACTCAAGATGCTGAAACACGCGTATGTGAAATGAGGATTTTGCGTTTGTATGTGAAGGCATAAGCTGATATCCATTTTGTAGCAATGATCAAGCACAATCTATTCTCCTTGGTATATTGATCAAGATCGCACCCACTTTGAGCCCAGAACAAGTCGAATCAATTTTACCAACATTGACAAATGTCTTTGAGAAGCACGCCAATGGAGAATGCCGAGTAAGTATGACTACAGTTTACGTATGATTGGAATCCTCATATGTGAGTTATCCCTTTAGTCCATGTATTACACATTCCTGCAAACGGTCAATGACAATCTCATGGATACTCCGACACCTCTGAGATCAAGTATCAAGGCGTGCTTGCTGCGTGGATTGACAGATCAAAGCGAGGCTATTAGAGAGGGCTTGGCGGCCTATTTAAGGAAGATCTTCGACCTGAATGACAATGTATATGATCGATTGAAGGCGGTATTAAGGTAAGTTTATTGAAATGCATCGTTCGCAGATGACTAATTTGGGTTATTATCAAAGCATGTATGCTCCGGAGGTGGAGGATGTCTATATTCTCTATTCAATCCATTTGCTGCTCGAAGGCACAAAGGAGGCACAAGATTTCGACAAACCTTTATTCGACGCACCTCTTCCCGAAGCTCATTTTGATGATGAAGATCAGCAAATCGACACTTCGTGGCATTATAATGCTTCAATGACGCCCATGTTTGTGTTGTCACAAGAAGTGCGACCTCCACGACCACGTGCTACCGATCAAGAAGGCCTTATCCGTGCTACGCAAACCCAATTTGAATTCAGCTTAACTCAAAGTGTGACAGGTCAGTTGACATGGATACTACTATTTGGGATTGCCATGATCTCACAATTTCTTTGACAGGCAATACGCTTGCTTCATCCTATGCACCCCCTCCACCACGCACATCAGGTCCTTCGGCAACACAATCAACTTTTGGCACCCAAATGTCTCAATCGTGAGTATATCAATGATGATCCCACGCTTTAATGGATATGAATATATAACACTGTATTCTTATAGTTCGGCATCACAAGGAAGCATGGTTAAAGGAAATGACCCTTACAAGAGCCTTCACATGCGTATGGTCAAGCAAAGCAAGGATGAGACGAACAAGCATTTCCGTTCAATGCATGACAAAGATGCGCGTACGCGAATCCGGGAGGAAAAACAAAGACGACAAGCTGAGGAAAAACGGGTGCATCTATTACGGAGCTATCGAGTTGGTAGGTATATTGAAAGGAACAAAGGGGATCATGAGCTCTGATATCCTATATGCAAATCATAGGTGAATTACCTGATGTCCAAATCAAGTACAAGGATTTGATCGTTCCTCTTCAAACGCTTGGTTGCAACGACAATGAAACAGCACGTCTTCTATTTTCAGATTTAGTGGTGGCAATCACCGAACAAGAACCATCGGCTCCGGTACGTGCTTACTTTGATGTTATGGACAAATGCATGCTCACTCACATACGTTGATATTTGTAGAACGAGGAGAAGAAGTATCGTGAGCATGTGCTTGAGCTTGTTCGCAAGAATCTTTTCCAGAGCATCGACAGTTTTCCACCAGCTATTGGCTCCTTTTTACGCATTTGTTACGACTTGGACGACAATCAATTGGAGAGTACCCTTATCAACAGCATATGTGAAAAGAGCTACAATCAGCATATCGGTATTGCTCTTTTGGAAAAGCAAGGAATTCTTGGTATCGCCCCAAGACAAGGTAAGCCTCTTTGTGGTAATTTGGTGGAGATCAATGTTATCTGATATAGGATCATAGATACCAAAAAGAAGCGTACATCCAAATCACAGGAGAAGCTTGATGTCGGCAAAAAGCATTGGATCAATCTCGCGTTGCTTTATCGATCGATTGACGAGCCTGAAATCTTCCAGCATTTATACCAAAGCTACGTTGCAACACAACAACTTCCAAAAGGTAAGCAAGGGACATGAAGGGACCTACATGCGACTCACAATCTTCCATGATAGATGCTATCGACGCCGAGATTAGTGGACGTTTTGTGGAAGCATGTAATCTTTTTGCGGAGTCACATGACAAGTACAGTGAAGGAAATCCAGAAGAGGTAAGCGTATGGCGATTGTGCATTACACGAATGTAATCGCTCATATCCTGGTTAGTCATTTTTATGGGTACACGAACGCATGAAATGCTTTGAACAATTGCTACAGTGGCAAGACATTGCGGAGGCCATAAAACCGAACATAGGCGGAGGTTATGAGTTGATCTGGGATCTCGTTGACAAGGTAATACGAGAAGAACAGAGTGTGTGATGGAGAATGCTTATGCGACAAACTTTTAGGATGACTATATGGAGTACTTTTTGCGAAGCTTTACCAAATTGCGAGATGGCTGGAATGATGAGCACAACAATCTTATCGAATGGACCGATGACAATCCAAATCCGGTGTATCAATTTCTTGCATCTGCCATGACAATCCCTGATCGGCAAGATTACCTACTTCGAAATTTCGCATGCGGTAAGACATCAAAAACCTCATCGCATAAACACACACTGATGTTATAATGTTATGCATTCACATAGAGGTATCAATCAATGCCATTGTCGAAAAGGAGTTTGATCGTGCGGGATACTATGTGCGCAATGCATATGACGCCTTCCTTTCTACATGGACCACGTTGCATCCACTTGCTCATGGCAGTCGTATGGCCCAACTCATTAATTTGGAAAGGGTATGTGTGTTTGTAAGGATTCATTGTATAGCTGTGATGACTCATTTGGATTGTTTTTAGGCCACTGAAATGGAAGGCTTTTTGGATGTCATGTCTGATTTTCAACGTTCCACAGGCGATCCATCAAAGATGACAAAGTACCTACAATCACTATTGGTGCGATATCCGAATGCTCAATTGGATGCCATGGATGCGTGGGATGATGTCATTGACTCGAGGAATGTCATGGTCGAAGAACTTGAAAGACTTTGCGAAGATCGACAGGTAATGGAATACTTTTATGCGGGGTATAGTCGTGGTGTTGTATACTGACAGCGTATGTAGATAGTTGATGTGATGGGTCCTAAGCTATTTGATTGCCGCAAGCAATCTATACTCACTATGATGGCAGCAGCAAGAACACAGGGCAATGCCTCCGTAGCAATGAGCCACCTTGGTCGCTTGGATGATCTTGGGATTAGTGGTCGAGAACGCGGACTTGTCGGATTGCAGAATGAAATCACGCTTCAAGAGTTTATGGTGGATGGCCGCAAAAAGGCTCACATGCTAGCAAGAATGGTTGCCAATATCATCAAGGATGAGGTATGTTTATATACATCGTATTTGAGAATAGGCGCACGTATCTAATCCGATTTCCACATAGCATGAATTGCAACCATCAGAAGACCTCTATTATGAATACCAGTTTGCAGCTGCTCATGTCTTCGACTTGGCTCGCCTCACAATCCAACAAGATCCAAATGCGTTCAAGACCATCTTATCCAACTCTGCTTTCAAAAAGCTTCATGAGTCTCGCAATTTCAAGGATGCAACAACGATGGCAAATTATCTGGGCCACAATGGATACGCGTACATTAGAGATGCATGTGGTTCTTCCGTTGATGCTGAAGATGTAAGTGGGAGGTATGACAAGATAATGCACGTTTTACTTACACTTTCCCCCCATCAATAGCCACTGATGCAAGCCAAATGCAGTTGGAAGTTTGCCGAATACTGTGACAATGTTATGCGTGCAAATGATGTCTATACGGATACCCAGGTAAGCAAAGCGGATTGCTGTATACATTTGTATATGTGAGACTTATTTTTTATTTAGGTCAATGTCCCTATTGAATACACTCGCATCGTGATTCAGGGTTATTTTTCATCCATGGAAGCTGGCAATCATCAAGCCATTGAGCGGTTCCCACGTATGCTTGAATTGATCGAACGATATCCAGAAGTCGGGAGTGTTTTCAAGGAAAGGGCCGAAGCATTTGAACAAGTGTGGATGTACATTCGTTGGATTCCTCAAATGGTGGCTATTCTCGACAGACCAATCGCTCTCAACATCTTCCCTGCGTTGCACAAGCTTGCCCGTGCATATCCGAATGCCCTCTACTATCCATTTACGATCAGCAATGAGCATTATTCAAGTATGGGTGATCAATTGCCAAAGGAGAATCGACAAGAAATCGACAAGTTGGCAGCTGCTATCCGTTCACCTTTGATGGAAAAGCTCAACTTTGAATTGCGAAGACTTGGTAACCCTATGACGATCGCCAAAGACTTTGTGGATATTGTGAGCGTAAGTATACATGTATATGCTTTCATGAAGCGATACATATTCAACGTACTGTTTTGTGTAGGGTTACTTTAACGATCCCAGCATTTCCATTGATGCAGTCAAGGAAGCTTATCGTGAACTATATGACCTCGTGCTGGATAGGGGCAACCCCGAAATTGGAGAGATCCCAAAGGCTTTTGCTACTAGTCATGGAAGCTTGTTCACTGATACATTTGGTAAGTTATCATACATGTTGGTTACCGTACGCGTGGCTAATGAATAATACGCTACTAGGTGAAAATGGATCCAAATTGGAAAAGTTGAAGAAGGCAGATTTCCAAAAGTTCAGGGGAGCTTTCGAGAAGGTGCTTCAGCGAGACAGGAACAAGACACCACGGACTATCAAGTCTCTTAAAGCCCATTCTCCATGGCTAGCTAAGTTTCATGGTTCAAACTTTGACGAGCAGCTGGAAATCCCAGGCCAGTATTCAGGAAAATCCAGACCAGATCCTGCAGCCCATGCAAAAATCATCAGCTTTGACGAACGTCTTTTGCCACAAAGTTCATTGAGAAGACCCAAGCGGCTAACCATGAACGGAAGCGATGAGCGGCCACACAATTTCTTGGTCAAGGTAAGTAGCATATTGCGTTATGTGATTTGATGATCTAATACGTTGATGTTCTGTATAGGAAGGAGAGGATTTGCGTTTGGATCAACGTATTCAGCAGCTATTTGGAGTTATGAATGAGATTCTTGCCAAAGACCCTTACTGTGCAAAACATGGAGTCTCGATCAGAACGTACAATGTAAGTTGACATTTGGATTTAAAGCGAGTTGATCCTCACATTTTGTTGGCAAGGTTGTACCTATGACTACAAGCGTCGGCATGATTGAGTGGGTCAATGACACCATCCCCCTAAAAGAATGTGTGTCACAAGGCGTGTATGGAGAACAGATCAAGGCAGCATACAATAATTACAGGAGATATTACGAACGCGATGTACGACGTAAGTAAATTACATCCCGCTTTTATCCATTGTCCTCATCGTCGACTATAGAATACGTCACGTCCATCAAAACACCTCGCAAGGACATTGTAAACCGATTTGAGGACGCCATGCGTGGCATGGATAGCAGCACGTTGCGTCAATACTTGCTCCAAATGGCATCATCCCCTGAAGCATTTCTACTCATCCGAAAAGGCTTTATCAACAGCTTGGCTGCCATCAGCATATCTGGATACATTCTCGGCATTGGTGATCGACACATGGAAAACTTTTTGGTCGATAAAAAGTCTGGACAGATGATTTCGATTGATTTTGGACACGCATTTGGCTCGGCCACTGAATTACTTCCTGTGCCAGAAATGATGCCATTCCGCTTAACAAAGTGTTTGACCGGCACATTGGAGCCATTGGGATTGGGAGCACTCGAGTTGGTCATGACACATGTGTTACAAAGTAAGTCAAGGTGATCGTTTGAGGAGTTGAAAGACATGCTGATTTAATGATAACTTTAGGTTTGCATCAAAATCGTGATACATTGCTCAATGTCATGGATGTCTTTATTAAGGAGCCTTTGCTGGATTGGAGGAAGCAGGCGATCATCGAAATGACAACGCAACGTAAGTTAATGTATATACAGGGCCGACACAAGGAGGAAATGTCTCACACTTTGTACTTGATAGGATCCACAAATCGATCATCATCAACCGCCACAGCAACCAAGTCAGCTCAAGCTACCAGATCCAATACAAGTACGGGTGGTGGTGCTGCTAGCGGTGAACCCTCATCATCAGAGACAACCAGTATCAGTGATCAAATTGAGTGGTTCCCTCAACAAAAGCTTGACGCTGCACGCAAAAAACTTAATCTTGAAAATCCCGGGTGTAAGTAAAAGCGTCCGCATAATAGTCCTCATTGACTGACAACATCATGATTTATTATTTAGACACCATGGCAGCGAGCATCAGACGTAACAAGAGGGTAGAGAAGGAGAAATTGGGAGAGAAGTTTGCGGCACTTGCCCTTGGCGACCCGGATTACAATTATCGTGCAACCATTGACCAGGAATGCCCATCGATTAGGGACCAAGTTCGATGCTTAGTAGATATCGCTACGGATCCAGCAATTCTTGGTAGAACGTGGGTAGGATGGATGCCGTTTTGCTAAAATTAAAGATTGCATTATTGTATCCTTTATTGTTGATGATTAATAGCAGCAGGAGTGTGTGTATGGTAGCATGTTGAGTGAGTGGATATGAGAAGTGTGGAGGACATTAACAACAAGGAAAAGGGAAAATAATAAGCTATGAAGAGGCGTATCGATAGTGTTGCCAAGGTTGCATGGATACGATAAAGGAATGTAGGCCACCACAGCAAGATGCAGGCTGACACACCGCGCGCAACAATTCCGCTCCTATGACATGTGCCGCATGACTTTGGGCTCGCTCTTTATATCACTACTTGTTCTTTCTTTGGATACCCTGACACAATGGACTTTTCTTATTGCCTCACAAAGGACATTGAGCTTCCTGTTTCAATACGAATGTAAGACTACCTGATTATTACTGCAGCGACAACAGGCAACTAACATGGTATCACCATCAGTGCAAGCTTGGAAGGCACGCGGGATCGCCGGCAATGGATCAAGGACGACTCTCGACCTCACATTCATGACGAGTAAGCATTCATTCCTAGGGTCGATGGTGCATTTCAAAACTAACGTTGACTGCAAGGGAGCACACCGACTTTTATGTCACTGTACAGCTTTTTGGCGACAACAAGCCGTTGACGGTTCCTGTGCGTACGTGCTACAAGGCGTTTAAAGCCCACTGCAGGTGCGTGTGTGTGTATATGGTTCATGCTTGGGCTATCAGGATCTGTATTAAAGGATGTCAATAGCTGGAATGAATGGTTGACACTACCTATCAAATATTGCGAGTTGCCACCTTCAGCACAATGCGCTATCACCGTTTGGGATACAACGGGACCACGACAAGCTATACCCGTAGGCGGAACAACATTGCAGCTCTTTGGCAAATACTAGTAAGTGATGACAAGAATGACGGTGCATAGAATGGCATTGACACGTGGACATGCATGCTAGTACTCTCCGAAAGGGTAAACACAAGCTGCATTTGTGGCCTGGTGTAGAATCGGATGGCAGAGTCAATACCAAGACACCAAGCAAAGTCAAGATGGATGATGATATGGATAAGCTGGAAAAGGTACAAGACAAAGCAACGGGATTCACGTGCACGCATTCTCATATATGTATTGATTGCTGTAGCTGGTCAAACGATATGATTGTGGCGATATTCGTCCAGTAGAGTGGTTGGATAACATGGCGTTTAGATACATTGAAAAGGCTCACACGGTAAGGGAAATGGATGTGAAATGTGGCATGCGTCTTAACTCTTTTATAATAGAAAGCGGCTCAAAAGTCAACCGATATGGCTTTATACATTGATCTTCCCAAATTCGATTTCCCGGTGGTTTTTGGAGAGATGGTAAGGTATCATGGATGGCATGTATGTACCATCTCACACGCGTATATAGGAATACACATTACCTAATCCAAGCGATTCATTGGCAAATCCTCAACAACCAGCCTCACAATCCAATGCAAATATGATGAATCAATCGCTTCATAGCGATGTAGCGGATCAACATCGACTTTCCAATGCACACCCAACCGATTCTCCTCGTTCATACGCACTCGTACTCGATCTAGACATCATTCGTGACAATCCGGTGGAAGCAAAGCATCGTCGTCTTGTTCGCAGCCATCGAAATGGACCACTTGATCGTGATTTGAAACCCAATCCAAAGATTCGAGACGAATTAAATGTAAGCATCATGATAAAGAGATCAGGAAAAAACATACCAACCTCTTTTATGTGTTTAGAGTATCATGTCTTACCCACCAACCCAAACGCTGACCACGGAGGAAAAGGATCTTGTTTGGAAATTCCGTTATTACTTGACAAGGGATAAGAGGGTAAGTTTCATCATGATGAAGTAAGCTATTCCACTGATGAGGAAGATACTAGGCCTTAACCAAGTTCTTGAAATGCGTGGTGTGGACGGATGCAACGGAAGTGAGGCAAGCTGTGGATATCTTGTCTTTATGGGTGGACATCGACGTGGATGATGCTTTGGAGTTGCTTGGCAAAGAATTCGGCAACCGGGCTGTAAGATCTTATGCTGTCAATCAGTTGAGAAAAGCGGATGATGATGTAAGTAAACCTGATTATGGATAACCCATGCGTAGGGACCACAGCTCACATGTACGTGATAGGATCTGCTACTTTACTTGTTGCAGCTTGTGCAAGCATTGAAATTCGAACATCTCGTTGAGAAAGGATCAGGGTCATACGAGTCGTCGTTGCTTCAGTTCTTGATTGATCGTGCTACTCGCAATCCCGTTTTGGGGAATTACTTTCATTGGTATGAGGGTGCTTTTTATCAAGCAGTATGATCACTAATCCATGATCAGGTATCTTATGGTCGAGTGCGAAGACAAGATTGTCGGCAGGATGTACGCAAAAGTCACCTATCATTACTTTACTGCAATCTTGGAGGCAAGTCTTAGTGTGAAATGACGAGGGGCTAGCTCTAACATCTTAATACAGGTTCCCTATGGTCATAATCGACGTGATACCCTACGACAGCAGGGTGAGCTTATCCAAACATTATCCAAGCTATCACAACAAATACGGGCAATGAAGGAACCACGAGCTAAGAAGGTAAATGGAGAAAGAAGCTCACGTGGATGATGATCGTTTGTTAACGTCTTGTGGTTGATATAGATTGAAAAGTTACGTGCCATCTTGGGGGACCCCAAAGGAATGTTGTCAAATCTGCCAGGTCTTCCATTACCACTAGACCCCAATGTACGTGTCCGGAGCATTCTTCCAGGTGAGCATAATGGCTTCTCCACTCCCATCCCCTCAAGGCTAATGACTTTTTCTTAGAAAAATCGAGCATCTTCAATAGCAACCTTCAACCTCTTCGGTTGACCTTTATATGCGATGATGGTTTAGAATACCCAGTAAGTGGAATACCTCGTGTGATTAGAAGAGTCAAGTGGATGATGCTAATCCATTGATGTTCTACTTTAGGTTATATTCAAGACCGGAGACGATTTACGACAAGATCAGCTGGTCATCCAGATTATTACACTGATGGACAAGCTATTGCGCAAAGAGAATTTGGATCTTCGATTGACGCCCTACAAGGTGCTTGCTACTGGCCCAGAGCATGGTCTCATGCAATTCATCCCATCCATGTCCCTCGCAGCTGTGTTGAACGAGCATCAAAACAATGTCATTGACTTTTTCAAGAAACATCACCCAGATCCTGGTCCAGATGGCATTTATGGTGTGGATGCTCAAGTGATGGAAACATACATTCGCAGTTGTGGTAAGCTTGTATCCTTTCATGATTTTCATTGGAGCTGACAGCATCTTTTTGTGATTGTATTTTAGCTGGCTATTGTGTCATCACCTATTTACTCGGTGTAGGAGATCGCCATCTCGATAATTTGCTACTCTCTCCAGAAGGTCAGTTTTCGATTTCATTTTGCAACAAGTAAATTGACATGTGTGTGTATAGGCTACCTCTTCCATGTCGATTTTGGTTTTATCCTTGGACGTGATCCAAAACCTTTCCCGCCACCTATGAAACTTTGCAAAGAGATGATTGAAGCTATGGGCGGTGCCAACTCGCGCCACTATGACAAGTTTAGGCAATACTGCTATACAGCTTTTACGACATTACGACGCAATGCCAACTTGATTCTCAACCTGTTTGCACTCATGGTGGATGCCAACATCCCTGATATCAAGATCGAACCCGATAAAGCTGTCAACAAGGTGCAAGAAAAGTTTAGGTTGGATCTCTCTGAAGAGGCGGCTATTGCTTATTTCCAGAGCTTGATTTCAGAAAGCGTGAATGCTCTATTCCCACAAATCATGGAGACCGTACACAAATGGGCACAATACTGGCGTAGCTAGGATAGTAAACAAGCGATCTCCTTAATAAACAAAGTCATTCATCTACCAGTAATCCTAAGTTGTTCGCTTCATTCGTAAATGTTTGATCTCGTCCAATGGCTGCACTACCTATGTAGAGCAATGATTTATAATAAACTTGCACGTTTACGCAACCGCATTATGATCTTGTAGTCTTCGTCTTTACAGGAGCTGCAACTCTTTGACTTCCATATCATTATTGTAATAATAAGACGATACTCAAAGGTGGTCTTTGTTCATTGTCAAGTAGATAGACCCTGACAGAGCAAAAGATGCAGATGCACGTGTTTGTGTAACACCACTGATTATGCATGGCTGGACGGGTCAATGTATAATGCTTTATGGATTATCTAGAAACATGGGTATTGCCAGCTAACAGCAATTTCCTCACAATCGGCACTGTTGTTAACTCTATGACATGTGAGCGATTTTCATCCTCCAGACATTCATTTCCATGATTCAATCATCTTGATCCGAGCTGATTTGGTTGAGTTACGGTCGAACAAGGATTAATCAGCTGAGACATTCGAATGTATGCTGATGTATGTATTGATGTAATCTCTCTTTGACCGTAGCTCAGCCAAATCAGCTCGGATCAAGATAATTGAATCATGGAACTTAATGTCCGGAGGAGGAGGATCGCTCACATGTCATAGAGTTAACAACAGTGCCGATTATGAGGAAATTGCTGTTAGCTCGCAATGTATGGGCTATTGTCAATAGTATACAGTATCATCCTTCCATCCTTCCAGTCATGCAAAGTAGCTGAGTTACACAAAGAGGTTCCTCTGCATCTTTTGCTCTGCCAGGGTCCACCTACTTGACAATGAACAAAGACCACTCTTCATATAGCATCACGCTTACAAACATAAAGGTGCCTGTATCTCGAAACTTTACAATGAAACGTGGGGCTTTGAATAGAGCAATGTGCTCGGCTTGGCCAACAGCACCTTGTGTGAAAGTTTCACGTTCAATGTCGCAAACAGCCCAAAAAATATTTTTTTGGTCGTCGTCGTTGAAGAGGTCGACCCCCAGATCCAGTTTGGCTGGTAGCGACATTGCGAAATCTGGGATTGGCAAGCTTGATCGTGAAACTTGCACACAAGGTGCAGTTGGCTAAGCCGAGCACGTTGCTCTAATAAAAACCCTACGTTTCATTGTAAAGTTCGGAGATACAGGCACCTTTACATTTGTAAGCGTGATGCTATATGAGAAGTGGTCTTTGTTCATTGTCAAGTAGCTGGACCCTGGAGAGCCAAAGATGCAGAAGGACCTCTTTGGGTAACTCAGCTAAAAAGTCAGGACTTCAGGGGCAATGCATGAAAGGTACGCAACCCTCACTTTAATGTCATACATTGGCAGCTAATAGCCACTTTTGTGCATTCCCAACTTTTGTGCATTCTATTGTAGGTGGGCGGTGCTCCTGCTCTAGACATTCATTTCCATGATTAAAGTAGGTTGATCCGAGCTGATTTGGTTGAGTTACGCTCACACAAGATTACATCGGTTGAGCTACATCGAGCGTGCTTTATGTCCAGAGTGATGTAATCTCTCTTTGACCGCAGCTCAGTCAAATCAGCTCGGATCAACCTACTTTATTCATGGAAATGAATGTCTGGAGCAGGGGCATCGTTCCCATGCAATGGATCTGGGAACAATGATGATTGGATAAAAGTGGCCGTTAGCTAGCAATACATGCCTGGCTGGACGGGTCAATGTATAATGCTTTATGGATTATCTAGAAACACGGGGTATTGCCAGCTAACAGCAATTTCTCATAATTCGGCACTAAAGAAATCCCCATGACATGTGAGCGATATCCTCCCATACTATTTCCATGATTCAATCATCTTGATCCTGAGCTGATTTGGTTGAGTTACGGTCGAACAAGGATTAATCAGCTGAGACATTCGAATGTATGCTGATGTATGTATTGATGTAATCTCTCTTTGACCGTAGCCTCGTTTTCAAACTCAGCTCGGATCAAGATAATTGAATCATGGAACTTAATGTCCGAGGAGGAGGATCGCCTGCATGTCATAGAGCGGGTCACAATGGTGCCGATTATGAGGAAATTGCTGTTAGCTCGCAATGTATGGGCTATTGTCAATAGTATACAGTATCATCCTTCCATCCGCTCCAGTCATGTAAAGTGGCAGCTGAGTTACACAAAAAAGAAATTTCCTGCATCTTTTTGTTTCGTTGTAGTCCACCTACTTGACAATGAACAAAAAGACCAATTCTCTATATATCACGCTATGTTATGCCTGTATCTCGAAACTTTACAATGAAACGTGGGGCTTTGAATAGAGCAATGTGCTCGGCTTGGCCAACAGCACCTTGTGTGAAAGTTTCACGTTCAATGTCGCAAACAGCCCAAAAAATATTTTTTTGGTCGTCGTCGTTGAAGAGGTCGACCCCCAGATCCAGTTTGGCTGGTAGCGACATTGCGAAATCTGGGATTGGCAAGCTTGATCGTGAAACTTGCACACAAGGTGCAGTTGGCTAAGCCGAGCACGTTGCTCTAATAAAAACCCTACGTTTCATTGTAAAGTTCGGAGATACAGGCACCTTTACATTTGTAAGCGTGATGCTATATGAGAAGTGGTCTTTGTTCATTGTCAAGTAGCTGGACCCTGGAGAGCCAAAGATGCAGAAGGACCTCTTTGGGTAACTCAGCTAAAAAGTCAGGACTTCAGGGGCAATGCATGAAAGGTACGCAACCCTCACTTTAATGTCATACATTGGCAGCTAATAGCCACTTTTGTGCATTCCCAACTTTTGTGCATTCTATTGTAGGTGGGCGGTGCTCCTGCTCTAGACATTCATTTCCATGATTAAAGTAGGTTGATCCGAGCTGATTTGGTTGAGTTACGCTCACACAAGATTACATCGGTTGAGCTACATCGAGCGTGCTTTATGTCCAGAGTGATGTAATCTCTCTTTGACCGCAGCTCAGTCAAATCAGCTCGGATCAACCTACTTTATTCATGGAAATGAATGTCTGGAGCAGGGGCATCGTTCCCATGCAATGGATCTGGGAACAATGATGATTGGATAAAAGTGGCCGTTAGCTAGCAATACATGCCTGTTCGTAGATGATCCATAAAGTAATTATACATTGACCCTTTCATTCATGCGAACGTAGCTGTGTTACACAACGCGACCCTCTGCATCTTTTGCTCTGCCAGGGTCTAGCTACTTCACAATGAACAAAGACCACTTCTCATATAGCATCACGCTCACAAACATAAAGGTGCCTGTATTTCCGAACTTTACAATCAAACGTGGGGTTTTTAATAGTGCAATGGTCTCGGCTTGGCCAACAGCACCTTGTGTGAAAGTTTCACGTTCAATGTCGCAACTAGCCCAAAAAATATTTTTTTGGTCGTCGTCGTCGAAGAGGTCGACCCCCAGATCCAGTTTGGCTGGTAGCGACATTGCGAAATCTGGGATCGCCCACGATGAACTTCATACTTTGACACAAGATTCCTTTGACCCCGACAAGCACGTTGATCTATTGAAGAACCCACGTTTGATTGTAAAGTTTGGAGATACAGGCACCTTTATGTTTGTAAGCGTGATGCTATATGAAGAATGGTCTTTGTTCATTGTAAAGTAGTATGACTATAATAGAGCAAAAGATGCAGAAGGCGTGTTTGTGTAACTTGAGTCATTCAGCACAGGCGATGCATGATTCTTGTACACTATTTAGGATTAGTTCAAAATGCCAGCTAATATCCTTAGTCCTCCCATTCTCCATTGTTGCCCAATCCAATGCATGTGAACGATTCCCCTGCTCCAGCCCATCATCTCCATCCTTCAACTTTCTTGATCTGAGAGGATTTGACTGAGTTATGGTCAAGCACAGAAGTATCATCCAATATGAGAAAGATCAAATTGCTTAGTTATTTGTAAACTGCTGGTTGATAGCCCATTCCTTCCATTCACCTTTGTTGACCAAACCAATGCATGTGAACGATTGTCCTGCTCCAGCCCATCATCTCCATCCTTCAACTTTCTTGATCTGAGGGGATTTGACTGAGTTATGATCAAACACAGAAGTATCATCCAATTACGAGAAAGGTCAAATTGATTAGTTATTTGTAAATTGCCAGCTAGCAGCCCATTCAGCCCATTCACCTTCGTTGTCCAATCCATTGCATATGAACGATTGTCCTTCTCTAGCCCAACGTTTCCATCCTTCAACATCCTTGATCCGAGAGGTTTTGACTAAGTAACGCTCAAACAAAGAAACGTCATCCAACTTCAGAAAGATCTACTTGATTTCCAGCTCTTCCACTTTCACCTTCTTCCCTCTTACTCCCCATTCTCAACTGTTGCCCCATTCAAGTATACAACTACCACCTGTGAACGATTGTCCTGCTTCAACCCATCATGTCAATCCTACAGCTGCCTTGATCCGATTGTCTCTGATTGAATGGCAAGTCTATGGCGTGTACACAGCTTTGTCACTCTACAACACACGAGGCTCTTGACACTTCACCAACTCTTGTACAATCCTCGACCACAATCAAACGTAAGGCATTCATTCCAGCAGTTGCAATCAGCAAAGTTTTTACTCCATTGTCTCCAGCAGTGTTCTTTACTTGCAGCAACCTGCCTTACAGCCTTTTCACGTGAACAGCAGATAGCCATTATAGAGAAGCAGCTTTATTTACGTGTAGCAACTTGCTTTCAATACATACGATTTATGGATATGGATATGGATGTGGATACATGGAATGGAAGGGCATTGGTATATGCAACGAGTGAAAAAGAGCTTTGTTCTCATGTATTCATTGTTGACTTGATTCAATGATCGTATTTTACAGTATTCAATGGAATCATCATCCTTTGTGCAACCTGCCAACAACCATCATCATGCAGCCCCATGTTTTGAGACGCTATGCGAACTCGATCCATTCACCCTTGCTCAAAGGATTGAAACTTCCCATATCGATGTATCTCTATCATTGCAGCAACTCGATCGCACTTGTGAATGATGTTGGATTAAAGGGTTACTTGATGAAGGACGACGTTTATTGTATCATAGAAAGATCAATGCGGGATTGTAGAACTATACCCACCTGTCAATGTTGAAATAAAGAGAAAGTGATTGATTCATTGTGTCTTGAGCAAAGGCTGTATTCGATACTGTAGGGTATTTCAATCCCCTTCTTTTGTCTTTGTGAAGATTCGCTCTTGCCAATAACATCCTACCACATGTTCCTTTTTGTGAGTTAAATCTTTAAGATAGTGACATCAATACAATGATTTAGGAGAATCCATGCAATGCTTAAAGCAATCTATTCAAAACAAGCTTAATGCCTTTACTTTTTGCAAAGCTAATCAAGTCATCTACACCAGCTGGCATTCTTTGTGCTCGGGCGAGCGAGAACGTGGCATTGCGCAACTTGGGTAATCCATCGATAAGGGTCTTGATTCCACGGGTAGTGACAATAGGGCAGTCGACAATATCCAATATTTCCATCAATGGCGCATGGGGTATGAGTGCTTCCAATGCCTTGTCATCCAATTCACGAATCGATAACAAGCGTAACTTTTCTAATGGCATGTCATGGAACACCTGAAATAGCTGGGATAAATGATCACTGTTGGCACCGTCAAGCGCTGTGAGTTCCAATTTACGCAAGGTGGTGATTGTACCCAATCGCCGTATCAGTGCACGCCATTGTTGATCACGATCATCGCCGTATTGCCATATTTCCAAGTGAATCGAAAGATGTTGTAGTGTATCAAGGTTCATAAGTGCGTGCCATATCTTGTCAGTGATGGAGTGGTGATCTACCGGATACAGTGCCACCGTTTCAAGGTTGGGTGATTGTCGAATCAAGGATGCAATGGTATCTGGTGTGCATTCATGCATTTGAGCACATACAAGTGTCTTGAGGCTAGTTGATTGGAAGGAGTCAAGGTCGCTCCATGATGGAACCTTTACAGGCACCCACGTACTAAGATAGAGATACTCGATTGTGTGCTGATGTTCCAATACGAATTTCATAGCATTGATGTCGTCACATGCTCCCCAATGACCAAAGTAGCGTAAGCCCTGCTTGTCAGAGGATGATGATGGTGGAAACTCTACCGTCTTGGGTACAGCGAATTCGCCAATAAACATGGATTGAAGTTGAGGACAAGTGCTCATTATGTCGTGACAGCTGATAGGGTCTGCAACAGCGATATGAATATGTTGTAGTGTTGTTGAGCATCGTTGCAAAATATCCATCCAGTCGGCTTGAAGGTTTTGGGTTGTCAATGCCAAGGACACCAAACCGAGATCTTGCGCAATTGGCAGAGGAGGTGGAGGTGGAGGATATGGGCACATGTCAGCATTCTCAGCAAAGGCAAGTATCGGATACATCGCATCATAATGGCACCCAAAATGTCGCAAACAATCACCCTCGCTAGCAGCCATAATGATCCCAATAAAGTCCAAGCATACACCAGAGATACCATTGAATTTGAGTGATTCGCACCTCACATTTTTCAGGAGATCAGCAAGACGCTTATTATCCTCAATCTTGAACCAATCTATCACTATCATCATCATCATCATCATCATTAACAACAAGGTCAATAAAGAAGTCATTAGCATGTATAACTTACCAAGAGATTGTAAATGACATCCTTGTAGTCGTTTGAGTGCATGATGTAGCAATGCATCATTGTCGCCCTTGACGATATTGCATGAATCGATATACTGGCCAAAACACGAGGTCTGTGCAAGGAAAACGAGATGGCCATGGGTCTTGATATCCACATGCTTCCATAGGTGACTCGAGTAGGGTGGGAGATGCTGACGCCATGAGCGATTCACTTGTACACATTCAAGAAAGTCGTGTCGATTGAAGTTGTTGGCAATCTTGCGAACAATCTCGGGTGGGAATCTCTCAAGCATGGACAAGGAAACGAGAAGGGATAAAAGGTAGCCTGGCAATGGGAACCCTCTTGTATAAGGATATGAGTACAAGTGAAAAGGTAACTCGAAAAGAGGTGTACCGCAGTAAGATTGATGACCATTCTGCCTTAATTAGGATATCAGGATTCATGCACAGACAACCATTTTATCGCTTTATTGGACCCCTTTACGAGCGCAGCAATTCACACGCCATGCGTTGTTAAGCAACGATGTTGTCACGAACTACCATGTTGTTACTCCCACACACTCTCACTCGTTCGCTGCGTACATCCTCAAGACCCCCCTTAGTAAGCTTGATGGCTTGATGTGGTGTTCTTTGTAATAAACTTGGTCGTCGTTAGCGTGCCATTGTTATCCTACTACTTTCATTGTCGTGGTTGCTATCGTATTACTTTATTGGATCCCTATGATAACATAAAAGCCTAGTCGTAAGAGCTCTTGAAACAAAAGGAATGAGACAAGCCAAGCCCCTTAACCATGGCATGGTATTCCTTATCCTCACACAAATTTGCACTACCATGATTCGACAAATGGAGTACTCAAATGTCAGACTCTCATTGTGCGCAGCCTTCTTCCTCCATCTTTACACCATTATCCCTCGAACCACTTTACCTCTTATCCTCCGCTTTGGCTAAGAAGAGGTTCCTTCAATGTCATATTTGCATAGTAAACGAGACCACGTATGTTTTCATTTATAGTTCTATGGAAGGCCAAGGGTGCATTGGAGGAAAAAGAACTGTATCTCTATTAAAGACGTTGCTGTTTTGGCATAATGCTTTGAGCCGCCTTTGGAATGCTGTAGCAGGTTGCACAAAGCTATTGATTAACAACACGATGTCGTGGTATAATCTCATGAGTTGGCTCAGCTCCCAGTCAAGAGCATTGGCTTCATCTGTGGTATCAGGGGAATAGATCCGTAGTAGTTGGAGCTTTGCAAAGAACGTGTAAAAGTAGTCTTGGGTATCGCCATCGAAAACACCATGGCCTGCTATAGGAAGATGATCATCATCATAGGGTCGTCGCTCATCATCATCTATTTCCATCATCTCCTCAAGCCGCCTCCTTTTCGATGGTCGTACGTCTCCATTGTCTCTCGCCATCATGTGGGTATTGGCCGCTGTATTCGCCAATGTGTTTTGATTCCCTGATTCAATTATTTCATCAGACCGCCTCTTTCTGGGTCGTTCATTATCTCTTGGGGTGTTGGTACTATGCAAGTCCACTAGTTGTAACTCAAGCACTATCGAGGTCGGTCGTTGGTTCTGGGAAAAGTATACACCAAATGGTACAAGAGTACGTCCTTATCATACATACGATTTAAGTTAATTGAATGTTCATGATTTTTATCTTTGAATTACCAATCAGTCGCACCACTGAACCTTCCATAATGTTGTTATGTATCATGTATCTCATAATGTTCTCCTCTTCAACTATGCACGTTACAGGAATACCGGATATGTCAGTGTCAAATCCAATTAGTAGATTGTTAGGTAGCTGCAGCCTCCTCAAAGGCGAGAGGACAATTGCCGTGGCCATAAATGTTATCATCGCATTGTCTTGTTGATCCATGGAGTTCACAAAGAGGGTAGACAACAAAGCGAGGGGTTGCTTAAAAGATGACAACTATATATGAATACAGGCGTTCATTGTATGCATGATGGCCCATTGTGTGTATCTTTTCGGTAATATCCCATCATTTCCGCTAGAGCTACTTGACAACACGGCGTTGTAAACGGGTTAATGTTGTCGTATATTACATGTAGATTTGTAAAAGGATTTCACCCAACTAAGATCGTAGTCCACAGTCACCCTCAGGTGCTGACCAAGCAATGTTGCAATGTGGGTTTTCATTATTAGTTGGCTTTTGTGAGAGAGGGACATGTAGCTATGATTTAATGGTGGGATGGTGATGAGTGCATATATGGAAAGCCAATGCAACTACTTTATCCAATCAAATATTTCGGATTACGTTTTGCGTATCCTATGGCGTTTTGTTTTCCCCCCTTTCAATTTTTGGATGAGTAAAGGAAGCTACCTTGTGGAATGAATAAGGTAAGAGACAATCTTTATTGATTACTTTGGGGATAGAATGGGTTCGTAACCAAGTATAGCGCCATGCATTGTCAATGACAGGTGACACAAATGCAAATGTCGCTGACATGAATGTAAAATGCATGTGAAAAACGGTGTGCCTGACTTTGAAATATCACTGCTTTGGCGATGACTAAGAGACTACGAGGCAAAGCATTGAAAAGGGGATTCCAGGAACATGCATTTTCCCGCTTTCTTTGTTTCCCCACACATCCTCTTTTTACTCCACCGCCATGGTTCTCAAGACAAAATTGACTGAAATGCTCGGTATTGAGCACCCCGTTGTTCAAGGTAAATGAAGCATGTGCGCCCATGACGGGACATTGGGGCTCATTGTGAATGTGACAGGTGGTATGCAATATGTCGGCACGGCTGAAATGGCATCTGCTGTATCGAATGCGGGTGGTCTTGGTATGATTACGGCATTGACCCAACCCACTCCCGACAAGTTGCGTGACGAGATTCGCCGTTGTCGCACCATGACCAGCAAACCCTTTGGTGTCAACCTTACATTTTTGCCTGCCATCACCCCACCTCCTTATGCTGAATACGCCCAAGCTATCATTGATGAAGGCATCAAGGTGGTTGAGACTGCTGGCAACAACCCTGGCAAGTACATCAAGATGTTCAAGGATGCTGGTATCATTGTGATCCACAAGTGCACTGCTATCCGTCACGCCTTGTCTGCCCAAAAGTTAGGTGTGGATGTGATCTCCATGGATGGTTTCGAATGTGCTGGTCACCCTGGTGAAGATGATATTGGTGGTTTGGTCCTTTTGGCCAAGAGTGCTACTGCATTGAAGATCCCCTACATTGCCTCAGGTGGTATGGGTAATGGTCGTAGCTTGGCTGCTGCTTTGGCTTTGGGTGCTGAAGGTGTCAACATGGGTACTCGTTTCATGTGCACACAAGAATCTCCTATCCATCACAACGTCAAGGAAGCCATGGTGAAGGCTGATGAACGATCCACCAGCCTTGTCTTCCGTCCTTTCCGAAACACTTCGCGTATCTTCAAAAACTCGGTCGCCGTTGAAGTCAATGCACGTGAACGTAACCCCAACGTCAAGTTTGAAGATGTTCGTGAATTGGTTGCTGGTGCTCGTGGTCGTCAAGTTTACACCACCGGTGATCCTGAATTTGGTGTCTGGACTGCTGGTCAAGTGCTTGGTCTTATCAATGATATTCCTACTTGCAAAGACCTTGTTGCTCGTATCGTCGCTGATGCTGAAGAGATTATCAAGGATCGTCTTATTCGTATGGTTGATACCAAGAGCAAGTTGTAATCTCCTCCATCCTTACTTTATACATATACCGCCTTTGTCACTACATCCATCCTCCCATACGCCTTCTTTTTATCTTATAGAAAGAGCTTGTTCTTTTTTAATAAAGAAAAAGAATACATAAAACTAGTAATTTGAATAGCAAAAAGGGGGTGATAAGATAAGAATGTAAAAGGTATAGAGAGAGAGAGAGGATGAAGGGATCAACGTTTGACACGCACAATACTTTTCCATGATGTGCCACTTTCGCGTCGATTGGATGCAGCAGCAGTAGCAGCAGTAGCTTGTGTTTGGGATCGTTTGAGATTAGTTGATGATGTGAAGCTGTCAAGGGTGAGACTCGATAAGTTGATGCCACCTTTTTTGCTTGGTGTTGGGCTCACAGGAGGTGATGTAGGTGTTTGTGTTTGTGATGGAGTGGTAATAATGGATAAGGATCGTTGTTGTTGTTGTTTTTGTTGTGCTCCTGCTGCTGTTGTTGTTGATGCTGGTGCTGATTGTGGTGGTGTTGGTAACGAATCTCGTGAAGAAGCACGTGATGGTGGTGGCATACAAGAAAGCACAGCTTTACGTGCCCAACGACGGCGTCGAGTGGAGATCCAGCCTTTATGCTCTGCACCAAACACTGACCAGAAAGGAGTTCCATACATCCATCCAAGCTCATCACTTTGACCATGGGCAGGATTTGCCAATCGCCATTCTTGTTCAGCCCATTGCCATGTCCATGTATGCCTTCCTGCGTGAATAGTTTCAGGGAGCTCAAATTGTGATTTAGGGCGAACGGGTTTACTTGTGCTGTCAGTCCATGTTGCACGATCAATGATAGGGAATGTTTGTGTCTTCCACCCACTCAAAGGCCATGATCGCTATAGTAAGTAGTCCATAGAAAGCTCGTAGTGAGTGATCCATAGTTTGGGGATGATCATCATCATCATTATTCTATTACCTGATTTTCATACAATACAAATTCAAATTCACAAGATGGCGTGTTTGCTTGCATATGCTTACGTTGGAAGTCTTCCACGTGTTGCGTGAGGGATACATTACGCGGATCGCCTTCTTCTTCAGATGATTGCTTATGTACCAAGGCAAGCCAAAGTGAATGTAAAAATACAGTTGGCATGCATCCTTTCCACATGGTTGTCAGCAGAGGATTATTGGCAAGAACAAATACAGTTCCCACGGCCCACATCACTTGCCATGGCTGGAATACAGTAATCAAACCGATCCATGCACTGACCATTAATGTCATCATTTGCCAATGACAGTGACTATCCCATGCTCGCTCGAGTCGATCAATAAAGTTGAGTGTTTCAAGTGCACGTTCCAATCGTTCATCGGCATCATCGTCCTTTTTGGAAGGTAGTGCTTGTTGCTTGTGATAGCTTGCGTATAATAAAAGGAGCGGGAATGCGTATTGGAATCCATAACAAAACATTGGCCAGCCGAAAAGGAGAAAAAGTGTATGATGTCGCTGTGAAGGTTGCCAGGTAGCAGCACCCCATGCTTTTTTGCAGAGACGTGGGATGCCAGCAACCCGTGCCAGACATCGAATTGAGATAGAAGAACTTTGAGGTGGCATTGTGGATGGATAATGCGCACACACAAAGATAGGTGGATAATAAAGCTGGGAGAAAAAGTGGGAAAGAAAAAGGAAGAAGAAAACAACAAACCATCACTACTTCTAGGTTGCGGAGGTTTGATGGGATTTTCATTACACTTGTGCAACCACCCAACAATAAGACTTGCTCGACCATTTTGACCAACCCAGATTCCCATCGTGATTGTTGTCGCATAGCAACGGTAGCCAACATCATCAATGCATAATAAAGGATATGCATGTGATCGCGTTTAGAATGAAGGCTAGCTGCTGATGCAGCACCATACCATGAATAGGTAGCAGTAGTAGTATGGTGCTTATGATTGGATTGTGTACATGATCATTTTATGACATGGTATCCATGCTAAGTACATACATAGGATGACTCAAGAATCGAACATGGAAATGATTCTGGCTCGTGAGATCCTGATTAACAAACGTGATGATGAATGAATGCATACAGATCCTGCCACGAAACATTCAATCACCGGTTGATTGTAACACAAGAAACTGGAAGAAAAAGCGACTAAGCTGCATAGAGTCATTTCTTTCTCTTTTTTTTCCTCCCTCCCTCCCTCCCTCATCTTTAGCATGTCTCCTCCTGCTGCAAGTGGTCGATCAGAATCTGGCACAGCACGTTTCCTAGGAAGTGCAAGCTCTGGTATCCTTGAGCTTTTGATCTTTCATCCAGTAGACACCGTTGCCAAACGCCTTATGAGCAACCAGACAAGGGTAAAAAGATCCATGACGACAAGGTTCATGTGATGCTCACATACTACCCACTGCTATAGATCTTTGGTGCGGGCCATTCCATGGCCGAAAGTCGGGCCGCCTTAAGTAATGTGATCTTCAAAGTAAGAACAAAAAAACACGTTCAAAGTGTGTATGGTATATTGAAAATGATGGTGGATGGTATATAGGATGCGGCCAATGAGGCATTTTTGAAAAAGTACGCGTCTTTGTTCCCTGGGCTTGGGTTTGCTGCAGGCTACAAGATTGCTCAACGCATTTACAAGTTTGGTGGACAACCGTTTGTAAAGGATTATCTTAACAAGCACCACAAGGATGCGTTTACAGCTGCATTTGGTGAGAAATCAGGCAAAACCATGATGCATGCAACAGCAGGAAGTCTTGTCGGCATTGGTGAAATCGCGTTACTTCCGCTGGATGTGCTTAAAATCAAACGCCAAACCAATCCAGAAGCTTTTCGTGGCCGTGGTTTCTTGACCATCATCAAAGATGAAGGCATGGGCTTATACAGGTAAAAGTGATGTTCATGTGCACATGTGAGAAAGGGAATACGCACATATGGATATTGATGTTGTTATAAAGGGGTGCTGGATGGACAGCTGCACGTAACGCACCAGGATCCTTTGCATTGTTTGGTGGCTCGGCGTTTGTCAAGGAGCACATTTTCCATCTTCATGACTACAACAAGGCAACCTTTTTCCAAAACTTTTGTGCATCCATTGGTGGTGCTGTTTCATCCATCACTGTGGCAGCACCTTTGGATGTCGTCAAGACGCGTATTCAGAATCGTAACTTTGAGAATCCTGAGTCTGGTTTCAAGATTGTCAAAGATCTAGTCAAAAACGAGGGACCAAGTGCTTTCTTCAAGGGGTTGACACCCAAGATTTTGGTGGTATGGACAACAAGGAAGGATGGTATACATATAAAATACATGAATGCTCACTTTTTATATCTTAGGTTGGTCCCAAGTTGATCTTTAGTTTCACTGTAGCCCAGCATCTAATCCCTGTGTTTGATCGCATGCTTTGATAATAGCAGGTTACTATTTTGATATAAAAGTAGCTTAGAGGGAATACAGTTTGTGTGTGTCACGTGTGTACGATAGATAAGGATTGTTATCATGACGATGATCTAGAATACCGGGGGGGGGGAGGGAGAAGGGACCATGCATTTGCATACTTTTATTGACAAAGTGATAGTACTATGGCGTTTTCTCACTAAAGGCGCCATCCAATGCGTACATTTCATAAGGCGGAAAAGTGATTGGGTTGTGCGGCACCTACAGTGACGGCCATCATCCTCTCTTTCTCTTTTTTTTTTCACACATACTCCTCCAACCCTTTTGCGCCTGTCAACAGTCACCAATGGCAATGAACTTTACTACTACAACACAAACGATGCTTCACGACACATCAGTACCAAAGCAACAACAAGAGCAGCATGCGCTTCGTTATACTTGGGTCTTTTGGTTTATGCATCGGACACGTGGAGCCAAGATCACCAACTACGAGGAAGGCATGAAGCGAATTGCAGCATTCTCAACGGCAAGTATTCATCGCTTGCTTTTAAAGAGTGAGGTGGCAATGTATCGGGTATCATAGCACAGTGCTTATTTGTCGTACAACAACAGGTCGAAGACTTTTGGGCCGTGTATAGTCACTTAAGGAGAGCTCGGGATTTACCTATTGTGAGCGACTATCAATTATTCAAACAAGGCGTTCGACCTGTATGGGAGGTACGTTGTGATGCTTGTAAAAGACACAATCGATCACTCATGCTCAATGTCACATGTTAGGATAATGCCAATATCAATGGTGGTAAATGGATTGTACGACTAAAGAAAGGATTGGCTACTCGATATTGGGAATTACTGGTGAGTATAAGGGAGGGGGATGTGATGGATCCATTGGAGCTCATGTTCATATTACGATCCAAGGTACTTGCTATCATCGGTGAACAATTTGATGTCAATGATGAGATTTGTGGAGCCGTATTATCAATCCGAAGCTCAGAGGATATCATCTCTGTATGGAACAAGACGTCATCCAATGGAAGGATCAATTTGAAGATCAGGTATGTACAACGGATAGATGGGAAGTTCGACAACATGTCTTATGGATATTGCTTGTTGCAGGGATACCATCAAAAAAGTTCTCAGCTTACCGGCGGATACGGTGATGGAATACAAGAGCCACAATGATGCATTAAAAGACAGATCCAGTTTTCGAAATACCGATATCTTTCGATAAAGCAAGAGGTTCTTTGTGTGTGTTCGAGCATGAATCATGGTTTTATTCTTGGATGATGGTGGCAAAAGGGGGTTGATCCGATTGGATGAGGAGGTGGAAGGTGCATGCAGATGATCCATTTCATTGGGAACTTTTTCTTTCTTTTACTCTCACACGCTCCCTCTCTTTCTTATTTTCTCTCTTTCCTTTTCCCCCTCTTGATGACATTCCCAAAAGCTTACGAGCGTATTCATCCATGGTACAGAGAACATGCGATTAAGCACGCAAATGATCCACCACCATCGACATTTGAAGAAGGACGTGAAAGGCAAAAGCAGCAGTATCGAGCAGAGCGAGAGAATGTGCCTCAAGTAGTGTGCAACACCTATACAATACCCGTGGATGAGACACGAAGCAAAGGCAACAACAGCAACACTGTCCAAGTATACGTGATACGTCCACCTGGTACCGAGACAACCATTCTTCCCGTGATGGTCTTTGCGTAAGTGAAAGTGGGACTTGTTTGTGACAAGAAATATCAACCATGGCTTGTTGTAGGCATGGGGGCGGATGGATTTATGGTGACAAGGAGATTTACGAGATACCTATTGGTGATGTAAGTGCTTTGAGGCTGGGTCAACAAGGAGAAGGGATGATTGATATCATGTTAAAACAGCTTGCAATACGTGCACGAGCAGCCATTGTCTTTGTTGAGTATTCGTTGACACCTGAAGTACAATATCCAGTGGCATTGGATCAAGTTTGGGCTGCTATTCGTTGGGTACAACAATCAAGTGATTTAATCCATGTTGATCCCAGCACCCTGATCGTGGCAGGTGATTCGGCTGGTGGCAACCTTGCTGCTGCTACATGTTGTAAGATGAAGGAAACGCCATCCCCTTGACGATGATGGTGACCATGTGTTATTATAGTGCTTGCCAAACAACGTGGTGGTGCTGATAGGATGATCCATGGACAAGTCCTTATTTATCCTTTGCTTGACTTTGCACGTCCTCATGCATCCGATTCATCGAACTCAGTGGCACTGTATGGTGATGGTCCAGAATTTGCTTTACCGATTGATGTGGTGTATCGATCCCAACGACTTTATTGTGGACAACAAACGACCACGGATATTCTCATCTCACCCACATTGGCATCCACCAAGGATCTTGAAGGATTACCACCAACGTTGATTGCCACAGCAGAATGCGATCCTTTGCGAGATGAAGGCGAAGCATACGCAACCCAATTGATGCAAGCGGGAGTCCCTGTGGCTGCGATCCGAGTTCTTGGAACCATTCATGGATTCTTCCAGATGAATAAAGTTGTTCCTCACTATTCCCAGCTTCTCGGGTCCATCACAAGCTTTATGCAAGATGTTTTCAAAAACTAGTTTTCTGTAACACAAAAGAGACTTTTCTTGTATGTATGTTCAAATAATGCAAAGGGTATCGTTTTTTATTATACATGGTGGTGGTTTTTGCAGATGCTTTTTTTTTTCTATACAGATGAGAGGAAATGACAAATATGTGGGGGTATCTTTTTTTGTTGTTTTGTTGTTGTGTATCTAGACATGGATGCATGCGTGCTGTGCTGGAGGAATCATAAAATGCTGTTGAAAAATGATGCTTGAAAAGTGGTATGCGTAAAAATGTTGTTGTTGTGCTTGAATGTAGTAATGAATGAAATGCATAAATGTGTTGTTGGAAGAGCAAATGAAGGAACGGCATGGATGATGATGACGATGACGAACTTGAACATGGAGGAGAAGAAGAAGAATGAAAAATTGGAATGATGATGCTGCTTAGAAAGGAGCGACGGTAGCAGGCCAGTAGCCGTACATCATGGAGGAGGTATCAAAGAGCATCGATGAGGGTTCCGATGGGAAGTAAGCTTGTTGTTGAATGGGATATTGGAATGATTGGCTGCCGCACAAAGAGATATCGGATTCGGGATAGAAAGCGGTGCTGTATGAAGATGAAGGAGTAACGGCTTCAGCTGGAGGATAAGAAAGATAGGGTGATGTGGCGGGTGAAACAATGGGTGAAGCGTCAAAAAGGACATCAGGGGAAGTGGTTGCGCATGAGACGGTGTCTTGTTGTTGTTGTTGAATGATGTTGTTATTGGCGACAACAGGTGAAGGAGCCGATGAGCGAAGTTCAGCAAGGCGTTTTTCAAGCTTGACAAGTTGGCGTTCCAAATGTGTGACCTGAAGACCAAGATCGTCAAATTGAGTGAGAAGTTCCTTTTCCTTGTCAGACAAGCGAGTGGCGTTTTGTGATTGGTCCATTTCAGGCTTGCAGCTGGTATAAGCATGCTCCAAACTGCCAAACATCACGTAGATGGTGGCCAAGGTATCGTAAGTGTAATTGAGCTCCGATTCAAGTTGGCGAATGGATTCTTCACGAGTGGCGCCATTACGCTTGCTGGTAGTGGCGTTGTGGCTGGCAGACTTTTTGGTACTGCGGGAAGAAGCAGATGATGTGGTGCGCTTATGAACGCGACCAGACTTGATGCGTTGAGTGGTCCACTTGAAGGACTTTGGGGATGTGGATGTGGATGTAGCAATGGAAGATGGCATGATGCAAAGATGTGTGTGTGTTGTGAATGCAAGTGTGAAAAAGATGAAATGTGTTGTGTGAGTGTGTGTGTGTGTTGATGAGAAAACTGGGGGAATGGTGAGAATCATGCCCGTATTTATATTTGCCGCCCCTGCACACCTTGATTTTTCAGACTCCTATGCCATTACGCGATAAGGATAGTTTTGTACCACCTGAATCGGGGGTGCTAAAAATGTCATGCATTCTCCCTTTCGATGATGTTATCCAACGCATCATCCTGCATAACCTCGCAGCGTTTATTTTGTAATGTCGCTTTTTACTTTGACTCCCATTGACACGTAACACCTTTCACTTTCCCCCTTGGATGCATATTGAAAATCATAAGCATTGCCCGCGTCTTTTTCTTTCACTCTTTTATTTCGTCATAGGGAAAAAGAAATATACAATGGTCGTACACGTTACTTGAATGTAACGTTGCATCCGAGCACCCACCGATTTGAACCGATGGTTGCACTTGTCCCGGGAACATCGGCCCCTTTCCTTTTGCCAACCAAGTGGTTAAACTTTTCCCTCCTTCGCGCATGTTTTTTTGTGCTGCCTACCCCCTATGGAAATCTCCTGTGACCAACCACATTCCTCTTGTTGCCTGTGCACTGGCATGTGCATGCTGCTATTTTTAACCACATGACCATTGTTGGTTACCCCAAATCCTGCATTTTCTTGGATCATCACACACACACTCTCCCTTCCATCTCTCTCTCCCCGGATATCGGCATTTTACTAAACAGGAGTAAAGAGAGCAAAAAAAGCTCTTGGACCCTTGCCCATCTTCCTTGAAAGTTATTCTTAGAAACAAACAATATGAAACCACGCGACTTTACATGTTTTTTAAATTACTACTACCATTGTTGCATTCATCCAGATAAGACTGGGGAAAAGTATAAAAGGAGCCCACAATCGCATCTTTCAAAACCTCTTTTGCCCTTTCCTTTCGCTTAATTTACGCTTTGCTTTTTCCCCCATCCACACATACACGTGATGCTACCACCCACTTTTATAATAATACCAATACGTGTTGTTATCACATCAACATCGTGTGCAAAAAAAAAGCATTCGCAAGATGCAAAATGTATATTGGAGGTGATGACATGGGTGCTGCTAGAGTAGAGTAGTGGAGAGTAATAGCCATTTGGGCGTTGGTGGGGATTTTTAGCAGCAATGTGGTGGTATGTGCGCAAGTATGTATGTGTAAAAGCATTACGTCACTGAAAGTAGACTAAAGCGCAATGACGAGAAAACGCCAGAAAGTTGGAAGCTCGTTACACAATGGCATCACTGTGGCACGTATATGCACCATGATGTCATGCATTTGGTTTATTAAGCTTTACGCCGCACATTGTGGGGAAAATCCCTATAACATTATTGACGTACCATGTTACACATGATGTCATGTCTCGGAAACGTGGCGATGATGGTGTCATGGATTGACGCTTTGACCATGTATATGCATATACGCGGAATGCTGCTGGCGATGTATGATTGCTGATTCATCATCTTGCATCTCCCCTTTACTTTTATCCATCTCACTACTCTTGGCATAAGTATTGCTTCCCCCTTTATCCATACCTATTCTATTTTTACCAACATGCAAAGCTAGGATATGCACTAACCATGTGCATACCCCACCAAGCGTAAAATTCTTGGCTGTATGTGTCGGGGATTCATTCGCACGGCTGTCCCATCGGCGTCTGGCTGCTGCATGGACCACACACACACATACCTATCTTGATCCATCTTTATTTGTTAATACCAGGTACATGGTTCTTTTACAAACACTCCTGTTATAAAAATAGCACACTTTTGACATAAAACCCCCTATCTTGAGCATCTTGATATCCCTAAAACATCATTACGCGTCATTTTTCATTAGTAATAAACATTACCCCTTGGTAGACAACACGGCATAAAATCGTCAACATGGTGACACGATTTTAATTTCGACCAGATGATGTGCTTAACGATTGCCACCAGCATCTTTACAATTTGGTTGTGGTCTTGTAAAAGACTACATGGGATGTGTTATGAATACATAACATCGATCATGTATACCCCTCTTGTATTTTCGTATTACACCATTTGAATCGAATCACTAGCATACGAACAATGTTGGTATTTGCTAGCTGAATACATACATCCACATGTCATCCACTAAACATCTTGGGGATGTGCACTATTATCCTCTGCTGCCAGCTTTGATACACGACCCTCATCCACTCAAAGTTCAATCCTTTCAAATAACCTTTGCTTTATCATAACAGATCTATTCTAACTATGTAATCAACTTTGCAAGGTCCTGCTTTATGATCCGCTCGGCATCTGTGGCGATTCTTGTGACCAGCTCCTCGCATGTTGGGATATCGTTGATCAATCCAATGACTTGACCTGCACTCCAAACACCATAATCCTTGTCTCCAGTGATATAAGATTGGCGTCCACGTTTACCTGAGACCAAATCCCTGATATCTTCAAACTTGACATCCTTGTTCTTTTCGATTTGATTGACTTTGATAGCCACCTCATTCTTGAAGACACGAGCTGTGTTGCGGAAAGGACGATACAATAATGCTGTTGACCGCTCATCCGCTTGCACGATGGCCTCCTTGATATGGTCGTGGATAGGTGCTTCCTTTGTGCACATGAACCGTGTTCCCATGTTGATACCTTGAGCACCCAACGCCAATGCAGATACCAATCCTCGAGCATTACCAAAACCACCCGATGCAATGTAAGGTGTCGTTAATGATTCAGCTGCTCTTGCCAATAGGATCATACTCGATACATCATCTTCACCAGGATGGCCAGCACATTCGAATCCGTCGATGGATAAAACATCAATACCCATTTTTTGTGATGAAATGGCATGACGTATGGTAACGCACTTGTGGATGGTTTTCAATCCTGCTTCCTTGAACATGGCAATGTATTCCTTGGCTAAGAAGGTGGACCACCATGAGCCATCCATCCCATCATCATGATCCATTCTTTATGACGACACTTACGATTGTTTCCTGCAGTCTCAACGACAGGAACCTTTTCTTCACAAATGACTTGAGCGTATTCCTTGTAAGGGGGTGGTTTGATAGCAGGTAACAGAGTAAGGTTGACACCAAAAGGATTATCCGTCATATCTCGCATGCGTCGAATCTCCTTCCTCAAGTCTTCAGGGGTCGGTTGCGTGAGTGCAGTAATGATACCAAGAGCACCTGCGTTGGATACAGCTGACGCCAACTCGGCACGACCCACATGAGTCATACCGCCTGTAACCAGCAATGTCAGTAACACGATCTTGTCTTTATCGGTCAATGGCATTACCTTGGACAATAGGATGCTTGATGCCGAGAATGCGTGTCAATTGGGTAGTAATGGGCATGGTAGTAACAAGTAGAAGAGTAGTTTGGGTTCCTGTCGGCTAAGCATACCCGAAAAGAGAGCGAGCGTTGTGCATCACGTAAGATGGCTGCATGTGAAAATCCGCTTTCAACCCCATACACATACACCTTCGGCCATAATCCTTCCTTCCTATTAAATGATGTACGCTTGTATAAAAATGTTTTCCATTGTTCTCTTGCATTACAATCATCATTCCTTTTTTGTTTGAATGTGTGCGTGGTGGTGGGTGTGTTGAGCGGCATCATTGATTTTTAGCATACGTATCATGGCAACCACGTCTGGTCCCAAGGCAACCATCATTGATTAATAATAAAGGGTGATGTATTAGTTAAAAAGGATAGGCCCATCGTAGCAGTAATCGGTCCTTTTCCTCCATAAGCGAGCTCCCAACAAAGACACCACCAGCGGCTTTATCCCCTTAAGGATATCCCTTGTGTGTAGCAAAATTAATAAAGTCAACATGTTTTTTGACAATGAAAGCATCTATTCGGTCTACTTTACTCTATAATCATCGACACGCATTGGTCCAAGGATACAATGAGTCATCATGAGACTACCAAAAAGTAATAAAGAACGCAATCAATGCGTTTATGTGTCTTTATGCAGTATATGGATGAACGTCTAACAAATAAACAGTGGATGGGAAAATGTCAAAGGTAGGTAAGGGGGAAATTGATTTTTACAGAGAAAAGGTATCCATTGGCAAAATAATATTGGGATCACCCGACTCATATGCTTGTTGTCGTTGCGTAGCAATACGTTTGGTGAAACTGCTCGACTTGGCACACACGGCGGGTTTGCCTGCCAAAAAGTACTGGGCACGCATAGCGACCAACTTATCCACAATACCCAACACGCTCATATCCGGTGGTTTGGCGTACGGAGGCACCGTGATGATGTTCCAATGCTCAGCTGGCAATTCATGATACGGGATAGGCTGGTTCTCCTTTTGCAATGTCGTTACGGTCACATCCAAACGTTCATATACATACTCAATAGCGTCATGGTGATCCTGAGTAAGCTCACTCAATTTGAAAGACATGGATTCGGGGGTTGCCACCGAGGATCGTAATAAATGCGGGTAATCGGTCAATAGGAATAGCTTGAGCGGCTCATTGTGCTCATTTTCAATGGCTTGCACCTTGGTTACAAGTGATTCTGCACATGGCACCATGTTGGATACGGGCTCAAGTCGTTCCATTCGCCAATGGATAGCAACAAAGGGTTGTAACCTTTCAGCAATCTGATCAGCAAGATTGATCCAGCGTTGGTTATATGTCAGAGGCACATGGACTTGGGGTTCTTCAATATAGCCAAATCTATAATAAAGAGAGCCTATTAGATATCTTTTCCAATACCTCTTTTTTCCTTGGATACTTGCCTTCGATCATAAAAGAGACTGATCACATCCAAATGTTCATTGCCAGCACCTTGATAATCACGGCCACGTGCTTCATCACCCAATACGTTCAATAAAATGTCGGTGTAGTTGCCGATGCGCTTGCTGAACATTTCAGGATCCTCCAAAGTGAATCGATGTCGTGGACGATCGGTATAATCCAAGAGGTGCTTGAAGCAATTATCCGCCTTGTCAAGGAAATGAAAGTTGGGATTGATATCAACGACGACTTCTTGAGATGTTGGCATGTTACCCAGGGCCTCGGTACGTTCAGCAATCCATTCCCGGAAATCATCCATGGTGATATAGTTAAAGAAGCGCTTGTTGTTCTCTAGCCATTGGTCACCGTAATAAAAGCTGAATGGGAAATGGCGACATGCTCCAAGATGTGAACTGTGAACATTGGGTAATACAATGGTACGATCCAATTTGCCCGATAAAAATGCGAGTTGACGGAAATGTTCCTGAGCCTTGGATTCTGAGCATGAATGAATCAAAAGCGGTTACTATGCATACTACGACTACTACTACCAAGGATACGCCCACACACACAAAGAAACCAACTTACCTTGCTCTGTGATAGCAATCGGGAGCATAAAACGACACTGATCACGTCCACAGTATTTGCGGTCGATTTGACGACGCATAGCTTGCCGTTCTCGTTGACGAATCAGGTCTCGATCGATTTCAAGAAAGGTGTCTTGCTTGACTTCCTCCCCATTGGGCTTTACGTAATCGAGTTGAATGTCGGGTTGATTGAGGTCCTTTTGCTTGGCATTGAGGTTGAGATGATGACCAGAATAAAAGACAAAGAAGAGTAAGACACAAAGCACGAGCACGTAGCGTTGTATCGGCCTTCCAGAGCGAAAGGACATGATGTGAGAGGTATTAAGGAGAAGGAGAAAGAGAGACGAAGAAAGGAGAAAAAGGAAAGGAAAGGAAAGGGGACAAGGAGCGTTTGTAGAATCAATCAAAGAGGAAAAACGAGGGACATCTTTTTGCTGTCAGGCCGACGCTAATACGAAACGATGCTTTGAATGTAACACAGAGATTCAACTTTGACGATCCTCCTTCCATAATGAGCTTATACCAGGAAGTTTCCAACTACACTAGTGTGATTAATCCCGGGTTTAAGGTCAATTACCAGGCAACCAAATGTAAACAAAAAGCACTCATAATAAACTAGATGGATATCCTTGCCCATCATCTCATTTGCTAGTTGAATGTGTGTGTATGTCTCACTCTCCTCGGATATAGCACGCCTTTATTGACCTTTTATTCGGGAAGGGACTCATTTTCGAGTGGCGCGTGAACCTCCACCCCAGCTTGTTTTTCCACTTCCACGCAATGCCTACTTTCCAATCGAAGCCGTACCGCCAATCCCAAGCTCTCAATCCACTTGTCAGCAAAGTCAAAAAGCATCCTTTTATCCTCTTTGGATTACCGTTTATTGGTATCATTGTAGGGGGATCCTTTGCATTGTCACAGATCACACAGACTCGTTTCGACCACCGTGATATGAGGCATACCAAGGTATGTGCTTGTTGTCTTTTGTAATAATGGACTCTATTATTCATGCTATGGATATGATCAGGTTGCCAAGGAAGAAGCATTGGGAATGGACAAGAATAGACGCAAACTAAGCTTACAGGAGGAATATTGGGTAAGGAGGGATGATGAGATGGTGGTTCATCATGTAACAAGGCTAACTATTTATATAACCTTTGTAGCGTTTACAATCCAAAACAGAGGAGGAATGGGAGCAAGTTCGTATTGAACGACCACCAGGAGTGGAGTAAATCTATGATCCAATACGCACACCCACACCCACACATACACACAAGCATACAACAGCTAGGCATCCATCGTTATTATTCCCTTTGAAAAGCACATCATCTCTACTACGGCATTTTTCTTTCAACAAACAATACAACAGCATCTGTAATACTATTGTATTCAAGTAGCACATGGAGAAGCATTTAACGGGGGATGTCGATTATGGATGAGGAAAGCAAAAGCCTAGAGTGGCATTATTGATCATGACATTTGGGACAGCATGGGGCGATACATCAACTAGTGGGAAGGTTACATGGGAATTGGTGCGTGGATTCTGGGCGTCTATGTGGGATAGGATTGAAGTTTGCTATTACCCAGCCTTGGAGATGGAACATCAGCTACTATGTCTTTCCACCCCATTGGTGCATCCAAGTAATTCATCCAAACCCTTTTGATGATTCAAGTATGAGAGAGTATCAATATCTTCAAGGAGAGGAGTTGCCAAACAAAGGTGGTGCGGGTCTCCCTGGCAGCGGTTGCTATGCGACGTGTTATGGATAACGTATGATCCACACCCAAGATGCGAGAAGGCTCCGAGATTTCAATTTGGTGGGTCACGTGCAATTGACAACATTGGGATCATCCAATGCAGTCATGGTTTTCGATTGAGTCCTAGTGTACACCTCGCGTCCTTTCTCGGTTGACAATTCTCCTTCACGCGTCAGTATGAACCGCCTTCCACACGGGGTCATTCTCAACATCGTTTCTCGTTTGGAGCCATTGGACTGCATCGAATGGTCTCAAGTATCCCGGCAATGGCGACGCCTTCTACCATTGTATGCTGCGGAGCCTTGGCGAGATATTAAAGTGGACGTGAATTCTTTTCGTATGCTTTCCCATCTTCATGTCTTTGGTCGCTTTGTGAGAACAGCGAGACTCAAGTTGGGTGCACTTGGAGCAATGCTCGTGGCCTTGGATCGATTAAAGTCATGTTCTTTATTGGAGAAGCTTGGTAAATGATGATGATGATGATGATGATGGGTATAGTCAATAGGACACCATGAACTAAACGTACATAATAGAGTTGCGCGATGTCCATATTACGAACCCCTATGCTATTCAAGCACAATTGGGCTTTTGCTTCAAGCATTGGCCGCGTTTAGATACATTTGCCATCATCAATTTCCAGGCTCCCAGAGTGGAATTTTCAGATTATATCCTTCTTGCAGCAAAATACAACATCCACCATGTCGTATGTATCGGTGGTTACGGATGTGGTTTCGATCTATCAAAACGTCTATTGTCATCCAGCAATCTCAGCATACTCGTTTCACTTATCATCGATGCTCCAAACCTCATTCCACCCACCATCAGAACCCTCTTGTCTTCCACACCCAATCTTGAATTCCTGGAACTGGAACTAGGTTCATCATACCTTCGTCGTTATGAAAGCGAATTGGCATATGAAGGGCTACATGAACCACCGCTCATGCCGTCTATCCTTACGTTGTTCCCCAAACTCACTCACATTCACCTTGATTACGGCTTGACGATACCAGATGATGAGGTTCCTTCTTATCCCAGAGATTATTTGCAATTCCCTACCAAGGCATCGGATGATCAGCAAGTTTATCCTGGATTACGCTATTACTGGAATGGGATATCAGCATTTGACCAAGCTGAATACGACATGATATTGAGATACCAATCAACTTTGGAACATCTTCATTTTGGCTATCGTGAGCCTTCCACCTTTGTCCCCGATTGGGAAACGTTTACAAGATGATTTCTACCCAATACAACACTCAAACACCTCCATTTGGAATTGTGTCATCAACCCATGGATTGGCTTTACGCATGTAAAGCACATGAGCATCTAGAACTACATAGCTATAGCGACACCCTTGAAGCATCGATGATGGATGTATTGGAACATCAACTACCTTCACTTCGGCGCATTGATGTGGCCTTTCATGATAACGTTACAAGTGGTGGGTCGCGTAGAGGAGGGGGTGTTTTGAATCAAATGCAGTTGTTACGAGCACTTCGATATCGATGCAAGCACACGGATTCGCTTAAAGAGCTACAACTCCGCTTGGACATGGAGTGTTGCAACAAGAACGACCTCGCTGCCATCCTTTCTAATGTCATGAGCATTCGCACACTTGAAACACTCGCCATACGACGAACCTCTGGCTATGAATGTGATGATGAATCGGATATACTTGCATTTGTTGAAGGCCTTCAATTCAGTCTTCCTCGCCTCAAGCACCTAGAATTGGATTCCTTTTGCATCAATTCCGCTGATGTGATTGATGCCCTCTCAAGAGTACGCCGCCTTGGATCACTTACTTTAGTCAACATCAAGATGAAGCTGGATGAGGCTACGTTGTTGATCAAGACCATGGGCAGCCATTTGAAAGACCTTTACTTTGTTGGCGGTGACCTAATCGACGGCTACTTGTACACTGGTTCCCTTCAAACAGTTGCACGTGATTATGCTCCCAGATGTCGGCTCCACATGTTTTATGGCTATAGCGGTAGATACCCTAACTGATAGGCTGCATTGCTTTGTATATTATTGATACCACTCCTTGTACTCATTTATAAACTACATCATGCATAATACTTGAATCTTTTATTGGCAGCAATGTGCTCAATCACACATAGTCGAAAAAAGAGGGATCAGGCCCGATGTCCATCTTTGATCTCGACTCTCAAGTAAGCATACAAACGAAGGGGAAAAGGGGGTTTGTAGCATGGCTGTCATGTAAGGGTTATCCAAAGTAAACAATGCATGCAGCATAAAAAGTAAACAAAGGTATCTTGTCCCATGCATGTTTTAGAAGATCTAAGCACCATATATGGCAAAAGTATGGATATCAGACACGGTGATCATTCCATGTTAGTGCAGCGATAAGATCTTTTATTTCCTTTTTGCGGGGTACAATTTCTTATCTTGGGTGTGTGTGTGATGAGGCGGAGACAAAGCAAGATCAGTGCCATGATCTATTCGTTTATCGTTTTTCATATCAATGTGCCTGGAAACTTTAAAAAAGATTTGGGGGGAGCATCATCAAGAAAGATAAAAGAAATGGACCAATGGTATCAAAGAAAACATACACACAGAACAATGGTCTGCCTTTTTGTTTCATTTTGTTTCAAAATGCCTTATACACATGAGAGAGGGAGAGAGAGAGAGATGGGGGAAATTTGTATGTGGTATGCTTCATCTTGCATTCCCAAAGGAAATGAACATTGGTGGTGGTGGGAGTGGTGTGTTGCTTTTTTTTCTTGCAAGAGGAGTGGGGTGAATGTGGGGTGATGATGCTTGTCGTCATAGATTGGGGTAGTCGAAAAAAATGACCAGAGGGGATATATCGAAATTCTATACATCAATGATACGTTCTACTTTGCCGCATTCCGGTAAATGCTCTCCGCGATACTTGATCAGGTATTCGCCATTCTCCTTCCATGTCACTGTTTTGTTTACAGGACAGCCCTAAACAACATCCACATGGATGGATGATGAGATCCAGAGCTCTCTTCAAAACAATGGATGCGCTCTTACCTTGCTGCTATTGGAGCATTTATAGTAAATGCTCTTGTTGCCAGTCTTTTTTTGTACCGTGTTGCCATTGTTCTTCCAAAAAAAGCCATCCATGTAAGGATATTCTCGTGTCTCAACGATCTTGGTAATAGCTTGCATCTCTCGCCGCCGTCGAGGGGGACGTCGTACAGAGCCTGTGGTTATCGAATCTTGTTCGCTGACCGAATCGTTGTTGAGATTGTTGGGTTGTGATGGTACATAGCTGCTATAACCGTAGCAAGAAAACAAGGTTAGAGTTTCGTTGCTGTAAAAGGCGCGTGTACGTGCGTATCAATGTTACACGCTCGTTTACCTTGCCAAATGGAAAAGCGATGTGGGGGTGGATGATGATGAAGATGATGAGGGGACTATGGTATTGGTATCGAGGGTGGATGGAAAAGAAGGTGGCTCGTCATTGCTGTTGTTATCCATTGTCGGGTGTTGTGGTGGTTGTTGCTCATCCGTGGGTGAGATGGGGAATAGGGTATCAGAAGGTTCTCGAGCTCTTTTTCGAGGAGATTCTTCCAGCTGTTGATCATCTGCTGTCGCCATGGTTCCCGGAAGCATGCCGATCATCAACTCTTGTTGTTGTTGTAAAAGCATAATATCAAGCTCTTTTGCACGTAAACGAGCTTCCTCAGTACGTCGCTTGTCTTCTTCAACTTTGCTAAGTAATATCAGCCTCAAGAGATCAGGCTGTGAACGATAGTACATGAGTATGTCACGTAAATCACAAGCCGTAGGATCGTTATTGGTAGGGTCTGTGGGTGTGGATGATGATGATGGTTGTGGTTGTGCTGTTGAGGATGAAGATGATGTCCACGTGTCGGCGAGAATACAGCTAGTTGGATCATCAGAGGAAGAAAAAAGTTGTTGTTGAAAGGGAGAAGTAAAGTTGGCGGTGGTGGTGGTGGAGTTGTTGTTGGGTGGTGGAGAAGGAAGGCGAAAAAGGGAAGAATCTAGTTTATCGTTGTTGGATGTGGTGGTTGTTATGTACATGTATTCATTCATGCTGTGCAGGGTGGTGTGGGAAGTGACTTTGTGTGATTTTACAGTGCTCCCCTATCTTGCGTCGGTTAAACTGAAAAAAAGGCGAGAGAGAGAGGAAGGAAAAGGGTCATTTGCTTTGTCCCTTAAAATTTGTATCAGTTACAACGTCCGCCAACTTCACTGGTTGACACGGGCCCAATCAAATATAATCGACCTGCAGGTGTTCTATTCTCTAATCCAATCCCCATTCTCCCCACCACCACCACACTCAAACCCCCAAACCTGCCAACGCGGCTCATTTTGCTCAGCACATATCGAGTAGCTTTTGCAAAGCTATTTACTGCCAACGTGACTACATGATATTCAAAAAGAGCTTGTTGGCCTTTAAAAGGTTGACTACCTATATGACTCTATGGCAGGGGTGATTAATTTGATAAATACAAGAGATGATATGGCATAGATAACAATCGTGGGTAAGATGACCAAGAGTGTCTATCTTGGAACAAGCTGGGAAAATGACATAACCACGGTTGTGCAAAGCAAGCAATCGACCGACGCTTATACATTACACGACAAGCTACGGATAAAGCTTACACCATTACATAAAGTAGGGATGCTTTGTCATCCATGTATGTCTTTAGAGATTGGCTGTTTGGTTCTTGTCGCCGCCTCTGGAGCAAAATATTTTGCCCTGACTTGTTATCTTGATGTCAAAGATGATAGTAAGTCGCCCCAAAAGCGCCTTTGTGCTATATCATGTAGGGAACTAAACGCTCTTTTATTTAGCCACGGGACATGGATACATGTCTACTACGATCGTTAGTGCAGCGAGATGATCATTTCATGGATGCAATCCATTTCATTTTGATCATACAAAGACCCGCCACGCTCTTGAATTTTATTCACAGACAACCAGAGGAGGGTAGTATTATGAGTAAATGCCTACGTTAGGCAAAGCTGAATGTTGATTCATCGCCCATAGTCATCTTAACAACAATGCAAAGCATGGAAAGGATGGCAAAGATTTCCATGTTGCCACGAGGAAAACGCCGTGTCACGTACTACAACAAATAAATGGTGGTTGTGTGGGACAAATAAATTCTCCGTTTGGTGGTCAACTGCTATGGTGTCATGTGTACGCTGCTATCTGACCACAAGAACACGTTCCCCCACATGGCCTTGTCATTACAATAACAATGAAACAACCTTGTTACTTTGTATTCATTGTAATGTGGAAGGGTCGGATGTATGGAAAACCTTGGGGTAAGCTTCTTATCACCGACGTCGGTGAGGAACCATTTTTGGTCACAAGCCGAGGTCTTTAAAGTTTTGGGGGTAGCAATTGTACTCACTCATCCCCTGATCGAACGTTGAGTAAATATACATACATCATGCATTGCGTGCCAATACGTCAATGTCTTTTTTGAAGGCAACCACGCCACCTGTAACATCACGAAACGAAAAAAGGCCCCTATGTTTTCGAAACCATGAGAGACATGATTCGTTACCTTAGAAGAACACATGGTCAATGGCTTTCTAACATGTCACATCCTCTGTTGTTAACGTCTCGACCTACTGCATCCATGTTCTAGAGATCCATTGGTCATCTTTTCTTATCAAGTATAGGTGGTTCACTTGTTTGGTAGCATACAGCAATCCACACATCCTATGAACTAATCCCAACATCATGCCCAAAGTAAAAAATGGATCCTCTGGTGCCAGGGTTTACCCATGCATTTTTATCATTATCATGCTACCATGCAATGAAAAGGGTCAGAGGTGGCATGCGAGAAAATAGACAATGGATTGCATAGTAAAAGTGTCCACTATGAGCATTTTCCAACTTTGGATGCGATAGCAATAATACGTTAAATGAACGAAGCTGGTTGATGGTAGTAGTATCAAAGTGAGACTCTTCTTCTTAATGTTGTCTTATCAGCATTGACATACGTTTATTGTAAGAGGACATGTGACTTGAAAAGGTTTCATTAGGATGAATTCATAAGGGGGGTTTTTATTATGGTCATGCTATCCAAACATTACAATGACAACAAAATGAATGACATGAGAGAGAGTGTGTGTGTGTGTGTGTGCCTGAGCAGCCAAGAAGGTATTAAAGGGGTTCGTCGTCCAGTAAGATGGGTTGTGATTTGGTGGGTATTGTAACTCAGCTAGGCTTTGAGCCGTGAGTTTGGCACTGCCAAAGTAAAGATCCTCCTCTTTCTCTATACACTGGTGCATCCGTATGTATCATCCATCACCCCAATCAACCCTAGACATGCATCCATCCATTTACGAATAATGTACTGATCGAAAAGGAAAACGCCATCCGACTTTATTATCTCTATCCACCTTGTTCGTCTCCCATTCAACTTCCCCATTTGCTCCATACCCATGTTCCCCCAATTGGCGGTTCCCATTTTTTCTCTTTTTGTAGACAATGGTCTTGAAGCACAACAACCAGTTGCCCAACCAGCATTTCCGTAAGGATTGGCAGCGTCGCGTTAAGACTTGGTTTGATCAACCCGGTCGCAAGAAATCTCGCCGTGTTGCACGTATCCAAAAGGCTGCTCGCATTGCTCCTCGTCCCGTTGATGGTCTTTTGCGTCCTGCTGTCCGTTGCCCCACTCAACGTTACAACATGCGTCTCCGTGTTGGCCGTGGTTTCACTCTTGAGGAAATCAAGGTAGGGTTTTTATATAGAGGGTTGCATGAATTTGGATATGGATGGCTAACAACGGGATCACGTGGTCACTATAGGAAGCTGGCATCAACCGCAAGGAAGCTCGCTCCATTGGTATTGCTGTTGACCACCGTCGTCGCAACCACTCCCAAGAGTCCCTTGAGCTCAACGTTCAACGTCTCAAGGCTTACAAGGCCAAGTTGATCGTCTTCCCTCGTAAGGCCTCCAGCCCCAAGAAGGGTGATTCTGATGTAAGTATAAGGTTGCTATGGTGATGGTTGATCACTCATTGTTGTTGTTATTACAATAGGCTGCCGCTGTTGCTTCTGCTGTTCAACTCCGTGGTGCCATTCTCCCCGTTGAGCAAGTTGCTGCTGCCCCTGAAGCTCGTGCCATCTCTGCTGATGAGAAGAAGGTTAACGCTTACATGAAGCTTCGCTATGCTCGCTCTGCTGCTCGCACCCTTGGTGCTCGTGAGAAGCGTGCTCGTGATAAGGCTGAAGAAGAGGCTAACAAGGTAAGATTAATAGAATGTCATGTGATAGTGGGATATGAAACTGATGCCTCGTCTATAGAAGAAATAAACGTCTCTCTTTTTGTCACTTTGTATCAGAAACCGAGCTTTTTTTGTTCATTGGTTGTGCTAATAAACCGAAAACCAGCGTATTGTGTGTGTGTTCGTGCATATGATCTTTACATCTTATCCCAGCCACTGTGTGTCAAATTGATTGATGTCTCTCCACTTTGTTGGTTCCGTCGTCGTCGTCGTCGTAGCGGTGAAGTTACTTTATGTTTCGCTGGTGTCGAATACAACGTGTCCAGACCCTTTTCTATTTTATCCATCGAATGAAACAAGGGTTGATTGAAAAAAGATGGGATCAGTGATTTGAGACAATGATTACTTTAGAGATGTTAAATGTATACAGGAGCCATAATAAACGTCTTTTACATAAATTGCCCCATGACACAACAATGAATGGCTGACAATGACAATAATGCAGAGTTTATTGTTACCATACCGCTTTTGGTGTGCATACACAAAGGTGTGGCTCGAGAGCCCAAAGGTGTGGGGAGCATTGTAATAGAACAATGACAAGGGTGAAATGCCATTGGGGTTCATTTTTCTATGTTGATTGCAGAATTCGACCCTCCCATTAGGATCGGGTACCTGTTTTCTATTGATTCCAGGTACATGACACATAGGAGTGCATGCAGGTGCACATATCCCACGCGAGACCTTTTTTGCATTGAAGCGCCGCAAAGCGTGTGCTTTTTTTTCAACATCTTCCAGAGGATGATACACCCGCCCACTTTGTATTATGAGAAACGAACCCAATCAAAAATCACAGGTACATGTATCTGCGTCGTGTTTTTCTTGGTGCTTAAAAGGAGGATTCATCTGATGTTGTTTTTTTCTTTCTCTCTCTCTCTCTCTCTTTTTGACACATTCTTTTATTTCACATTCATTATGGTCCAATTGTCGTTATTGTCTGCTTTGGCTCTCGCTGGCGTTAGCCTTGCTGCTCCTAGTGCACGATCAAATGTTGGTGTCACCATCAAGAACCATTGTGATGTGGATTTGGATGTGTACAAGCTTACCAATGGCCATGGCAACACTGATACGTCGTACAAGTTGTCATCTGGTGCTTCCAAGACCGTCAATGTAGATGCTTCTTGGGCTGGTAAGTGACCACCCTTATAGTAAAAAGAACATGTATTGATATCTTTTAAAGGTCGTTTCTGGGCTTGTGGTCCCAAGGATCCCAAAAAGTGTGACCATTATGGATCACCTGTCTCGCTGGCCGAGTTCAAGTTCAGCGGTTTCCAAGGTGTTGATTTTTACGACATCTCCTTTGTGGATGGTTTCAACTTGCCGGTCAAGATTAAGCCCAACTACAAGGACCAAGGCGAATTTGGAAAGTATGATTGTGGTGCTGCTACTTGCTCCACACTTCCCTCATGCCCAGCTGGTCTGGAATCGGAAGGTGGTGCCTGTAAGAGTGCTTGTGCTGCCTTTGGTACCGATGAATTCTGCTGCACTGGTAGCTACAATGGTCCCGACAAGTGTGCTGCTAGCAAGTACGCTCGTCATTTCAAGAGTGGATGTTCCGATGCTTATTCATACGCTTATGATGATGCTGATAGCACCTTTGGCTGCCGCTCCAATGGCTACACTGTTACTTTTTGCCCCTAAGACCTTTAATAATAAAAAGTCAAGCGCAATTCCATTGAAAACAAAGTCATTGAATTTGTATTAGGATAATATAAGAGAAAACTTTTAATCTTTTTCGTATACAGGCAAGATATGGAAAAATGATACAGACACGAGAGAATACACATGTTGATGCAATATGGTTAAGAGGATGAGAGATAAGAGTGTGTGCGTGAGAAAGAGAGAGAGAGAGAGAGAGAGAGAGAGAGAGAGAGAGAACAAAAATTACAAGGGCGAGGATATGAATGATATGGGAAAAGATGATGTGAATATATGAGTGGCAGAGAGGGTGATATATATGTATATGCGCGTGTGTGTGTGTGTTGTGTGGAATGCATTTTAAAGCATAATGTCAATCTCCTCGTCTTCCTCTTCCTCCTCAATGGCAGATGGTGATGATAAGGAGACTTGAGCGATCGATGATGGTGAAGTAGGTACGGGTGTTGAAACAGGGGATGCTTCATGAACAATGGTTTGGTTATCCTTGACATTGAAATCCATCTTTTCATCGCTGTACACAATCAATGTGCCTTCAGGTTGATCATCATCGGTTTCCTCGGATCCATAAAATTGATCTTCCATGATACGTCGCTTGTGTAAAGCAGTCCTTCGCTTAGGTCGGGTCACAGCAATGCTATCTGTCACTTGTTGTGCATGGGCCAAAGCAGATGTTGATACCACAGCGGCTGCATCATCATCACCATTCTTTTTGGATCGTTTACTACGGCCACCACCACCACCACCACCTCGTCGACCATTGTTGCTACCAGCGCTTCGTCGTCGTTGTTTGCCTTGTTGCTTTTCAATTTGAGCTTGACGCTTGGATAATTGAGCCATGGAAATAGGACCTTGAGACATCGTCATGGATGTACCACCCATAGAATGCAATACATCATCCTCATCATGATCATCAGCACTTTCATCATCCGCCAAAATATCTTCTGTCAATTCTTGACGTGACTTTCTGGATCGTGCCTTGACGCCTTGTTGACGTCGTCGTCCACCATTACTTGAAGGGTTACGTCGACGAGGTTGTCTTTTCTTTTTTGGCATCTCATCTTCATCTTCAGAATCATCCAACATGGCAACGGAGGGTTTGTTGATAGTCGAAGGTTGTTGTTCTTCTTTCTTGTCAAGGTATTGCTCAAGATCCACAGCCGGCCCGCCGCTCTGTTCAAGAATACACGCTTCGACATATGACAAGAGCCTTACTAATTGATCACGTGCCAAGCATGAGAGATCAATTTCAACTTCGCCATTGGCTTGACCAGCGTTGTCATTGGAAATGATGGCAAGGATACCAGGTAACTTTTCAGGTTGCAATTGGTTACTGATCTTGTTGAGCAAGGTTTCTTCAATTTGTCGCTTGTGCATGTATGCATAGGCTGAGCATGAAGCTGTAGGCGAAGCTGGACGCGACCTGCGCTTGTGTGGTGTGGATGCAGCTGTTGATGCGGTAGGAAATGATTCTGATTCAGACTCTGATTCATCGGACGAAGACCAATATCGGCTACCAAGGTTGGCGACGGTAGTAGGGATCACCGTATTCTCATCCTCTGAATCAGAAGAATCATCATCGGATGAATCATCAGTGCTATCCTCTTCTTCGCTGCTCAACATGGATGATCGTCGACGTTTGAGGTTGTTGATAGGCATTGATGGCTCTTCTTGAATGGTAGCAACAGGCATCTCAACCATAGCAGGTACCACTACGGGTTCATCCTCATCATCTTGCACAGTGATTTCCTCTTCCTCTTCCTCTTCGACGATTTCAACTTGAGGACTGCCAACAGGTGTTGATTCAATCGAAGGTTGTGCACTCATGTTGATCGATGTATCATCAGCCACTAAGGATTATCCATGTTAGTATCATAAACTATACGGCACATGTATCCAATCCTTACCAAACATCATTTCGTCATAAAAGGGTGATGGCATTTCAGTCAAATCGCCTTGACTAAACAAGTTTTCAAGATGAAGCGAGAGTTGATGTGCATCGAATCCACTAAGAGCAGCATGTGCTTCATTGGCGACGTTATTGTCATCATCAGCATGCGTTGTAGTCGTTGTTGTCCAAGGCTGTAACCAAGAAGCCATTGATTCTCTAACAGCACGATCCTTTTGTTAATGGCCTTATTTGTCTAGATGAAGTTTACACAAGCAACACACCTCATCATGAGATCTTGGACTTCACCAGTCAAATCTTCCATATTGTGACCTGGCGTGGTGGTGGTGCTGCTGCCATTCGACAATAGCTTTGCAATCTCGTCTTCAGTAACAACAGGTGCTTCCGCATGTGATTTTCGTCGAGTGGATGCATAAGCAGCGAATGAGTCGTTGGTTTCTTGTTGATGTGCAACCGTGATTCTGGAAAAGGTCGTGATCGAGGGAAGAGTCAGTGTCAAATTTTTTTTCTTCCCTTCCCATAAACAAATACACGCGTGTGTAAAAGACTTTGACTTACCCTCCCATGATGTTTAAAGTATTATATAGAGAGAGTGTGAGCGTGTGTGTGTGTTGTTATGTACAAAGCGTGTGTTGTGTGTGCGTGTGTGTATCAGTGGATGTGAGTGAGTGAGAGTATATATTGAACGCGTGTGGGTGTGGTTGAAGCGAGTAAAGTAATAAACGAACAAGCGGGTATGGTGGAAGACAAGGTTCAAGAGTTACAAACTACGTATTGACTCGAGCAATCAAGTTGCTATTGATATCTTGTCAAGACGAGTTGAACAGAACTTGTTCAAAGAAGTAAAAAGGGAGGAAGGGAAATAGGCCCACTGCCAGAAAAGTTTTTGAGTGAAAAAATCTGCAGTAAGAGCGACTCCGAATAAGTGATCGTTACACACCGCCCGTCTTTTTTGACAAACCAAAGTAAAGCGGATCAAAGCCGCAATACAAGTTTCATTTATTACAACAATGGTATCTTTAAACCTCCATCCACTTTGAATCATCTACTAGCAATGATACGATCATCCACCTTGATCTCGTGTAAAAATAAGGGACGTCTACTTGGGGTATTGCCACTCATCTTCTTCTTCTCCACATTGTTGTTCCACGTCCTACCATCCTCCACCTCCAGCCATTGTTCCAATACCTCGGCAGTCAATGATTTGCACTTGTCCATCTTGAGTGTCTTGAGATGGCTCATCCCAAAAAGAATATCCAACATCCCAATATCCATACACGTGACGCGTATCAATGCGAGGTGCTCCAGTGTGCCATGTTGCTGCAGGCGTGTCAAGAATTGAGCCATGACTTGGGGTGGTACAAGCATCCTCTCCACACCTTCCAATGTAAGATCCTCCAAGGTCCTTATGGATGCCACTGCAAGTAATACAGCAGAGTCAATCAACAATGAACCCATGCTTGATAGTGATAGGTATCGCAATGATGGGGTATTTGGTCGGCTTATTGTTTGAAAGAACCATGGTAGAATCCCCCCTGATACAACATGTTGATGATGTCGAGCTGCAGCAGCCTGTTGGTCTTGTTGATCCATGAGCACATCAGGGTTCTCAATACACAATTCCAGTTTTCTCAAGGATCTCAATGACAATAGCGATCGCCATACAGGTGGATCCAATTGATGCATGCGACATAGATGAAGGTGCTCCAAATTGGGACATGCCGTGATCAATGCAGCAATATGTCTACCTCTGCAACCATAGAGTGATCGGCAGCACAATGTCTTGAGTCGATGAAACGTATGACGCGGTAACCTTGACACCAGATGATCCCAATCCGTATGAATCAATCCCTCCAATTCCAGATGAAGTAGCTCTAATGTGGTATGTTGCTCAAGAATAAAATCGAGTGTGGCGAGATTCTTGATCCGATCTTGGCGATATTCATGTAACACTAAATGTCGCACTCCATAACATGGATCATCATCATCATCACCATCCTTGCTCTGCTGATAATAATATGGCTGGGTATCGTAATCGTACAACATGTTGAATGGGCCGCTGTGAATAACTTGAATGGATGGACAAGCCTTTAGGATGGCATGATAATCGAGTTGAACCATGAGATTCACTTTGAGGCGCAAAAGTGATGGACAATGTTGTAAAATGGCGTACAAATCAAACGATGTCTCTTTGGTATCAATGCGTAATGTCGTTAATCCAACGTGATCACCCGTATCCATTGGTAAAAGTTTGGGTCGATATGCCACTGAAAAGGGCATTACTGCATATGACAATTGTGTAACATCAGGACACGCAGCAATGATGTGGGGGAGTGATGGCAATGGTCGTGTACTGTGTAGTTCAAGTGTATGCAGCCGATGATGTTGGTGATGCATCTTTTTGGATAATGCACGCAAGAGCTCGATAAGCTTTTCTGGGTGTTTCATCTGAGAAGCGAGCTGCATTTCTACATGTGACAATATCATCATCATCAGTATCGTGATCATCATCCCTACACCTTTTTTGCTTTTGTGGGCTTACTTAATCGATCCATGCGATGGCATTCCTGTAGCTTGGTTAATGCATCATAGAGTCGACTCTCGCCAAAGTTAGAGAGCAAGGTGACGGATCGTAAATGAGGCGCAAAGTATCGAATGTGATTAAGGGTATCGTCGGCGTTGGTAGCGATGGAAACATTGGCCCATAAATTGGCTGCACAAGGTGGAATAGCTCGTCGCCATTGCTGACACACGCCAATGCAAGTAATGCAATCGTTGCGATCCAATTGCGAGACAATGTTGGTGATAATCTCTGGTGGCAATGAGTGCAATGCGGGCATAAGGAGATAAGGATAAAGAGAGTGAGAGAAAAAGAAGGAAGGAAAAGAAGGCGCGTGTGTATGTATAAACGCAGGATTGCTGTGCAACGTACCGTGAGACAAAAGAGAAAGAGAACAATGGACCATCCTCATTCACGAGGACAAAATTAAAGTCATCATCATCCTCGTAACAGCTTCAATATCGACACGCTGTAATAGCATTACAAGAGGGATAGTCATCGTAATCAAAGCAAGCCGTGTTCCTTTAAGCTTGTTGCTACTCCTGCATGATAGTACAAAATGAACTTTACTTGCGGCATCATCACGGGATACAGCTATCCCTGAAACGATAATAGACGTGATGCGATGTGCGTGTAATGCATGTTTGGTATCAACTTTGTTTGTTTTCAAGCGTCATCATGATTGCAGATAGGAAAATTAGAGAGGTTGTTTATTGCGGCAAATGGGTATCTATATAAAAGCTGCCCTTTCATCATCATCATAGGCATTGTAGTACTGTGAGAAAAAGATGGTAGTATCGGTAGGACAAGTATACTCAAGTAGAGATGACGTTGCTGTGCTGTCAAAAGGGATGGGTCACCGTATCATAGCTACCACTACTACAATTGAGTTACAGAAATTTGAAAGGGGAGGGGCACTTGGATCCTTACATTGTAGTTGCCAATGAAACTCCTTTCTCAAGCACTTGTTTGCCGTCGTCTTCTTATACCCAACTCACGATGCAAATCGACTTCGGCTATCACGGATCTTGCTTCATTCCTAAAGACATCCCAAGGCAAAGACCAAACAACGTCTACTTTTCGAGGCACCTTGTTTGAATGGCAGACATGCGAGGCGTTACAAAAGGGCATGGGTATGCAACTACGTCGTACAGGTGGCAGAAGTGATCGTGGCGTGGATCTGTATGGTGAATGGCCCATCGAGACGATAATCAACCATGGCATAAAAGGCAAAGAGAGGACGCTATCAACGTCGTCGTCAACACCCCCTTGTGTTATTGTACAGTGCAAGAATATCAAAAGTGGATGTACACCAGACCATATTCGATCACTCGTTGGTGCTGTGGTGCTTGCAAATGACTCGACTCGAGATACGATTGGGATCCTCGCTGGTGTACGGCCGTTTACACGTGAAGTCACTGAACACTTTATGGGAAGCAATGTACCACTTGGATTGGCAAGGATCAAGGATACATCGGTACAATCGCTTCTCTTTAATGCTGCAGCTGATGACGTTCTTCAAGGCTTGATGGTTGTCACAGAGTACAATGCGGATGGAATTACACAAGAACCTGTATTGATGTATGATGGGATGACCATCAAACTCAACGAATCATCATTACGGCTTCCCCCTTCTTCATCCAATGCTGTATCATGAAGATAACTAGAAGAGTTATATAGTCTTGTATTATATTGATGATGGTTGGAAATATAGATGCATTTGTATACCATTGTAAACCTTACATTTCTTTGTCTTGGATTCGCTCATTGTACACTTTCAAGTTGATATTACCAGCTCGACATAATAAAACAAGAGGGTTGATTGTCTTACCATGATTGATTGTTCTTTCATATCATTGATTGATGAAGCCCTTTATACGATGATCAAAACTACAAACAGCCCGTATGCAGCAACACCTTGTATGATGCGTCTCCTTGGCAACCAACTACGTGCTATGTAATGGAGCAATCTCACTACCACCATCCCTTCGTATACCCTATTTAAGATCCAATAGTCCAACTACGCGTACACATGATGTATAATGTTTATTGGATAGATGGTGTATGAGAATGGGAATATGCCGGGGGTGAGGATGCTGCTACCATTAGAGGAGTAAGCCATTGGCTCGTTGATTCGTATCATTCCCTTTCGCCGACAATACCACACACCCCACCTATACACACACCCGATCGCGAGTCTTACACATCCATGATTGCCAGTGCAAGCAGCAGTAAACGACCATTGACTAGCGAATCCTATGAACGAGATCCTCCTGGGAAGTTTCCAAAGACATTCCATACAAACGGCAAGCCTGATTCCCCATCAAGTAGTGGAAAGGACAACTTTTTTCAAAGACAAGACGATCGTGAACACGCATTGCAAGCAACACCCGTGTCTTCAAAGGTAGAATGCGATGGTGTTACCATGTTAAACAAACTTCGTGAACGACGAGAAGAGGTATATAAGAACACTACCGAGAGAAGACGAGTAAAGGCTAACACGGCCTATTAGCTGAAACGGTTATATATTGGACTATTGAAGAAGATGACAGAAGAAGCAACATTGGATGAACATGGTCGACTATGTGCACGATCTACTAAGCGATGGACATCGATTGTCTCGATACCCGGCTTTGAACAGCTACCCGACAATGATCAAATCGCATGGCAATTGTGTACGCTCTTATTCGATCCCCAGCCAAACAGCGAGGAGCAACGATTACGGCATTTCAGGAATTGGCTTCTCGATTATGTTTCTATACGAGCTGATACAGCAGCAGAATACGCTTCTTTGCACAATCACGATGATCCCTATGCGCCCATCTTTATTTATTTGACGTATGGTAGCCTACAAGGAGCAGCCAATGCCGCAACCCATGGACCAGCAAAAGACAATGAATTAGCATACATGATTGCATCATCCCCAGCACCATTCAAGGAGTTACGCATCATGCACAAAGAACGATTAGACCAACTTGTACAATCAGGCCATTTTGATCGATTCACACCTTATCAGCAACGGATATGGCGTGTGTTATGTGGTGATATGAGCATTCTGGATGATGACAGCATACAATTGGATTGGCGACAAGTGTTTGTGCTGTACATGATGTATGGCCAGATACGCGATAAGAAGGATGTGGATGGATTGGATGCGCTGATTGGTCTATATATTGAGCGCTTTGAGAACCCTTTCTATTATCGGATGAGCCATGATGAGACGACGACGACGACGAATCCACAGGACCGGCCCACATGGTACACTGTGCTCAAATTCTGGCGTCGGCTACACTATCACCCTGAACAATTGCATTTGGATCGTCACCCAATTCATCTCGATGACTGGTCTCCGTGGCTCGGTGTGTGCTTTTCCATTTTCTTCCCAAACGTGTTTCCTAGAAGAAAAGTAACCGAATGGATGCAACGCGTGAGTCAACAATTGCGAAAAGTCGGTGCTACAAATGAAGACATTCCCAGTATTCTGGCACCCTACATGGGACTCTCATGATACACAGAGATGTCCGTGCCCAGCCCATCATTCACACTCGTACAATAAACAGCTTGGGATTGACGCTTTTCCCTTGTCTTTCTTTCTCTCTCTCTCTCTCTCTCTCTCTCTTACACGCATACAAGCAAGATCATCCTACACGTTATCATGAATGAGTCAATACATAAGGATAAAGAGATGCATGAGGAATAAATAAATTGTATATATTTGGTTACGAGTGCGTGTGGGTATGAAATGCCATAATCTCGATCGGCTGTTTAGTAGATGATAAATTACGCGAGCATGGGATAACGGATTAAGGATTGAATTTGGATAGAACCCACGCATTTGATCCCGCACACGCATCAAACGCATGGAATACGAGCTGTCAGCATCGTGTAAGCTTAATCCCAATTTCGGTTTACCAGGGAAAAAAAGGCAGCTGTCGTGTGCACTTGTCAAGTTTTCTCAGCTATGAGTAATATGTCACCATTTTCATGAGCAAAAAAGGCGCATTGTTGTGTTCCTACAAGTCAATCCAAAATTGCACCAACGACAATCGTTCAAAGTGATGCCTTTGTTGTGCTTTTCTTGATCAAGAGATAGGCCCGAGTTTCAGGGCGGGAATTTGTTTTTTTTTCTCTTCTACTTTGGCTGTTTGATATTCTCCGGATAATAGCGACGGAGCGTATGTCATGCGGCGACCCACGCGGAAGATGGCAGGGTTGTTATAAAGTGAAATCCGCTGCTGCTGCAGAAAAAGCAATGTGGTCACTACATACCAAAGAAAAAGACCAACAATGGGGTGCACATCATCTAGTAAGCAATGATGATCCATGCAGGGGTTGACAAGTGTTTCGGTAAACGTATCCATATGAAAGGAACAATGATACCAGTTTGGATGTATTTTCATGTTTTATGTTTCAAAAAAATCTTTGTTCATTGTCAATGACAAACAGCAAGGACCACCTTTTTGCGTGATGGTAAATCGTCAATCCATGCAAAACAAAAATCGCGCGAAATGACATGCACTACGACTGTTTTGTCAACTATCTTTTGCGCACGGTCCGTGTTGACCTTTGGACATGACTTGATACGTCCACAAGCGATCAGGGCGTGGGATAGTGAGAAGGATAGCGATATAACACCTACCCATTACCCTTCGGTCGATTGACTTGTTTTGGAGCCAAGGCTATGCAGGCGACGATGATACTGTGAGCTGATTTACCGGGTTTCACCGACCCCTTGAAAGATCGATGGCGGGCTAGACGCGGCGAGTCCTTTTTTAGCGAAGCTGACAGAAAAGTATGCATGATACCCCGCCAATGGGTAAGACAGTGAATGACTCGATCTTTAACAAGTAGACAAAAGACTATTACGAAAAGCTGATACGATGTATATGATGATTTCATTGTTACTTTACTCCCCCTGAATCCTCTCTAATGTCCCTGGAGGGGGAAATGGAAAGATCATGGCCAAAGATGTCGTATGTCTTTCGTCACTGACTTTTCCATGTACGTGAAACACGGCGTGAGACAAAACTCATGCAGAACCCTTCATTGCTGTTGTTTTGAGCCCTGATCATCCGATTGTGTGTGTGTGTGTGCGTATGTGCATATGTGGTTGATAAGAAAGAAATAAATTCCACTGCATCTCTCTTTTTCTCTCTTTTACTTTTTCTTCCCATCATCCATTACTCATGCCACAAAAAAAGCGTTCTCGTCGTTCTGAACCAAAACTCTTTCGCTGTACGGGCTTTGGTGACTGTAACATGGTGTTCACTCGTAGCGAACATCTTGCACGCCATGCACGTAAACATACTGGAGAGGTACGTTTATTTTGACATTTGCCTCCCCTCCTTCAATCATTGTATTAATCATTCATAATAGAAACCTTTCAAGTGCATTGTGCCGGGATGTGAACGGATGTTTAGTCGTTTTGACAATATGATGCAGCATACGCATACTCATGACCGTCAAAAGAAGAAGAACAATGACAAGGGGCCTAGCACTCGTACTACTACTACCACCACTACTTCCACTACCACGCCACCTTCTTTGGCTTCTTCACCACCCACCCACAATGAGGCTCATGTCAATGCTACCATGTTACAAAGCCGCACATTACCTCCCCCCTCACGTCCACATGACGATCCATTACGATCACCACCCAAGTATGGAGCATCGTCTTCTTCACTTGCTTCGCCACCTTCTCCAATGATGACACTTCCTCCGCCACCACCCACACAACAACCCAACTGGCACCCAGCATGGCAAGGGGGAAGTGGACCCTTGTTATCACCTTATTCACCCACTGGACATACCAGCTTGACCGATTACTTTGCTCAACCTGAAGGTGGTGTATCGTCAAGTGCATCTTCGAGACGTCCCTCATGGAATTATGGTCATCAAAATGAAATGTGGCAATATCATCATCATCCTTCTACTGCTACTGCTACAACCAATGATTATTGGTCACAATTCCGTTATCCAAGCCCTACTTCTTATCGCCAATCTAGTCCAACAAAGCAACAACAAGATAACCAATCAACACCTTCTTCATCACCACAACCTCCTCCCAAACGACGCTTATCTTTGATTGATTTGCAAACACCCATTGATCATTGGCAGGAGCGTAGTAGTAGCAGTGGTGGTGCTACATCCGATGAAGATAATGACGATACTGCTACACCCGTGGTGGATGTGACCCCTGATGAGTACGAAGCAATCCAAGGCTTTGGCAAGTTCCATGCAAAATCAGTCGTCAAGTTCGATTCTCCCCACATGGGCGTACAACTTCATGCATTTCGTCAACACACACTTCCTGTTCCAGAGTCATTCCAACGCCCAGCTGCAGCAGCTGCACCATCAGATTGGGTCGCCTGAGGATAGTCCCTCTTCCATTGTTGTTGCAGCACACACAACACACAACACACAAACAACTCATATCTCCATAACACAAACAATCCCCCATTGACTCACATGTAACGACATTTTTGTATATGTACTAGTTTTTTCTCTTCTTTGCTGTCCCTCTCCTCCCCCCCCACACTTTTTTATGTATATATCCTTTTGTTCTAAACACCAACATCCCAAAGCATACTCTTTTTGTAAAAAAGGAAATCTAATTAAAAAGCTCGTTTACATAACACATTGCATAAACGGCGATGATAAGCGTGATCTATTTGGACATGTGTTCATTCTTGGCATGATATCAATCGGATTTGGTGGCAAAGAATGGTTTGACATCATCACTTTGTCAATGGAAAGGTGGATGGCGTTTATCTGGTGTCATTCTGATATCATAATAAAACTAGTGTTGGATATAGTAAAGCACTAATACAGCGCGCAATAAGGTACACCGAAAGTCAGAGGGGGTGATGTGGATAACAATGAATGTCTATTTAAACCCCCAACAAGATGTGTGCATTGGGGTGGCTAGATCTATACTACCTGATGGTGGATAAAATGAGCGTCCTATAGGATCACAAAATGAGCCTTTTAGGATCACATGAAAGATCTCGGTAACGCAAGGCCGTGCTCAATCACTGTCATTTGCGTGTGTGTGCGTGTGTGTGTGTGTGCCCCTGTATGCACAAATAACAAGTTGAATGTGTGATGAAAACATCAACCTCGTCTTGTGATAATGATGCATTTGAAGACTATGCTGTCATTGATCAATAGCAACCTTCTTTCTTTCTCTCAAGTAGTAACGGTAACCACAACAATGGGTGAAGCACACACAGCCATTTTCTCTATGCACACACATTACCACAAGCAGCAACAGCGGAGCAATGGTTGATGGGATTTTTAAACTCTATCAGGCATTTCCAAGCCATGATTGGCAGATGGCGAGGAAGAATTTTTTTGGCCGCATCTTAAATAACAGCGCGTCAGTGTTGCGCGTTGTGCTTTTTTTCACCCATCTTTTCTTTCTCTTTCATCTCTTAAACACACTCCATTGTCAACATGGTCAACTACAAGGTTGCTGATATCTCTCTTGCCGCTTTCGGCCGTAAGGAAATCGAGCTCGCTGAGCAAGAAATGCCTGGTCTTATGTCCATCCGTGAAAAGTACGGTCCTTCCCAACCCTTGAAGGTAAATACAACATTGGCGCTTGTTTTTAGTGTAAGAATGGATGGTGATGATTAACATGGCATGTATATGATAGGGTGCTCGTATTGCTGGTTGTCTTCACATGACCATCCAAACCGCTGTTCTCATCGAGACCTTGACCGCTCTTGGTGCTGAAGTTACCTGGTCTTCTTGTAACATCTTCTCTACCCAAGATCACGCTGCCGCTGCTATTGCTGCCACTGGTGTTCCTGTTTACGCCTGGAAGGGTGAGACTGATGAGGAATTCGTTTGGTGCATTGAGCAAACCTTGAAGTTCCCCAGCGGTGAACCTTTGAACATGATCTTGGATGATGGTGGTGATTTGACCAACATTGTTCACGAAAAGTACCCTGAACTTCTTCCTGGTATCAAGGGTCTTTCCGAGGAGACCACCACTGGTGTCCACAACTTGTACAAGATGATGAAGAACGGCACTCTTAAGCTTCCTTCCATCAACGTCAACGACTCCGTCACCAAGTCCAAGTTCGACAACTTGTACGGTTGCCGTGAATCCCTTGTTGATGGTATCAAGCGTGCCACTGATGTCATGATTGCCGGTAAGGTTTCCGTTGTTGCTGGTTACGGTGATGTCGGCAAGGGTTGCGCGTAAGTACATACATACTACATTGTGGGAAAAAAACAACGTTCATGTGTAACCAACCGTGTCCCTTGTTTCTTAGTGCTGCTCTTAAGGCTTTCGGTTCCCGTGTCTTGGTTACCGAAGTTGATCCTATCAACGCTCTTCAAGCTGCCATGGAAGGTTACGAAGTTACCACCATGGAGGAGGCTGTCAAGGAAGCCCAAATCTTTGTCACCACCACCGGCTGCCGTGACATCATCACTGGTGCTCACTTTGAGAACATGAAGGATGACGCCATTGTGTGCAACATTGGTCACTTTGACATTGAAATTGACGTTGCTTGGCTCAAGGAGAACGCTGCTGAATGCGTCAACATCAAGCCCCAAGTCGATCGTTTCACCATGAAGAATGGCCGTCACGTCATTTTGCTTGCTGAGGGTCGTCTTGTCAACTTGGGCTGTGCCACTGGTCACCCTTCGTTCGTCATGTCCAACTCCTTCTCCAACCAAGTCTTGGCTCAAATTGCTCTCTGGACTCAACCCGGCCAATGGTCCGTTGGTGTCCACGTTCTCCCCAAGCAACTTGATGAAGAAGTTGCCCGTGCTCACTTGGGCAAGCTTGGTGTCAAGCTTACTGAACTCACCTCCGTTCAATCCGATTACCTTGGTATCCCCGTTGCTGGTCCCTACAAGCCTGACCACTACCGTTACTAAGCGGTGTACTCTTTACACACATCCTTTTTTTTCTCACATAATGCACCCGCACGTTCACATCCCCTCTTTTTTTCTCTCCCCATTTTCTTTTGTACAAAAATCAATGCATACCAAAGAACCCCTTCTAACGTAACCATTTAATCCTTGGAATCTTTTCCCCTTTTTTCATTCTCTTCTTACATCTTTTTGCTTATCTTTTTTCACTTGTAAGATATAGAACGTTTCAACATGTTCGGGGTTCTTTTCTATTGCCAAAAACCACATACACACATACACACATAACAATAAAAAAACCCGCATTCAACATGTAAAATCACATGCTCATACTTTTGTTACTCATTGGCTTCTTTATACGCCACAAGGGCAGTAACAAGGAGATCGATGCAGGGGATGATACTGCCTCATTCATACTCTTTATCTCTTGGATGCGTGCATTGTTCAGAAGTTTGCCGCGAATACAAAAAGGGGAGCCAACATGCATGTTTTAGATGATCTGTGCCTTTTGCTTTCAATCCACCTTGCCATCGTTTTATTACTCGAATGAAGGTTTGAATGGGGTGTTAACCAGCTATCATAGACAACCTTTCCTCTAATGATACTTTAGCTATCCATTCTCGCAGCCGTGTTGCTCCTTAGTAACATAATCCAAAACGTACAAGCCGACACCGACTATTTCAACAAGCCAGTCGCTGCATCATCTTTCTCGCCATGCCAACAAGTCGACTTTTTGCTTGATAAGATTGACAACGACGAGGACCAAATCATTCTTGCTCAGCTCTACAAACATGAGGATATCCACAAAGATGAGCATGGCCAGGAAGAAGAGAATGATGATGATGATGATGATGATAATAGCGCTGAGTAAGTTCATTTGGCATCCCACCCTCTCATGTGACCCAAATCCTGGTACTGATCGACATCCTCCATGAAAACAGTGCGGCATTTGTCAAGACAATCCGTATGTGGCGTGGTGATGATATTGGTGATGAAAACAGTGATTTCTCATTTTCCTGGATTGTGCCTGCTTCCCTTGCCAATGGCAAATACCATGTTCAAATCGAAACCAAACGTGTCGGCAGTGATACCATCGAACAAGGCGATACCACACGCAGCCGCACATTTACCATTCTTCCCAATCCCGACAATACCACAAACAAGAATCGTTGCATGCGACAATGAATAAACAAAAAGCGTGCGTTGTTGTAAGAGATGTTGTTGTCTTTTTTTTCTACCAAACTGACTAGTCGACGTAACGTTTCTAATGCTGGAGGTTTTCGGGCTACAATCAAACCAACGATGAGTTCCTATTGTTGCTATAGCAACCACATCCCATTTCATCCTCTATCAAGCTTACCATGATAGGAGGCAAGTTGCGTTCCCACTTTGTACCCTCGGGACCCAAGTAGGCTATATATACACAATATGAGTACTTTTCCAATACACCACAAAAGACAATAAGACAACGTACGCTTGTAAGGATCAGGGTGAGCCCAGCTTTGGAGTTCCTTTTCAGCATTCTTCAACAAGAGTTGGATTTCCTTGGGGTTGGAGACATGCTTGTTACGCTCGAATTGGGCACGAATGTCCAAAGCCTTTTGGCGCCACAAATCGCGTTGAATGTACCAGTCGAGAGAGGTCTTAAGAGCACGCTTGTACAAGGATTGGACGTGAAGACGATGCGCGTTCTGAAGTGACGACATGGGGATATAAAAGGTGTGTGTGTGGAAGGGTCAACACTGTTTTTTCCTTTACCGTGAATCTCTCCTCAAGATTGGCTCTCAGTAGTCGACGTCACACCAGCTTGTGCTTAACGTGGAGAAGCGCACCACTGGCTGGCTTTACCTCTTGGATGCTTGTCACATGATCGTCTACAGCCATGGTATCATACTCGATGCCTTCATTACATCAATGACTAGCTCATGTCGCTCGTAAACTTTTTGAAAGGCTTAACACTATGGTTTTACAATAAACTTACACGTTTACACAACCACATTACTGGCTTCCTACTACGTATTCATAAAGGAACCCGCATCCTTTTGCTTTATCCATGTATCTACATTAAGAGGCTATCTCTGTAATAAGCTGCCCTGGAACAAGGTTCATGTCAGCTAATAGCCCATTCCTCCCAATCACCTTTGTTTCCCGATCCAATGCATGTGAACGATTGTCCTGCTCCAGCCCAGCATGCCCATCCTTCAACTTTCTTGATCCGAGAGGATTTGGTTGAGTTACGCTCAAACACAGAAACATCATCCAATATCAGAAGAATCAAATTGGTAAGTTATTTGTAAACTGCCAGCTAATAACCTTAGTCCTCCCATTCTCCATTGTTGTCCAATCCAATGCATACGAACGATTGTCCTGCTCCAGCCCAGCATGCCCATCATTTAACTTTCTTGATTCGAGGTAACCTGGTAGTAAGGCAATGGCTGTTGTTGGATCATCATTATCATGTAAAGTGTAAAATGGCACACACCCTTTTGCTATACGTGAGGATCATTTCTTTTATTTACGTGTACCTATTGTCTATTGTGAGGGTGATGATGACGATGGGTGGATGGGTGTGTGTGCGGTCATTGAGTGGCCTCAGTGTAATAGCAGTAGGGGGATTTAAACTTGGGGGTCAGCAGCTCCACGACTTGAGACAACCTTTCCTTATTCCATTCACGACATCTCGATCAAGGTAATGTATTATCAAAGAGTGCTCTTGTTGGCTGTGAGGTGTTAATGTAGTTCTGAACATGCATTGTCAGGGAGCGAGTGTGTGTCCAAATGCTGAGGAATGAGCGTGGTTGGTGGTTGGTGGTTGCCATGGCGATATGGTTGCTTCCTTTTGCTCATTGCTATTCCCGCTCTACGCTTGGTGTCAACAGGTACATTCAGAGTCCAATGTTGCAGCCGAATTGGTTCCATTGACGCGTCAGCTTGTATAGAGGGCAAGTTTGGTATCAAGGCGTTGGCTGGTTTGGCTTCTTGTTCGGCTCAAAATCACTACACCATGGTTTTCGGTTTCCAGCAACCCAACAACAAAGGTCTTTATGTGTATGAACAAACGTATGTGCAGCGAACAAAGACAATGGAAAAGGCGTTTATTGTAATAATGAATGCTGCTATTATTGAATAAGTTCTTGGTCAGGTAGTGCAACTTTGGGCATCATCTCTCATTGGGTTCGACTCCCAGCCTGTACCTTTTGGCCACTTGATATAGCTATTAGAGTACTGTTAGTGATGCTCACGAATGCGTAAAAAATACATAAATGATAAGGTGGCAAATTAGCTTCCATGGAAACCCATGTACTGACAAGGATGGCCACGCGAAGGCTTTGCCGTCACCCTCTCCCCTACGGTGCACCAAGCCGGATAACGGGGGCTGCCATTGTAAACAACAGCATCTTCTATAGGTGCTGCTCGAGCCAACATGTTCAGTCTGAAAAAAGGATAGCATCCCACGCCCACAGAGGCCGACCCATAAGAGCAAAAAGCAATACATGATCCCATATCTACCACAAGGCCACTGAGTAACAGTCTGACTTCCAACGGCTAAGGCAGTAATCATTAAATGCAATTGATAGGGCCAAGATAGGGCTGACCACACTGTCGCATGTAAATCATAACTGCCAACGATGCTTTACACAAAAGAGCAAGGCACCATCCCGTTCTACCCATAGCAAATAAACATCCGCCATATCAGTAGTTGCTGCCATCAAGCGACCTTTTTGGGCTGGCGTCATCAGAGAGACACATCATGCACTGCAACAAATAAATCCGGTCTTGATGAAATAGCACACACGAGGATATTGACTTGCCAAGAGAGCGTCCAAGGTATCCATACAAGTACTTGAGGAATGAGATCCGCCATGGCACCAATAAAAACATTGCTCTGAAGATCCACCGATAAAGAGACGACTTGCAGGTAGCTGATTTCCAAAACCATGGAAACGGTATCCTTGACAACCACAACTATAAGATAGAGATCGCTTGCTTGTTTCTGAGACACCCACCCAAATTCAAATGTTGATCTTCGTCTTCCAATTCAATAGGATTCGCCATTGACAACTGTAAGGAGCGACTTTGATGGCACCAAAGAGCATGCGAGATTATAGCTTGATGGAATGATGGGCCTATAAAACTGCATATCACTAATTTATCTTTGAGGTAATGGTAACAATACTTAGCCAGTGTCATATGAGAATCCACGATATTTGGTGCCACCCAGTAATCAGAACACATTTCCTTGCTGTAGAGATGTCGTCACAGTGACCAATTCTGATAGCCGTTTCTCCAAGCGATACTTGATGATGAATGCCATGAGAGATGGATACACCTTGACAGCACCAAAAGGACACGTAACATTGTTGTTTGTTGCTGATGTGATACATCCATAAGATACGTGCGGTGAAGAGGGCTCTTGAAGTCAATTTGCCAATAACGAGAACCATCAGAGGATCAAGTAAATGTTGTCGACACTAAAGATGTGGGCTCTGTTGCTCATTGCTGCTTCTTGCTTGTAGCTGATATGATCCACCGATAACAGGCATGCGTAGCAGGATATCCAGTGAAAGGGTTGTCAACAACTAGGACCACAATAACACGAGATAAAACTTGGCGAGAACTTGTTGCCTTGCCGCTGCAGATGCTTATAAAAGGAAATGTCCAATAGGTGGTACAGTAATGAAAATCATCGAACGATGTAATAAGGCAAGCTGACACTGAAGGATGCTGTCGACGTTGCTCTTTGACCCTGACATGATTCGCTTATAAAAGATGCACGGTAAACAGTTTCCCGAACCCATAGAACGATACTTAGCAATGATAGCTGCATCCATGAATACTCCAAAGGACCAAAATACAAGTAGCTTGCTGAATAGCACACATACTATAACAAAAGAGGGGGTTGGTTGGGATTGGAGCCAAAAAACGGGTGACCCACTATTACCAATGAAAGCCATATGAATAAACCCCTGTTGACAGCCAATAATAGCTGCATCCATCAAGAATCCAAAGGGAACAAGACAAGTAGCACGCTGAATAACCCACATGAAAGAGGGTGTTAGTAGGCATTGAAAGAAAGAATGGGTCATTATTTACCAATGACAGCTGCATCCATAGAAATCCCAATGCACCAGAAGACAAGTAGCTTGCTGAATAGCCCACATACTATAATAAAAGAGGTGGTTGGCAGGCGTTGAAGAAGAGAACGGATCATCATTTACCAATGATAGCCATACGCACGAAAACATGTCGACATTCAATGACAGCCTCATCCATAGAAATCCCAATGCACCAGAAGACATGCAGCTTGCTGAATATCCCACATACTATAGTAATAGAAGAGGAGGTTGATTGGGATTGGAGCCAAAACACGGATCATCCACTATTTACCAATGACAGCCATAAGCACGAAAACATGTTGACATTCAATGACAACTTCATCCATAGAAATCCCAATGCACCAGAAGACAAGTAGCTTGCTGAATATCCCACATACTATAATAAAAGAGGAGGTTAGCAGGCGTTGAAGAAGAGAACGGGTCACTATTTACCAATGATACCCATGTATGCACGAAAACATGTCGACATTCAATGACAGCCTCATCCATGAAAATCCCAAAGAACCAGAAGACAAATAGCTTGCAGAATAGACCACATACTATAGTAAACGAAGAGGTTGGCAGGCGTTGTAGAAACTAATGGATCACTATTTACCAATGATACCCATGTATGCACGAAATCCTGCTGATATCCAAATCTAGCCGATTCTTGCAATCATTCTCTTGTTGATAAGACCCACTACGTTGGCACCCGGGTTGTAAGCGATGGAACGATACTTGATGGGAATATACAGTGAGAAGGTCGAGTAATACTTGTACCACCAAAGGTAGCATACTTACACGATGCCGAAGAGCCCTTGCAAGGAGCGAGAACGAACCAATGTGTTGCCCAAGACCACATGCAAATCGAAAAATCATCAATCGAAAAGCCCAAACCAGCATCCTAGCTGCGGAAGGGAGTACACTCAGTGATATAGCCGATATGAATGAGATACCAATCCTTTTTCATTGGGTATGGAATGCAGCTTGACGATGGAGTCCTTGACGAGATGCATGAATGACCTTGGTAACACAAAAGATTTGAACGCGGGCTCTCATTGCTTGTTGATTACATGATCCATCCATAAGACACGTATAGTTGTAGAAATCCATCAAAGGAATTGCCGATAACCAGAACCACCAAGAGATAGAAAGGTTGCTGATATCAAAGATATACAAGTTGTTCCTTGCTGCTGATGTGATCAATCGATAAGAGAACTTCATTTCAGGACGCCCACCGAATTGCCGATAACGAGAAAACCAGATGATGGGATAAAGCTTGATATGGATGCTGTTACTTTTTGCTGATACACTCCACTCATAAAAGACGTTCATTGGCTGACATTCTCCAGAGAAATCGCCCGTTGCTTGGTAACCAACCACCCGAGACGCAATAAAGGTTGACACCACCAAAGACATAAACACTTCTCCATGGCTGACATGATTCACCTATAAAAGATGCACCATAAACAATTGTCCAAAACCATCGAATAATACTTAGTATTTATAGCTGTGATCTTGTAAACTCCAAAGCACCAAAAGACAAGCAGCTCTCTACAATGGTCCCTCTAAATAATGGTACGCGTTTCAGCAAAGGTCTCCAAAAAGCATGAGAGTCATACATACCTGAATCATGCAATCATCACCAGCAGACTTGGGAACCAAATTGGCCATCAGGATGTAAAGTAATAATAAAAGCGCACAGCCAAAGAAACGTCATAGTACCGGTACTCTCCTGTGGATCGACGCGATGAAGTGCATCAATAGAGATACCATCTTCTCTCTAAAGGCAAGGAGACCAATAGCCGTGAAACGATGGAGCCGTGCGAACAGAGGATGCATTTTTAAATCCATGAGGCCGCAACATGAGTCGCACTGTCCCCGGGCACAACATGTAGAGCTCCACAGGAAAGTATAGTACAATGACGCCCTTGACGTGCAGCCGTGATAATAATAGTATCGCCGAAAGAGGCTCTGCCACTGTATGGTGTTTGGTAAGTTCACTTGAATCCAACCAATCCCACAATAAACCTCTTACCTTGTGGTATTCCTCAATAGCATCATTGCCTCAAATAAAGCCGTATATCCATGCCATCCAGTAGGTGCCGCTGCTGTTTCATTGTAAGGCTCGTTAATTAACATGTTTTGCTTTGTAGATCCAATACCATGCATACCATTGAGCCAACCATACAGCATTCTTGCTTTGAGATCCGTATCCTGTTGCTGCCAGAGGTACCATCATCCAACATGTTCAACCTACCATAAACGCAATGTGAGATAAGAAGCAAACCCAATCCACACGCTTTGTTGTCGCCATACGCAAAAGAAGCAATGTAAAGACGTCTTGAGAACTCTCATTGTGGACAACTCGGTAAGGAAGGCACACGACGCCCTGAACCATGGTGATCACAAGGAATTGCAACCAAATACACCATCCGAAGGCAATTCAATAATCAACCTGCAGCGCCAAGGTATGCCACCATATGTACTATACTCTCATTGGATCCTGAAATTGGCATCATAAGAGATATCCACCTTTTCTCTGTAGGCAAGGAAATCAATAGCCGTACTTGGATGGAGGCCGTGTGCACAGCGGATGCCTTTTCAAATTGGCCTTGCCATCGCATCTTGAGTCACACTGTTTCCGGGCCAAAATTCCCCAGGAGAGCATAGTACTATACAATGACATCCTCGACGTGCTGATTGATCAAATAGTATCGCCGAAAGAGGCTCTGCCACTGTATGGCGTTTGGTAAGTTCACTTGAATTCAGTCAATCCCACAATGAACCTCTTACCTTGTGGTATTCCTCAATAGCATCATTGCCTCAAATAAAGCCGTATATCCATGTCATCCATATTGTCTTGCTGCTGTTTCACTGTAAGTCTCGTTAATTCACAGGTTTCGCTTTGTAGATCCAATACCACGCATACCATTGAGCCAACCATACAGCATTCTTGCTTTGAGATCCGTATCCTGTTGCTGCCCACATGTACCATCATCCAACATGTTCACCTACCATAAACGTAAAGTGAGATAAGAAGCAAACCCAATCCACACGCGTTTGTTGTCACCATACCCAAAAGAAGCAATGTGAAGACGTCTTGAGAACTCTCATTGTGGACGACTCGGTAAGGAAGGCACACGACGCCCTGAACCATGGTGATCACAAGGAATTGTAACCAAATACACCATCCGAAGGCAATACAATAATCAACCTGCAACGCCACGGTATGCCACCATATGTACCATACTCTCATTGGATCCTGAAATTGGCATCATAAGAGATATCCATCTTCTCTCTGTAGGCAAGGAAATCAATAGCCGCACTTGGATGGAGGCCGTGTGCACAGCGGATGCCTTTTCAAATTGGCCTTGCCATCGCATCTTGAGTCACACTGTTTCCGGGCCAAAATTCCCCAGGAGAGCATAGTACTATACAATGACATCCTCGGCGTGCTGATTGATCAAAATAGTATCGCCGAAAGAGGCTCTGCCACTGTAAGGCATTTGGTAAGTTCACTTGTATCCAACCAATCCCATCATAATGAACTCTCTTACCTTGTGGTATCCCTCAATAGCATCATCGCCTCAAATAAAACCGTATCTCCATGTCATCCATATTGTCTTGCTGCTGTTTCACTGTAAGTCTCGTTAATTCACAGGTTTCGCTTTGTAGATCCAATACCACGCATACCATTGAGCCAACCATACAGCATTCTTGCTTTGAGATCCGTATCCTGTTGCCGCCAGAGGTACCATAATCCAACATGTCCAAGCTACAGTAAGTGAAGTGTAAGGTAACAATAACATTCGCTTTTCATGTCGACATACTCATAGTAACAATAGGTTGCGACCCTCCCTGACGACAACCATGGAAAGCATACACACGACACACGACGCCCCCTTTGGATCTCGTATAAACGCGAGAATAGTAAACTACACGTGAACTTTAGTATCTCAATGTCCAGCTTGAATGGTAAAGTAATGCAGCGATGGAACGTACATGTTGTATTGCAATGGAAGCATGAGTCATGGGCAGATCGCGCGCGTACTTGTTGTTGAATGTCTGCAACTGGTAAGTGTCGCCATTGACCACATGTTCACCCCAATGAACGCTGTACATTGTAAGGAATGCCAGCAATTAACGCGTTGTGGTTTGTAAATGGAGACAAGCTTACCTTTTTTTTGTGAAGTGGAAGTGAAGAAGAGTGGTCTCTTTGTTCCTCCTGTTCGCTCCAATTCGTGGACTCCATGCCACCCCGCTTGCTACAGCTACTGTTTATACGTACCCTCAACAATATCCTATACTCTTGGCTCCATAAGAATGATCACTGAACACAATCCTTGTAATCAAGATGTGCATCATTTCACTCTGGCGGGATTGGTGTCTATCAGGTCCGTGCGCTCTAACTTATGCAGATCGACTCGTGGATTTGTGCAACCAGCATGTGGTTCCCTACCTATCAAAACATACAAGAACGTAACATACATGTATGTATCCATGGTCATTGATAATATGTATACCTTTTTCTTTATTGGATGCTGTTTACGTATCTTCTAAAAGACAATCATCATCCATTTGTGCAGTAACCTGTCAAGGGCGCATGTGTGTAACCCCCACGTGCCGTTTCACTCAGCTCTTCATCTTTCCGTTAATGCAGCCGACACCATCCACTAGGATAAAGCAACTCCATCACGCTTACAGCATAGGTAAAACATAAACGTGCCTGTATCTCTAAACTTTACAATGAAACGTGGGTTTTTTATTAGAGCAATGTGCTCGGCTTGGCCAACAGCACCTTGTGTGCAAGTTTCGCGTTCAATGTCGCAACTAGCCCAAAAAATATTTTTTGGTCGTCGTCGTCGACGAGGTCGACCCCCAGATCCAGTTTGGCTGGTAGCGACATTGCGAAATCTGGGATTGGCAAGCTTGATCATGAAACTTGCACACAAGGTGCTGTTGGCCAAGCCGAGCACATTGCTCTAATAAAACCCCCACGTTGGATTGTAAAGTTTAGAGATACAGGCACCTTTATGTTTGTAAGCGTGATGCTATATGAGAAGTGGTCTTCGTTCAATGTCAAGTCGCTGGACCCTGGCAGAGCCAAAGATGCAGAGGGACCTCTTTGGGTAACTGGGTTAAAAAGTTTGGACTTCAGGGACCATGCATGACAGGTACGCAACCCTCACTTTTATGTCATACATTGGCAGCTAATAGCCACTTTTGTGCATTCCCAACTTTTGTGCATTCTATTGTAGGTGGACGATGCTCCTGCTCGAGACATTCATTTCCATGATTAAAGTAGGTTGATCCGAGCTGATTTGGTTGAGTTACGCTCACACAAGATTACATCGGTTGAGCTACATCGAGCGTACTCTATGTCCGGAGTGATGTAATCTCTCTTTGACCGTAGCTCAGTCAAATCAGCTCGGATCAACCTACTTTAATCATGGAAATGAATGTCTAGAGCAGGGGCATTGTTCCCATGCAGTGGATCTCGCAACAATGATGATTGGATAAAAGTGGCCGTTAGCTAGCAATACATGCCTGTTCCTAGATGATCCATAAAGTATTTATACATTGACCCTTCCATTCATGCAAACGTAGCTGTGTTACACAACACGACCCTCTGCATCTTTTGCTCTGTCAGGGTCTAGCTACTTTACTTTAAACAAAGACCACTTCTCATATAGCATCACGCTTACAAACATAAAGGTGCCTGTATCTCTAAACTTTACAATGAAACGTGGGGTTTTTATTAGAGCAATGGGCTCGGCTTGGCCAACAGCACCTTGTGTGAAAGTTTGACGTTCAATGTCGCAACTAGCCCAAAAAATATTTTTTTGGTCGTCGAAAAAAGTTTCAAGAGGTCGACCCCCAGATCCAGTTTGGCTGGTGGCGACATTGCGAAATCTGGGATTGGCAAGCTTGATCGTGAAACTGGCACCCAATGTGCAGTTGGCCAAGCCGAGCCCATTGCTCTAATAAAAACCCCACGTTTCATTGTAAAGTTCGGAGATACAGGCACCTTTATGTTTGTAAGCGTGATGCTATATGAAAAGAGTTCTTTGTTCATTGTCAAGTAGTATCACTACAATAGAGCAAAAGATGCAGAGGGTGGTGTTGTGTAACTTAAGTCAGTCAGCACAGGCGATGCATGATACTTGTACATTATTTAGGAATAGTTCATAAATGCCAGCTAATAACCCATTCCTCCCATTCGCCATTGTTACCCAACCCAATGCATGTGAACGATTGTCTTGCTTCAGCCCAGCATGCCCATCCTTCAACTTTCTTGATCCAAGGTGATTTGACTGAAAAACGCTCAAACAAAGAAATGACATCCAACACCAAAGAAATCGACTTGAACTCCACCTCTTCCCCCCCCCACTTCATCTTCTCTTCCTCCCATTCTCAACTGGTGACCCATTCGAGCACATACAACTACCACCTGCGAACGATTGTCCTGCTTCAACACACCCATCATGTCAATCCTACAGCTGCCTTGATCCCATTGTCTTTGGCTGAATGGCAAGTCCATGGCGTGTACGCAGCCTTGTCGCTCTACTAAAACACACGCCTTTCTTGATGCTGCACGCTCCTCTGCCACAACCAATCGTAACAGCAGCAGCCATTAGCAACGTGTTTACTCCACTGTCTCATGTTACTTGCAGCAACTTGCCTTTCAGCGTGAACAGCAAATGGCTTTGTGTAGAAGCAGCTTTATTTTACACGTAGCAACTTGTTTTATAAAACATACGACTTGATATGGATATGGATATGGAGCTGGATATTGCTTTGGTTCATGGGATGAAAGGAATTGGATACATAACGGGTGGGAAAGAGTCTTTGTTCTTGTGTCTCCACTGTCAACTTGACCTTGGTGCTATCATCCTGAATGATTGGTGCATCCAAATATCCTACTTCAGACGCAATTCCATAGCAACTGCTATTATCATCATTTGTGCAACCTGTCAACCATCATCATCCAGCTGCATACTTTGACATGCCATGTATATGATTAGTCAACGTGGATCACGTGCCCTATCCTGTCCGAAGGATAGAAACTTCCCAAGTCGATGAATCCTATCATCCGATCAATTCGTTGCACCTCTCCTGAATCTATCTCTTATGAATGATGTTGAATAAAGGGGTTACTTTAGTGAATACGAGATCGAGTTCCCAACGATTTCTAAGTTTCTATAGCGTAAGAGCTATTCCTTCTTCCTGAATGCAACCTCGTCATCTGAGGACACGTAACGCTTTGCATTATAGAAAGATTTATGCAGGATTGTAGAAGTGTACCCACATGTAAATGCTGTGATAAAGGAAAAAGAGAGGAGAGAAAGGGCCTGGTTGTTTCATGGTGTCTTGAACAATGGCTATATTCGATGGCACAACTCATCTCCCTTTCTTTTGTGATTAGACCTTGTGAGATTAATGGCAGGAGATGTTGAAGCCTTCCTTATTTTAGTCGATGTACATGATGGATAAAGACCAATGATTTTAAAAAGGAACGAGCAGACTCGATCTTGTACGTGGTAATACGCGTCCCACCACCATATCGCTTTTGATGCATCGTTTCATTATCAGCTTATGTACCCTTTTATCAATTCATGCACTATTCGCCACTCTTTGTGACCACAAAAATACCCACTCCAATGTACACATATAAGCACGGATGTCATCGCCTACTATCGTACTCCCACACATCTCTCTCTTTTCCATCATATCATTCTTTGATCGCTGACACTTTCAGAACCCTGATTAACCCACGCAAATGCAAGAGCGATTATGCAACCCCATTCATGTCCATCATTGTTACAGCGATTGAAAACCAATTATACATTAACTTATATAGAATACTGTACTTTAAAGGTATACTACGGGCTAGAGATAAATACGAGCGTCTAATTAGCATGGATCCCAAGAAACTGGTATCCGTCCCTCAACGAAATCGCCCACTTGGCCATAGACGGCGGGAGAAAGATCGAGTGAACCTTCAATAGAGAGAAATGACATCCATCATGTTAGCAAATGTATCCTTCAAATAACCCATTCTCCTTATAAATGGCTTACCTTGACCACATTGAGGGCACTATGAAATCGCATACCATTAGATTTACATTTCACAACAACATCCCCTCAACTTACCATATCTTGTATAGTAGCTTTTACAGATCCGAGTGGTCCAGTGATCTTGATACAAGCACCACAGACTGGACTTTCATTTGGATTGACGTATTCACCATAATCCACGTGATTCTATATTCGAGAATGAAAAGTACACAATTAGCCACTCATATCCTCAAGTGATCCTCAAGAGAGATGGTATAACTTACCAAGGCAACCACATTATCTTGAGCAGTAAACCTGGTTCCACATGATAGAATGCCAACTCCTGGATCTGGCGATGGTACCAAATGAATCATTGTTAGATTGAATAAGCAGCTTCCCAATCTCGATTTAATGCTTACCATAGTACGTGCCATCGCCTTTTCCATGCAAATCAAAGTGATCTGCTGATACGGATCCCCAACTATCGCCTTCGAATTTCGAGTGATCACCGGAAGAAGGGCCCAATCCCAATGCCGAACGATATCGATTATTGTGAAACACATCCAGCGAACCGAGAACAATAAACATGACCGCCAAAACACCAACGAAACCACTACCCACTAACATGAGCTTGCCATATCGAAAGCGATCGATAATGCGCGTCCAAATGGTTGACGGCAGCTCATTGTCGAGTTGATTGTATGCTTGAGTCGCTGGAATGGTGCTTGTCGTTGTTGGTACTTGCGTTGCCACGGGCATACTCAGCCGTGTACCTGAACTATGCCGTGGATTGTGTTCGAAATGGGGGTCGGTTTCATTCATAGAATGGTGGAATAAGAGGACGTGTGGGTGAAAGGAAAAGATACAAGGTGTGGGTGAGAGACAACCGGTTTTGTTTTTCACGCTCCCTAACATTGATGGTCTTATTCAATGTTACACATTATCATTGCTTGTGCTTGGATGTGACAATCAACATCACCAATGTGGGAGTATCCATTAGGCTCCTATTCATCTGTAAATGGGTTTCAGGAGCTGTCGTGTGGATTGTATGTGTATAAGCTCACTTGCATGGATGCGATATATAGAATCAATCAGCCATTGCCCATTGTTGTCCCTCTCCTCCTACTGTATGACGATCATCTTTCTTTGTTCAGGCACACCTTGTCAAATAAACATTAAATGCTTCTGCTCAGCCTGACACTATACATTGTCCCCAATGCAATTGACAATATCACATGTGCTCAATGCTAAACATTGAAGAGAAGGAAAAAACGTGCATCACTTGATGAAGATCACCATTGCTACACAATAGGCAGGTACCTATGTCACACGGTCTGGACCCACGAGAAATTATGTACTTTAACCAACAAGACTCGAGTATCCCTTTTCAAGAATGACTTTTTCGATTCGACTTCATGGCAACGGCCATGTTTTGCTTCCTATCACAACATGCGATGATCTTATCAATGCTCAATTTTAGTCTAATTAGCGATTAGGATAGTTGTAGTCTATTAGATTTCAGCAGCGGCTTTCTCTTTGAAGCGTTTCTTTGATGTCGTTAGCCAATAGCTTGTGGACTGGTGATGTTGGATGGTATGGATCTATTCAAATTCCATGCAAATGAGTAACCATGCAACTTTCTTCTCTTAGCATTATAAACGTACCAAACCAAAAGTATCTGAAAAGGTTGAGTTGATGTAGAAGAAAGAGGCAGAGCGACCATCATCAGCAAATAGGAATCATAGTTAATGTCAATGAAGCGACTTACTTCTCCATGGGTAAGCATCCATAGGCAGCATAATTTGTATGGATATCAGGGGCTGTGTAATTGGGGCAAAAAGTGGTAATGTTTTCAAACCCATATCGATCGTAATGATCAAGGTAGTAGTCCATATGAGTACGGGTGTCAAAGTAGAGCACATGAGCATCTTTGTGAGTCTTTTGGAACTTATCCATATGCTCAACAAGCTTGTGGTTGTAAATGCTTGCCCATTTGTCGTTTGGAATATCGGGGTTCTCTAAACCATAAGGCGTACGAGTCCAGGATGGCACGTTAAAAAAGAGAAAAGAACGTAGATTGTTCTTGTACATCTCGTGCTATTATCATGTACAATCAATTAGCCATCCACGTTGAATTTTATCAGCAGATGACACCCACCATCTTTTCAAAGTACGTGTCCTGGATTTCATCGTATAGGTTGGCTGTAAGCTATATCGGTCGATCGAATCAGTCGATCATGTGGCGCAAGCTGCTGCATATACAAGGCGACTTACATTCTTCATAGGAGCAGTGTAATATACATCATTCAATCTATTAGATGTAATTAGCCATTATCCCTTTAGCGCTCATCACCATTATGAAGAGGGAGGACGTATGCTTACCCAATGAAAAAGATACCAAGTGAGGAAGCGGGGTTCCACTTTAGAGTTGGGGTGAGCTTGTTGATCCACCGATCGATTTGTTCCACAAAAGAAACAGAATCAGGTTCGTGATTGTCAATGGCATCATTATCGATGACAGCACCACTATACGCAAAATTCCAGAGCTGAGGATCACATTTCTGGGGTAAGCCTTCATGACATCCCGTCAAATACTGATTCCAGTCAAGACCACCAGAGTGGGTCTATGTTGATCAAAATGGGCACATGCAAATACAACCACCAACAGGTTAGCACCTTCTTGTTCTCCTCATTCACAAACACATGTACCTTATTCTCGATGATGGGGTTATCAAAGATTTGGGCATTTGATGAAAAGTTGCTCCATGTATGGTCTACAGTGCCACCACTGCCCATAAGGCTGCTGTATGAATCGCCAAAGACAAAGCTGTTGTTGTTGATACTAATAAGTGCCTCGTCCAAATGCAATGGTATACAAGAAGAAGGGCTTACACTGTATCTGTACGGTGCCAACAAAAGCCATGGCCCTTTTTGTTGTGTTGCGTGGTGGGTGCAGCGGTGGCGATAGATGCCAACACACCAAGTGCCAATGTCGAGGCAAAAGCTGTTTTCATTCTACGTAATAAACCGTGTTAGCCCCTGCAACACACTGCGGTCCTTATATATATAGGCATTTGCGATCTCATCTTACCTCTTGTCAATTCTCACGCAGATCCATGTGCCACAAGGTCGGGATAAATCGCCATACCTCCTTTCGGTTTCCTTAACCACCGCTATCCCGACCGCCGTTTACGCTATATTTTGTAAGGGCTTATTACCAGGTAACAATATCATACATGGCTAAAAAGTAAGTTGATGCACATGAGAGAAGGAAATAGCCTATGATTTAATGCGCTGTTATTAAGGATGGCAAGTACTGTTAATGTGAAATCAGCGTCAAGGAATATGGGGGTAATGATTGGTGCCACAGATTTGACAGAAGCAGAATACCGTCGTATGTCCTTCGTGGGTACAAATATCCCCACACATAGTCATCATGAGAGTGAGAGTATGTCCTATCTACGCTCAATTGGGACACAAAGCAGCGATCGGCTAAAATAAAACATGCACACAAGCTTTTCAAGAAGTCTACAAGAGCAGCTTTATTATGCTGAATATGGAATTGTGGAGAGGTGATATGGTCATCAATGGGCTCTTTGCTAGATGTAACCATTGTGCTGCTTGTATCATTATCCAATGATTGAGGTATTCTTGTTGGGACAACAGGTAGTAGCACTATGATCATTTTGTTGCCACCTTGAATAGGATGTGTAGCGTTGGTAGGAAGGACAAGTTGACGTATATCTGGTTGTGCACAAACGTATGAACAAAGGGAAATCGTTGCTTGTAAGAATGTAGATGAGTGCATAATGTGCCTTGCCATACACAGCAGCACAATGAGGCATCATCAGCAACAGCCAGCCACTGGATGGATATGGGCGGGGTGGAGTTAGCATTGTTGCGCTGGATTTCTTCCTCTCACTTTTACACACCACCATACACGACGCCATGAACCGCGACATTCAAAATGAGCGTACACTCGGCAACTCTCTTCTCAACAAGGTGAACTCCAGTCGTGTCTTGCTTGTTGGTGCTGGTGGCATTGGCTGCGAACTACTCAAGAACCTCGTCATGTCTGGTTTCAAAAACATTGAAGTGGCAAGTAGAACACCGCCTCCATCGCATACAACCCACCACCTAACAACCTCTCTAGATTGATCTGGACACGATCGATATCTCCAACTTGAATCGTCAGTTTCTGTTCCAACGCCAACATGTCAAGAAAGCAAAAGCACACGTACGTATTTGGGAAACAATGGTATGAGTAGGACACGTGAAGTTTGACATGTATGTATGCGTGTATTAGGTTGCCAAAGAATCAGCTCTACGTTTCAATCCTTCAGTCAACATTGTCTCGCATCAAGCCAATATCATGGATCCAGAGTATACTTTGTCATGGTTTTCTTCCTTTGATGTGGTCTTCAACGCCTTGGACAATCTCGAAGCGCGACGCTACGTCAATCAAATGTGCCTGGTTGCTCGCGTACCACTGATTGAGACGGGTACCACTGGTTACCTTGGTCAAGCTTATGTGATTGAAAAGGTAATTGGAAAGGGAAGTATGTATATTCAAGATGCTCATACGATCACAATAGGACAAAACTGAATGCTTTGATTGCCAACCCAAAGAGACCCCAAAATCATACCCCGTGTGCACCATCCGCAGTACACCAAGTCAGCCAATTCATTGTATCGTATGGGCAAAGAGCTATTTATTCAAGTAAGTATCCAAGAGATCAGGATAGCAAGGTATTGGGTATACTAATGGATGTGTATATAATCATGTTAGTCAACTCTTTGGCAATGCAGAAGAGGATGAACCACAAGAGTCTGACGAAGAGAATAAGGAAGAGCTCGCCGCATTGGCACGAGAAACGAAGGCTCTCAACGAGATCAAGGCATCCATGGGCACCGAAGCTTATCCACGAAAGGTGTTTGAAAAGGTGTTCACAACCGACATCAATCGATTACTGAGTATGGAGGACATGTGGAAGAATCGTGATCGGAAACCAGTGCCTCTCGACTACGACACCCTTTCATCGGCTGACAACGAGGAAGAGGAAAAGAATGAGAACGACACAGGACTTGAGGACCAAAAGATGTGGAATCTGCACAAATGTTTTGAAATGTTCAAGGATAGGTAATACAAATGAATTCTTGGTGGGGGGAGGATCATCTTTGATCGTTGGCTAACTTTATGCATATAGCCTTGGGCGACTCTCTAAGCGTGCCATGGGAGGCAATGTTCTTTCATTCGACAAGGATGATGATGATGCTATGGACTTTGTTACTGCTACTGCCAACTTACGAGCACACATTTTCAATATCCCGCAAAAGTCACGGTTTCAAGTCAAATGTAAGTTGTTATATTTATATGCGTGTTATGCAAAATGAGATCATGCTTATTTATGCATTGTTGATATGTATATGCAGCCATGGCTGGTAACATCATCCCGGCCATTGCCACGACCAATGCCATCATTGCTGGTATCGCCGTTATGAAATCCTTTGCCGTTTTTCGTGGTGAGAGCAGTACGACGAAACGAGTAAGTTGGGATCCGGGTGTGTGGGGTAAAAGAAAAGGATCAACTTTTTCCACTGATACACCGGCTACTCTTTTACCATTGTTTATCCGTAGATTTATTTGCGAACAGTTACACGACAACCCAAACTTTTGTATCCTGAAAATCCATCCTCGCCAAATCCTCTTTGTGGAGTATGCAGTGTCCCAAGTGCTCGGGTGAATGTGGATATTGATACAACTCGACTCGCCGACATTGTGAATACGCTTGTTGTGAAAAAGATGGGCATGGATTTGGAAGACATATCAATCATGGACAAGAGCAGGTAAATGTTGGGGGTACATACACCCACACATCCACACACACGCATACGCAATGCCTCATCCAGACTTTAACCGTGGGAAACCAATAGGTTGTTGTATGACATGGACTTGGAGGAAAATTTGGAGCTACCCCTGACGCAATTGCAAATTCGAGACGGGACCATCCTGCGTGTGGTATCAGATGACCATGGCCAGATCGATCTGGTGTTACAACAAAAGTAAGTTTTCTATTGTACACCACATTAACTTTCTCAGGGTTGTTATTAAAGCCGATATTGATGATGTTGTTGCTATAGGCCCGGCATTACGGCAGTTGAAGCCATTGATCCACTGGTACCCAAAATCATTCAGAAGGAAAATCCCATGAAACGAGCATTGGATGAAGAGGACGGTGGCAATGATAGCAAGAAATCAAAGACTACTGCTCCTTCAAGTGCGAATGCTGAGAGTAGTAAGGATGCTGGTGCAGCGGATGATGTGGTGGTTGTTCCGGAAGAGGATGATCTCATTATGGTCAACTGAACGGCTGGTAGTAGTATAGATCGATTCTTTCAGAATAAAACGTGACATACAATGTACATTCGACAATGAACAATAAGAGCTTAGAGAACAGCTGACAAATTGAATCCCTCTTACTGTTTGAAAACAAGGACAAAAACAAGCAAAGCACAAAAAGGGTAGTTTTTTACACAAAGTGATAAAGAAAGTGGTGCAAAGGTTTATCTGTTTTGGCACATCTTGGGAAAAAGAGAACAAAGAAGAAAACAGAAAGTGGGCATCTTAGTGCGCAACATAGTAATATTGGTCATCCATCCAAAAGGAGTCATCGTCACCACCATTGAAAAGGCTGCCATCATCAAGGAAGAGTTCTTTATCCTCATCAATTACCACTGGGATGGCAATAGGGGGGAGATTACCAGCATGTAGAGGGAAGGCTTGTTTACCAGCAGCGGAAGAGGACACGGGGGCTGCAACAGACGAGGCTTGTTGAGAGGAGGCGCTAGCCACTCTACTAATAGGAACAGATGATGGTGCTTGGCTACTACTTTGCTTGGCAAAGGATGCTGCTGATGAGGATGATGGAGCAGCAGCCATCGATGAGGAAGCAGCAGCCACTGGTGGCATTTGAATAGCAGCAGCAGCAGAAGCAGAGGCTAAAGAAGAAACATGCATGCTGCTACCACCACCAGATGCAGCAATAGGTTGAGCTTGGCTATATGCCAACAAACCCGTCAAAGTGATTACTGTGGAGATCAAGCGCATAGTGTTACGAATTTTCAATGCAAAGCTAGTATCATTGTTCCTTGAAGCAAATTGACTTTATATGAGAGAGGGATATCAATGTTGCTGGAGAATGCATATCTTATGAAGAATGTTAGGATTGTATAGTAGACTAAGGTTGCTACCAGATTTGACAGCAGGGCGACGATTTCTCAACAATGAGGTTTAAGAACAAGGTTGGATAAGAAAATGATACGGCGCAAGTAGATAGGATCCACTACTGACATTGCCAAAATATTCCTTTGTTTTATTTTCGGGATATCTTTTACGTGTAAGGAACAACATCAACATCATCCATATCTTTGTTACTTTTGGAACGTGCATCTAAGCGGACAATGGGACACATATGAGGCATGCATAACCAGCTGCTAAGTATTCACCAGGCTCGCTCTTTGGCTTTTTTGTGTTCCCGTCAAGAACTTTTTCCCTTTAACTTTTGGGTATATTGCATTTGCTGTTGCCATTTTAGCACGCAGTAAATAAGGCACATGAGAATGTAGCTGCTGCATCACGACCGTTGCCTTTGTTATTTACCCTAGTGGTCGTGCATAAAGTGAATTGGACCCCACATGTTCTTGGCTTTGAGCACCAATCCCAAACATTACAGGTCAAGAGAAAAACTGTGTGTGTGTGTGATGATGATGATGGTGATAGTGATGGATGATCGGCTGAAAAGAAAACGCCACCCCGTGGTCCCACACATTTTTTTGGGTGGGACAAGCTCTGCAACATGGCGAGTGCGAGGGCCCCAGTCCTGAAAAGTGATGCATTGTTGTGCTTCACCAAACCCGCTTGTCAATTTTTTCCATCTTGGTCAAAAACGTGGGTTGTGTGTGGAGAGAGAAAAAAAAGAGAGAGTCAAAGAATTAGGATGGAGTTTTGTGAGAGCCTTCCCATCTTAGTGGTATTCCGATAACCTGTAACATACACAATGATGATAAGCTGTGTTGTTGTTGTTGTTATCCCTCGAGCCCCCTTGTTCCTTTTCCTCACTAAAATACATGACTGCATAACCTACTCATGCACACAATGGATAAAACGATGTTATAATATTACACACGTGAGCAACCATCATGATCATTCATCCACGCATTGGGAATGGGCAAGTAAACAATGGTGGGAGGTAACTTGGCGCCCTTTTTTCGATGGTGATGTATATGAGGTTGCCTAAAAGAGTTGGACCAGATGAATCCAGAGAAGGAGGAGGTGGGGGTGAAGATAATTATATGGGGGGTGGAGAATAAAAGAAAAACGTAGATACAGTTTGAACAAGAGCCGATTGGTTCCACACACGTTGATGACAGCAGCCGACGACACGGCGACCAATGTTCAAGTCCCCCACCAAAATATTAGTAGTGCATAAAGCGGGGGATAGAACAACAAGTGTTCTGGGCGGGAAGGGGCCACATGATAAACCACGAAAGCTCAAGGGCACATACACAGCCGCTTATCGGTCGTCCCTTTATAGCATCCATGTGTCACCCTATGCATATGGTTTAAAACGTCGATGCCTGCGTCTAAACACTATACGCATCATCCATATAACTTATTTGTTTCTTCCATTCTTTCTTCTTCTTACCTTTTCCTTTCTCTTTTCCCCAATGTCTCCCGTTTCAGTGCAATCGACCATCAACACCAATATCCCATGCAAGCGCAAACACGTAGAGGAAGATACAACATCATCTACTAATGACAATGACAACTTGTTGTCCAGCATGTCATTGCCTGATCTCTTGTTGCTGTTGACCAACAGCGTTACGCCCACTGTTCCTATTCCTCAAGATGCCGCCTCATCCTCTGATACCACTACTATCTCCTCCTCGTCTCCTATCACCATCACCAATGATGTTATGGGTGAAGAACCATCATCTATTTCTTGCTTTGATCAAGAAACGGCACCTCCTTCATCGATTTTGCCACCGATGCTCGGTGATGATTGGTTTCTACTTGATAACGCCTTACCACCGGTGCATCATGAAGCACCTGAATCACCTTCTTGCTCATCGGCTTCTTCTTTTTCCGCACCCTCATCATCACCTTCTATCACGCCTGTACAACAACCCATGGACATGTTTGCCACAGCCACAAGCACAATCACCGAGCATCAACAACAAGAGAGCAACGAGTTCACTGTCATGATTATGACCGGTCGTGTTGCACAAAAGAGCTATGGAACCGAGAAGCGGTGAGTGGGGTGGGCCAATCACAAAGAGAGTCGTGTGAAAAAAATCAAAAAGTGGAGGAGGTGTACCTTGTGTGTAGAAAAAAAGAGAGTTTTGAGCAATCATACTCCTCTCTTTTTCCCCCAACACATCCAAGACAATTTGAGACTAACCTATATTTATACAATGATCCATGTTGTATTATAGATTTCTGTGTCCACCCCCGACTACAGTTGTCCTTGGGCCTTCACTTCCCCTTCACACAATCCGTATCCAAGCCGATGGTGGACCACAGCAATCTGGCACCCTTGAACCAGCAGCTGAAGGATATCTTCAATGCATTTCGAGACATTTGCACATCACCGAAAAACGCAAACAAATCTCGGTGGCTGTGGATGTGCCACATCTCGGAAAGTTTACCAGCAACCCAATCAAGGTTATCAGTAAGCCCAGCAAGAAACGTCAAAGCAGCATGAAGCATCTTGAATGTAAGGATCATAAAAGGAACATGGGGGATGTGCGTGTGTCATTTCATGTAGCTGATTGGGGATATCATTTTTTTAGTGTGTGTGCATCATGGATCTACCATTGCTTTGTTTAATCGTATCCGCTCGCAAACTGTATCCACCAAGTATCTTGGCGTGGATCCATCAACCACCAACCAATTAGACTTTGTGGCACGTCAAAGTGCATGGGATCCCTTTTTAATCTGGGCTGTCGATGGTGATAAGGGCGGCGGTGGTAAAAAGGGTCATGGTGCATTACACTATAACCAGCGTGTGGTCCTTCAATGTGTAAAGACCGGCATGATGACTCCTGTGATGGTGATTCGACGACGCAAAAATGACATCAAGGAACAACAACATGATGACCCCGTGTCCCAACTTCATCGTATTGCCCTTGAAGTAGCCGACCAACCTTCCCATTATCTCGCATGCATCAACGACAAGGTCATTACAAATGCTCACATGGAAGCTACCGATGACCAAGCTATTTGGACCATTATTGGCACGGATTGCACCACCTATCGTTTTCGCACCACACCCTCCTCATTGCCAAGTGAAGTCGTAACACCCTTTCCTCAAGTACAAAGCATCGAGCAAAATGACAATGATAACACAATCACTTTGCATGGTCAACATCTCGGACCCCATTTGCAGGTGGCACTTGCCGATTGCATAATCCTGCAGCAAATCTCCCCAGCTACACCCAATGAAATCAAATGCCGTCTCCCATCCTCCTCATCACTCGATACCATGGCGTCTTTGGTCGTCCAAGAAGAACAAGACGGGATGAAAAAGTGGCCCATTGCGTTGATCCGCCAGGCTGATGGTACACTTTATCGCACATCCCATTTCTGTACATTGTAAAAAGAAGAACACACACACTCTCTCTCTCTTTTTTTCTTCTCCTTTCTATCCCTCTCTATGATGGGATGCTATGCCAAAGCCTTGTTGTACATAATATTTCGCTTTTTACTTCTTTTGTAAATAATACACAAACACAGTAGTAATAATACAAACAAATGGATGCTGATTTTGATGGAAGGAAAAAAGAGGGATCAAATATAGTGGTAACGAGCTGCACGTCGATTGGTATGGGTGATTGATGTTGGGGATAAAGGTTCATCTTCATCATCTTGGATCGTTGTTGGATAAGTGCTGACTTGGCTATCAGGGCGACGCATTTGAGAAAAGGCTTGAGCGAGATAATTGTATTTCGAAAGACGTCGATCCGGCGACGCTGTTGTTGTTGTAGAAGATGGTGATGCCATAGTAGAGTGGTATATAGGTGATGTTGAATTAGGCTGCTTTTGTTGACGAGATGACATGGCAGCTGCTGTGGGTGGAGCCAAATAAGTGGGTGATGGATGATTGTATTGCTTTACACCTTGTATTGCTGGTGATGGAGACGAGGGTGGAGGTGGAGGTGAAGGTGTTGGAGGATGAAGACGAGGTGCTTCAATCACCATGGGAACAACACCACCACCACCAGGAGATGCATCATAGTTGTTGTAAGAAGAACGAGTGCTGATCACCATGGATGGAGTAATACCTCGCCCTGGATTGAACTTTTTGCCTTGTCGTCTTTTTCGTCGCATCAAGATAATCACCAATGCTAATCCACCAATAACGACCACTGCTGCTCCAACAATGATGCCTACTAATGCACCTGTTCCCAATCCATTTCCATCATTATCAGCTGTACTACTCGTTGACGATGATGAGGATGCTGTGTTGTCAAGGGATACGGATGATGTTGGCGTGACAACCGTTACTCCGTTTGAGGATAATGATGATGAAGGTTCAGTGGGTGCTGCATTGATGGATGGTTGTGTTGATAATGAATGGCGTGGTGGTAATGATGATGCTGATCCAAAAAGACTTGAAAGGTTGACATCGGTCAAGTTGCCGGTGAAACTAGCGCTTGGTAGAATATACGTCGATCCTTCCTTTACTGGAGGAGGAGGAGGAAGAAAACGTCTGTGTGTTAATATCTCATTTCTTTGATCCACACATCAAAGCATCAATACAACTTACCACTCTCTATCAGAATGCACTATCATATTCCAGGAAGACATTGTATATATCAGTGGATGAATGAACGCGATAGAAACAAAGAGGAAAACAAAGAGATCAACTTACCAAAAGCGACAAAAAGGGAAACAAGAGGAAGGGGTGAAACCACCACCAATGATATATGCATGTGTTAGTGTACCTGCTGTGTGCATTGCATGCCACATTACGAGTCAACTTACGAGCCAATGTAGGAGTAATGCAGATCAGCAATGGCCATGACCAGCCTGTTGACATTGTAAAGGAACGAGGAAGAGCCATATGAAAAAAAGAGTCTGGGACAGGTAGCACAAGCGTTAATTGATTTCATTCCACATCCTAAACAAAGGCACACACAGGTAAAGTTAGCATCCATCAGGGTGCACAAAGCGCTTCCTCCTCTGAGTAACGAACAAAAATGAGAGAACAAAGGAAAAGTGAACGATATTCCGATCAAGCTAGTCTCAAATAGGTTTGGTAGACAAACCTTCTGCTGCTATGAATCTGGATCCACTTCTTGTCAATGTCATCATAATATCAATGCACAATAAATAACAACGACAACTGAGTATGTATCCATAGTGAACACATTACCCATAAATGTGGATGTCAACAGCAACCTGATGGTGTTGTGTGTACGTGATGGGTGGATCTATGTGCAACATACATGCCATAGTGAAATAGGTTGCTAAGCAGTAAAGATTTTTTACCACGCAATAACGCTTGTGATATTACAGTGAGGAGAAATAGCCTTTGTGCGGCGCGATGCAGGCGATCATCCCTTATTGCATACATTATTGGATATACAGGGGGTATATACGCATGATTAATAGCTGGGCATTTGATGGCTGCCATACGAACCAGCAACATTAAGAGAGATAATAGAGCTAAATGTATGAGGCAATTGACAAGGAATCAAGCGAATAGCATTTACCATCAAGCTAGCGGCGCTCGTGTGATGCGCATTAACTTCATGCGTCTGCGGACAAGCTCGAATCATTATACCCATCTTGCAATGAATATCACCAAAGCTAAGGTTTATTACTACAATGATCGCCAGCAGATTGTTTTGTCAATAGGATAGACCCGGAGTTGAGAGATCTCTAATAAAGACAAGTGGATTAGCATCATCATGGCATAATAGTCGTATGTCAAAAATAACAGCATTACCTCGGTGATGATAGCCTTGTTGGTTAAACTTGGACATACATCATCGCCACCAGTGATAGAACAACTTCCTTCTGCTTGCTGCAGGTCATATGCTTCTTGAGGCTCAGCATTCAACGCTTGCCACATCCACTGCTTTTCAATGACCTGCTGCATCATTATTGGGTCAACAAGTAATATTATCATCAGCACATGTCGACCCTCTCCACTAGTAGAGCATCGGCATTCAATGACAAACCTAATCATCAGAAGCTATGCATATGACAACCCGCATCAGCCAAGGTTCGATGCATGGTATTACGTGGGGTTAAAGATTCGCACTTTATTACTTGCTTTCAATCCAAGCATACGTGACCTTGACTACTACCCGAACTTGATCCCCTTTCTCTCGATCCAAGCAACAGTATTACTTTGATGGGAACTCTTAACAGTGGTATGATACAAGGTACGCTCATGCGGTTATAGTCATTGCGTGCTTTTATTTTGTTTACGACGACGATCACATGCATGATGTGCATTAAGGGATGAATCGAGGAGGAGGGGGGAATGGCAACATACGTAGTAGTAGTAATAATAAAGCAGTAATAGATGCAGGGAAGGGATGCTACTAACGGCTGGATCAAGAGCTTTTTAAGATCATTGTCCATATCCCATGGCTCCCACGACAATATATTGCCAAAGAGAAGGGGGAATAGAACAAGTTGTTTAGTGTAACCTATCATACACAAGCTTTCTTTACCAAGCACCTATTGCATTGAAACCAAGTTAACACCGATCCACCAGATGGGGAATTCCAATAGATCAACAAGCTATTCAGGTACATGATATCATGTAAAGAGATCGATAGACATGACAAAGAGAAGCAAGGGATAAGAATGACAAAACTTGTACATGTTCTTTTTCAATCACCTACGTACTCCTCGTTCTTCGTTCCCATCATCCAACAACAACACCACACTCTTGTTCTTCTTTAATTGCTCCGCCTTTTTGTACACCCCTCCCCTTTTCCCCTTTCTTTTCCTTCTTCTTCTCAACTTCATATGGCTCGTCCAAGCTCATCGTCTCTCGCATCACCTTCCAGTATAGTCGGTGTCCATTACAAAGTCGGTCGCAAAATCGGCGAAGGCAGCTTTGGCATCATTTACGAAGGCATGTTCTATTGCATTTTCCCCACCCCTCAACCTCCTCAAGTGGTTGTGTATACAAAAAAAAAGAGATAGAGAGAGATAAAGCACACACATACACCAGACCAGACAATTCATTGTTTTGTTCGCAACCCTACACAGGCACCAATCTCATTAGCAACCAACAGATCGCCATCAAGTTTGAGTCTCGAAAGTCTGAAGCACCCCAGTTGCGTGACGAATATCGTACCTACAAGATCCTTTCTGGTGTTGGTATGTGTGTCAAGGAGATGTGGAAGTAAGCACGAGTTTTAACATGTGGGGTTGACTACTATAATAGATGGGATACCAGCAGCTTACTATTTTGGACAAGATGGGATGTACAACGTATTGGTGCTTGATCTACTTGGTCCTAGTCTTGAAGATTTATTCGACATGTGCTCTAGACGCTTTAGCGTCAAGACCGTTGCCATGTTGGCACGGAGTATGGTACGTCGCCGTTGATCTGATGATGGATCGGAGAGGTGAATGGGCGAGGGGGGCCGTGCACGGTGTATATGTAATAATACGCAACCTAGATCAGTCGAGTGCAAAGCATTCATGAACGCAATCTCATCTACCGAGATATCAAGCCGGACAATTTTCTTATCGGTCGACCGAATACGGATCTTGCCAACAAGGTGTTCATGGTTGATTTTGGCATGGCAAAACAGTATCGGGATCCAAAGACAAAACAGCACATTCCTTATCGAGAACGCAAAAGCCTTTCTGGTACAGCACGATACATGAGCATCAATACCCATCTTGGACGAGGTACTTTTTTTCTCTCTTTCACACACACATGCCCTATATATATATATAACACACACATCTCTCTTGTAGAGCAATCTAGACGTGATGATCTTGAATCCCTTGGTCATGTGTTTATGTACTTTTTACGAGGATCCCTTCCATGGCAAGGACTCAAGGCTGCCACCAACAAGCAAAAGTATGAAAAGATTGGTGAAAAGAAGCAAACGACCATGATCAAGGATCTGTGTTCTGGTTTCCCAGGTAAGATAACAAGATCTTATCGCAACACGTATCATCCAACTCGCTCTCTCTCACACAATATCGTAACCCCGCCTTAGAGGAGTTTGCTATATACATGCAGTATGTCCGCAAGCTCGGTTTTGATGAGACTCCCGATTACGACTTTTTACGCGACTTGTTCACCAAAGCACTCAACAATCTCGGTGATATCGATGATGGTGTTTATGATTGGATGTTGTTGAATGATGGAAAGGGATGGGAGGTAGGTGCAAATGTATGTACGTTGCCTTGACAACAAAACTCATCTCGATGGTTGTAGTCACGACGAAACCGGCATCATCATCATCACCATAATCATCATGCTGGTGCTGGCAACAACCATGGCCATCAAACCGATCTTGTGCGTAATTCGACGACACGTGCACGACACTCGAAGCAAGCCCAACCTCATCAACAACAGCTGCAGCAAGACCAAACGTTGTATCAACAAGCACCGCGTAAACGAGGATTTTGGCGTTCTGTGGGGTCCTTCTTCAAGTGCTCTTCTTGTTGCAATTAGGAGGAATCTAATAATAATGAAACGACAATGACACCATCCATCACTACTTGCACTTTTTTCACAATCGCAACCACGTTCACTCACTTCAAGCACGCACGCACACACACACACACACAATCACAATCTATACGAGTACAATCTTACACACTTATTCCTACGATCTAGTTTCCTTTTTCAATCTTTTCATAAACATGGATGCAGGGGCATGACACGCATAACAAAGAGAGCCAATTTACAAGTGATACAGAGGTTGTCGATTGTATTAAAAGAGAAAAGAGTAAACAATGCAAGGGATTGAAGGTTGAAAAAAGGTAAGCTCCAGGCATGAATTATATACAGTAAAAGAAAGAATGTGTGAGTAAGCTCTTGTATGCTTCAACGATGGTGGGTGATTATATATGTGTATGGGGTAATGGTTAGTGAGGATATGTAATGCGGATTGAACAATGATTCTAATAGGTGGGAGGTTGCATCAGCTGAGAAATATGTTGGGGTACTTGGTCCGCATAGTATCGCCACTCTGGGTGGTTGTATAATTTGAGAGTATCACTTCTTTGCCACTTGTCGTAGTCTATGGATGGGAGAGGAATACAATGTGAGTTATAGAGAGATCATCTTTTTTTTGTTGTTGTGAGCTTACCAATAGAAGAAGGATGATGCAATTTGGATTGCACTTCACGCTCAAGCAAGTTGGCGGCACATGAGACGTCACGATGGATTTGGAGATTATAAAACTTGGCAGGCATTTGGATACAACTAAATCCTGATTTGTAAACCAGATACGAGAGTGCGGCTTGATCTTGTCGGTGGTTGGCGCGAGATGAACCAGGCGGAGCAATGCATCGTTTGTCGAGACCACATTCGTACCACGCATCAATAATGTCACTACGCACCGTAGCATTATCCGCATCAAAGCCAATGGCAGCACCATTGCAGTTGGCATAGCGTGCATAGGTCTTTGGATCTTCCTTGTAATAAGCAAACATGCCAGGGTGCGTCCAGCGACCCATGGTGGCAACGCTGCGTGGACTCCAAAATCCATGACGTCGTCGCACCACATGATGAATGTTTTCCAAAAAGTCAGTGGTGACCATATTGCCGGCATCCAGCCAAATCAAAACGCCACCGTATCGTTCAGCAGCTTCATGTACGATGCCCGTTTTCCATGCATATTCGCCAGCATTGATCGCCACGTCCCAAAAGCGGGGATACTTGAAATAGTCAAACGTCACAAGGTCGTCAATCAACCCGTTTTGTTGCAGCTGATCAAGAATGGGTAGCTGTGTACGGTTCATGCCAATATTGTATACCACCACACGAGGAAAATGCTCAACATCAGGTCGTAGGTCGTTCAATGCATACAAGAAACTCTCAAGTGCACACAAATGGTTGGCACTAGACGCCGTCACAATCGTATAAGGAAATGATTTTGGACGACTGTTGCTGCTGCTGCTGATGCTCGATTGGTCGTTGTCGTGCTGCTGTTGTTGATTCTCGTTGTTGTTGTTGTTGTTGCTTTGTTCGACAAGTGTTTCCTCTGGCATCGGGAAAACTGTATCATCGCATGTCACATCGGTGCAAACTAATAGCCAAATTAGCCCACGGTAGATAAGCGCTTATTATAGGTATATACCTTGTTGCCATTGATACATGGTATCCACGCCAAATGAATAAAGAAGAAAGACGCCAAGTAGCATCACCAGCAGGACAATTATCCCTGTTCTTCTACGAGCTGGTGCAGGACGTGAAGCAGCTGCGGGAGGGGTGGTGGAAAGGCCCATCGTAAAGCAAAAGGAAGAAAAGAGGGAGAGAGGGAAAAACGGTTAGGAAGGAAAAGAAAAGCAAGAGTGGGCGCAGCTTCGCTCCTCCTGCCATTGAGACTGAGAAGGTTGCTATTTGTACTCTAGCAGTACTATAAAAAGGTCTATGTGCTTCGTGTAACACTGTAGACTTTTGCTCAGCCTCCAGCATATGGATGCCGACATTTTTTCATTGCCATCATCATCGCCGCCATCGTCATGTTTGAGACAGCAATTGAAGCTCAATGTTGTAGGGTGGTCGCCATTGAATTATAATCCTGTCATTCCCTTTTCCATGGTAACCTGCATGACGCCACAAACATTTGCAAGGGGTGTTTTGCATTAAAATTGCATGCATGCTTTCTCTTATCCAACCTAGAACTTTTGTCCTATCTCCACCTCTCCCTCTCTCTCTCTCTCTACCATATCAGTACCACCCATTTCTCTCTTACCAAAAATAACAAACCTTGTGAGCAATTCTTTTGATTAGCCACATGTAAACGTTGTATACATTCCTTGTCGTACAAGATGGCTTTGTTGAATGGCAAGCGTTTTCCCGACAATTGCCCCTGGGAATATATATGGCTACAACTTCTAAACACAATGCATCTCTTTTTTGCAACCGTGCTTTGATACAACACGATGTGCACTCAAGCTATGACATGGTAATTTATCTTGATTTGACTTAACAGCTATGCATGATTATATTGCAATTGAAGCTCAACAACAAGCAACAACGTCGTCCTTTGTGCTGGGAACCAAGGCAACGTTGCATGACTGATGGGGAAGTTGTTGGGCATGTGAAAGAAATTATGCCTAATGCCTTTTCCGTAAGATGTAAACCTATACATGCCATCATCCAATTATAGGTGAATCCTCAAAGGGGTCACGTATCGCTACGACTGGTACAACATGACATGTAGCAACAATCAAGGAGTAGCTATAATGATAGAAGGTAAAAGACGTACGTGACATGCATTAAGAAAATTGGGGCCCTTGATGCAAACAATGCACGTACCATCTTGACGCCTCCAGCCGAAAGAAATGCTGTCATTTCTCGACCTTCGGATTCACAACCCATACCGTATTTGGACTTGGAAGTCTCTTTCTTCTTTCAGGAGAACTTAATTTCATAACCTGGTATGATAAAACTATGATGATGGCGGTGCCAGATATGTGTAAAACCACCATGACGGGGTGTCAAAAGTCCTTGAGTCCATTCTTATCCTTAGTTGTACAGCACCTCCGTCATCGTATATACCCTATCGCCATCCAATTGCGACACCCTCTGTTTAACCACAAAGTGTGTTGCCAGCACTCTAAAATCTCAATCCATTGAAAATCGATCATCAATCGCCTTTTATTAAAGATCAATAGGGAAAGCTATTTGCTCGAATCACAAATCGGGAACATGTGCTACGATGCATTTTCCTTCGTTCTCCCTTTTTTCCTTATCATCACCGCACTTGGTTTATCGTAGCACTTACATGAACCGATTCAGCAACCAATTGACAATCAATTATAGCCGTTACTTTTCCATACCAAGTCATAGGATTGTCAACCATGAACCTTAAAGTGGCATGCTTTGAGCGATGCCATACTTTAATAGCTTCAACCGAGGATGCGTGTATTGAAAACTCGTTGACATGACGCTTGATGTGTGGAGCAGGTTTGGTTATTGAGAATGCTGCGGTGTTGGATAAAAATGATGCAGCTATGGATAGTCTAAAGGTTATAGTCAAACGCAGCAAAGCAGGTATCTTCCCAAGTTGGCCTCATGCAAAGATGGATCGTAGGCTACTAGATGGCCACAATGAATGGTGGGCGATACTTTAGCTGGAAGCCGTCATCATATCATCGACAAAGCTGCCATGAACTTCCCTTTTTGAAACGGCCACACTCTCAAGCATCCTCGAACAACGTCTTGTTTCGGGCAATTTGGACGCAACAAGCAGATGGATGTCATTGTTTGATGAAGGCACCCTCTCAATCTATCAACACCACGCCAACCATGTACATAAAAGATGTGGACGCATGCATCTCTTTCTTCCACCATACCACTCTTTCATTGCTGAGACCTTCAAAACATAAGTGTACGTACGTACCTCATTCCTTACAACCTAGTAGACTAGGTCTAATCTCTGTTGGCTATAAGTGGTATCTCATTGTTATTCTACTTCCATTGTTTTCGTGGTTGTCATTGTAACATTCGGCTCTTTTATTAAGGTAAAACCTAATCCTATAGCTGAATGAGACCCTGTTTGTTGACTTGAATGAGACTTCGGGAACACACGTGATTGGTAACAGTGCATGATGAGGTTGTATGTAGAGTCTCTATTGAACCAAGTGAGGTAGTATTATCCTTCAATACGCACCGACTAGCAAGGTCTTTGTCACGCCCTAGGGTCGACGAATGTATCCCAATGTCCTACAACCTCCTACGACTAAGCGAGTGTCTTCATACATTTCTGTCAAGCTGTATTGAGCAATGCATTGGTATGGTTAGAAGCGATCACAAAGGTTAGCATTGGTGTGTGTTCAGGTTATCGGGATTTGTATTTCCAATCCACCAAACCCTCTCTTGAGTTCGCCACGTTGAAGTGCTTCTTTCAACTCCATCTCACCATCATGGCGCGTTCCCGCATTACCACACTTCTTCTCGCTCTTTTTGTCGTCCTTTCCACCGTTTCTTATGTCTCGGCCAAGAAGGGTCCTCTTGTAACCAATAAGGGTACGTTGTCGCCATGTACGCGCGTGTGTAGTTTCTCTCATGGCTGACATTGGTAGTCTAGTCTACTTTGATATCAAGCAAGGTGACGAAGACCTCGGTCGTATCGTTGTTGGATTGTATGGCAAGGTAAAATGAATATAGCCTTTATGTGTATGATGATTTCGATAAGCTAACATGGATACAATGTATAGACCGTTCCCAAGACTGCTGAAAACTTTAGAGCTTTGGCTACTGGCGAAAAGGGTTATGGTTACAAGGGATCCAAGTTCCATCGCGTTATCAAGCAATTCATGATCCAAGGTGGTGATTTCACTAATGGTGATGGTACTGGTGGCAAGTCTATCTATGGTGGCAAGTTTGAGGATGAGAACTTCAAGTTGCAGCACACTGGACCTGTAAGTAAATCGCCATCATTGCTTGTAGCAGGAGAATTAAACATTTTGTAAAGGGTGTCCTCTCGATGGCTAATGCTGGCAAGAACACCAACGGCTCTCAATTCTTTATTACCACTGTCAAGACCTCTTGGTTGGATGGTCGTCACGTTGTCTTTGGCAAGGTGATCGAAGGTATGGATGTTGTGGAAGCCATTGAAAAGACCAAGACCAATCGCCGTGATAAGCCTGAAGTGGATATTGTCATTGCTGATTCAGGCGAACTTCCTGTCGAGGAGATCCAGCATATTGAATTGTAGACAATAGAAATTTGCCAATGAAACAAAGAAAGCTATTTATGGATGCCAAGAATGTCTTGTGTTATATAATCAACGATTCTTCTGGAAAGATGAGGAGTGTTGTCATTGAATTGCTAAGCAGCAGCAGCAGCAGCAGCAATCGCGTTGTGTGGGTTACCAGTGAGAAGCGGGCCTAGCTTCTTTTGATAAAGTCAACCCCTTTCTTTATTCTTCCTTCCTTTCATTCATTCACACACACCCACACACTCGAGTACACTGGATTCACGTAGCAGAGAAAAGTATGGGCCTGGTGGGGTATTCGCCATACCTCGGTTGAAACCTCTTCCAGCAGCCAAGCAATGCGCAGAATGTCGTGCCACCTTCAATCTATTCCGTCCAAAGTACCATTGCTACTCATGTGGTAAGGTTGATCTCGACAAGACCCCTTCATCTCGTCATTAACGCCTGTATAGGTAGCGTGGTATGTGCACCTTGCTCAAGTCACCGACGTGTTATCCCCAAGTTTGGTTACAACAAGTAGGTTGCTATGGCTATCATTCTCTTTGTCTCTCTCGCTTATTCTTTCCTTTCCATTCCTTTGTATAAGCCCTGTACGGTGTTGCAACACATGTGACACATTGATCCAAATGCAGCAAATGAATTCAGCAAGCTTATTGCAAATGTCATCCAAGCAATTGAAAAACTATATCCGAGCATACAATCTATCAGCAAAGGCAGCCATTGAGAAGGATGATCTTGTACGCATCATCTTGAATACCCGACCTATATCCAATGATAGCGAAATCTATTACAGAAATCATCGTCATGAGCAACTTCCAATATCACCTCCTCAAGGAAACGACACCGGCAGTAATGGTGCATCATCCACTATATCTCAAATGTTCAATGATCTCTTCAGCGGTGGCGGTGGTGGGAGTAGCAGCAGTAACAGTGGTTCAAATAATGGACAAAGGGAAGCAGAGCGTCAACGACGTCAACAAGAGGAGAGGATTCGACAACAACAACGTCAACGACGTATGGAGGAGGAGAGAATCCGACAACAACGGGCTCATGAACAACATCAACGACGCCAAGAAGAGGAGAGGATGCGGCAACAACAAGCTCATGAACAACAACGCCAACGACGTCAAGAAGAGGAAAGGATCCGACAACAACAACAACAGCAATCAACGCGTAAAGAAGATACCGTTTCAGTGGATGAGATGATTTTATCCAAAATGGATCCAAAAACATTATCCGTCAAGACACTCAAAGCTATTTTACGAGCGAATTTCGTCGAGCAATCGCATGCTTTGGAGAAATCGGATTTGGTATCTCGTGTCCAGTGGTTGATTGATGAACGACGAAAGGAATTATCAGCCAACGACCAAGCACCTGTGAACGATGATTCATTGTGCCGGATATGCTGCGACGCTCAACAAAACTGCGTCTTTTTGGATTGTGGCCATATGGTGACATGTATGGATTGCGGAAAACAGGTAAACGACATTGTGGATGAGAAAAAAGAGAGTCATTATCTCATGACATGTTTTGGAATATAGCTTGTTTCGAGCAAGAATGAATGTCCCATTTGTCGTGAACCAATCCTCAAGCTTGTCCATGTTTTCCGCTCATGATCCAGGAGCTTGAATCAAGGAGCTTTTCACACACTGAATCGGAGCAGCCGCGTTGTCTGATCTTGTTACGTATAATACACATTCTCCCCAAAGCTTATAGAAGGAGATGTCAAGGAGTGTTTCTGTACATACTATATAAACCCATTTTGCATCCTCTTTTTCCCCTGCCCACACGTATTTCTACTTTGTTTCACATATGCATCTGTCAAAGAAAGGTTTTATTGCTTGTTGCCTCGCTACCTTTGCTACGCAATGCACCATGTCCAATGGCATCCAGTCTGTGGATCAACAATTTAATATCACATCTCCTCTTGACCATGGGGTGTATGTAGCTGCCCAAAAGCTACCCATTACTTATGTGCTTCTTGGTGATTCGAGCGGCTTGGAGCTCAACATTTACATGAAGCCTGTCGATGTCAATGCTACGACTGTTGTGGTTGCACAAAAGGCGGATGTTTCCGAAGATGCCTCGTCCATTGTAACCATTGATAACAAGACCTATTGGCAACATTCTTACAATTACGAGATCCCACAAGCAACGCAAGCCGGTTCTTATGAGGTAGGTAATAGCTCATTCTTTTGTTAAGGTGAAAGCTAAGCACATTTATTAGGTTGTTTTTGAATCTGTCAACTCGCAAGAGAACACATCTGTGCCTATCACTATTCGTCCTTTTGTTGCGACATCATCACCATGCCCTTCACCCACGGGTTCCTCGTCTGCATCTGCAAGTCCCAATCCAGGAGATGGTGAATCATCAGGTGCAAGTCGCAAGGTCAACGCATGTGTCGTATTGGCTGGCTTTGCAATGTTCACTAGCTTCTTTTTTTGATATCACATATACTCGTAATCCGATGTAAATTGAATACAATAATAATAATGTCTTTTATTGCCGCAAGGATTCAACAAGAGCCGTGGACATGACACTAAGGATCTTGGAACATGCATCAATACATTGACTAACTGCCTATAATAAGAGATGGTTGTCAGCACATGTTTATCAAGGAGAGTAAAAAGAATAGGAGGAAAGGGTACTTGCCTGTGATACAATGGCTGGATCAGATTGTCCGGTTTGTACAATGTGGGTCACCTCATTTAATGATGGCATATATGAAAGCACCATGGATCCATCCCTTTGCTTTTCCTCATTCTCCGTTCCATCCATAATGATTTGGTCCTTGGCAAACAACTAAACATCCATGGTATTAATAAGGGGTGTGTGTGTGTTTGTGTGTTCCATCTCCCATCGACTTACAGCTGAACATGCAGTGACTTGATCCAACATCTCGATACCAGCATCGGCTAAGGCTGTACTAGCAGCAATGATAGCAGCAGCAAGACATGAGCTTGTACCATCATTCTCAAGGACTGTGATATAGACGTCGATGGCTGACTTTGGTAGTAGTTCTAATCGGACAGCGGGTGTCAATGCTTGTACAAGTGTATTGGAGAGCCCCTTTTCTTCAGCGTCCTGTAATCATGTATATGAGCACATCCATCCCAGCTTTTATCAAATCTCTCGTTTCTTACCCGCATATGACCCCGTCGTTTTGCGCATGAAAATGTAGCAAACTTGAATTCGCAATTCAATGTGCCGTTATTTGAAAATCCGGATCGTTTCAGTTGACGAGGACCGTATCTAGAGGGCGAGTGTCAATCCTATAATACATACTCACATAACGCGCGCGCGTGTGTATCTATCCATCCCACTTACACTGCACACACAGCCTTCGTATTGCCCATTTCAATATATGCTGATCCATTGGCTTGATTCACAAGACCTGTCTTTAGGACTGCAATGAAGAAAGAAGTATAAGCGATCGCGTCTTGCTATAGTCATCAGCAGCAGTGAGTCTTACAAATAGGTCGTAGATCGTGTGCACATCGCTGATCAGCTCGTTTGTTTTGTTCATTGAATAAAGGAGGTGTTGCTGGTACATTCTTCAAGAGAGGAGGGACACTTTGCTCGGGGCCATTAACACGTTTCCGATCCATGGTTATCCGTTTGAAAAAGATAAAGAGAGAGTAGTGTGTGAGTGAGTGAAAGAGAATTTACGTCCAAGAGGAAGCCACACCACCTCCGCCTATAACCCATCATCCCCATCATCATCATCACCCTCAAATTGTAGCATGATCAATAGCAATAATAATATAGAATAGTATTCGATGATATACAACAAGGTCATAGACTAATCGAGATAGTATGTATCATGATGATTTAAAAGAAACCTACACAATGCATTTCTCAGCTTGTCAGTAAACGCCACGTGCATGTGAAACCTCATTTTGACTCTTTACCATGATGGCCATGGTGTCCATGGTGATGTCCATGATGTCCATGGTGTCCGTGATGTTTGCCACCCACTATAGGAATAGAAATCATGTGAGCAGTCAACACTACAAGCCATGTTCACTTCCACTTACTAAGAGAACCAATCAAGCCGCTTGCTCCTCCTTGATGGTGGTGTCCACCTCCTCCAAACAAGGATCCAAAACCACCAGATGGTGGAGGGGGAGGTGGTGGATAGTAGCCACCCTTTTTAGAATGAATGTAAGTATCATGGCAACATGGAAGTTCATAATCTCGTATACCTGGTGATAATGATGTCCTCCTCCACCTCCGCCGTGATGATGGTTGCCAAGCATTTTACCTGCTGCAAATCTATAGAGACCCCAAGGGTGAGTATGTCTCACGTGCTCATGTTATATGTAATGTAAAGGAAAAAGACTCACCCTACCAAGCTACCAGCCAAAGCACTTCCTGCCGAGAATCCACCACCGCCTTGATTCAAATTTAAGGGTGTGTGTGTAAGCGATATTGTTGTACTACAGTAACCCAAAATCTATTCTTACCTGATCCGTGATGACCACCACCACCCATTACACCAGATAGCATGGATCCAAGACCTCTTTCATCAGCACCACCTGCTTGTTGCTGTTGTTGTTGTTGGGGTGCATAGTTTTGATGAGGTGCATAACCTTGTTGTTGTGATGGATACCCCATTTGACCACCACCACCACCTGCATAGCTACTTGCTTCACCAGCAGGGGCACTGCCACCACCAGCAGCCGATGGCATCGTAGGCATTTCCCATTGTGTCCTTCCAGTAGAGACTTCCACAAAGTAATATCGTTGATGGTTTGGATCCCAAACAGCTTGCCTATAAACATATAAGAATATGAATAAAAGGAAACGATCCAGTCAACATGACATGTTCCATAGGATCCATTGCTAACTTACCATCCTGCTGGCACTGAAGGTGGGGGCGATTGCATTGCTGGATTCATTTCGAGATGAGAAAAGGGAAAACGGAGAAAGGTTAGAAAGAACAATAGTCGCTTGGCGATACTAAGTACACTAAATGACAAGCAATCAAATGACCAATTGGGTAAGCGCCCTATCCTACTACTACTGCTTTGCTGCTGCTGCATACAACCTATTCAAAGCAGAGATAAATTTATACATCAGGCTTGGCATCTTCCCCTTGAGCTTGCGACCATCCATCAGGATGTCCCTTCACCATGACCCAAGTGTATGTCAATCCTTTTGTTCGCCGACAAGATTGATAACCTTTAGCTTAATGATCGGCGTAGAGAATAGGTAATGACGTAGTACAAGCTATTCTCGTTGCTGTGCTGTATGTGTATCTATCATTCATTTGTTCATTGGCTCTATGAATCCGATATTGGGATTGCAATTGGATGGGGCATTGGTGATCATGTAAAAGCATCCACAATAAGATGTATGTAGCCGAAATCGAACCGAGTTAGAAGGTGCTGAGCATTCTTTTCTTTTGTACACACTCATTTTGTATCTCGCACATTTACTAAACGAATCCATTCTTAATATCGAGATGTAGGTACACTGAACCATACATGGGGAGATGGTGGGATGGATTTAATGATCTAGTAGTAGCATGCATAATAAATCACCTCTATCTACATCTTCAAAGGTGAATCATGAAGGATTGTCCCAAAACAAGCCCGTGGTATTAGTATGGAAGTGGCTGTAAATTCTACCTTAGTGAATCACGTACTTACGATGTCAATAAAGGATAATTTGCCATCAATAAAGATCATACATGACCTATTGCAACGTTCTCAGCAAGAAGCTGCTACATCATTGTTGAGGTGATCTAAATTCGGAAGGAAGTCTCCGCTCTAGATGACCACCATCCGAGGTGGCGGTCCGTGCACATTCATTGTCCGAAGCTTCCATATCCAGCAAGTCAAAGGCGACCCGTTCTTTATGTCTGAGATTGCTCTGCAATACGTTATCCACGTGGGATTCAAGACGCCATTGGTATGTATCACTCATAGTTGAAATTAATGGAAGATTGAATGCACTCATGACCTTTCCCACATCATTGCCGCTATGATTCCAAGAGGTGTTTTAGGTTCATATCATATAGAGCAAGTAGTAGTAGTGGAAGGTTACAAAAAGACGATGCCATGACAAAGAATGAAAATTGGAGCTATAATCTAGCAACAAGGAAGAGAGGCTCATGCAACCTTCTTTCATTAGACACCACAGCGATCTCGTGATAGTTATCCTTGCTATCGTGACCATGGAAACAAAGATTTTATTGGTATCAAAGACAAGGTTGCCAAGGTTTTGTATTAATTACAACCAACACGTGGGTGGATATGACTTGTGGCATGCGTTTAGTAATGCACAGCAATGATACAGTGTGTGTGTGCCTTGGCTAGTTGCAAGATGAACAAATCGGGATTCAAGCAAACAACTGAGTCCGACATCATGGATTTTTGAGGAGGAGGA